TGAGACCATACTCATAAGTGAAATAAATCAATCTCACATGTGTGAATACCGAATAGTTTCCCTAATGTAAGTAATGATTCAAATATATAAAAATATGTGGTAATCATGATTCTCCATTAGGTGGCCTTGGAGCCTTATAAAGTTTTCACTCATTAATTAGAAAGGCTTTATTCTGGGCTTCTTGATATGAAAATATTTGAAGCTAGAGTATATGAAGTTTTATCCAAATATTTCAAGGAAAAAGACACTATGGTAACTACTATTAAGTCAGGTTATATGGTGGTGAAGTACTAGGTTGTTGAAACAGTCATGCTGTGACCTCTATTGTTATATTGTTATGTCCTGTTTTATCTCAATCTCCCCTTTATTGTTTTAAAAAAATTATTTAGTGATTTCTTACGTTTGTCTTAATTAAAGAAAAAATTCAAAAAATTAGGATATATAAATAGTAACTCTTTTTGATTTCCTATTAACTTGTTTTGAAGTCCTGTAGTACTCCCACGATCTTGTTTTGACTGATTAGACTCTGTTCCATTCTACATGATAGTATCAAGTTTGAAGACATAGGCAACTACTTTGAAGACAATAAGATTCACTAAGATACCCATTCTGGTTTGACTATTGTCTTCTTTGGAAGTCCTGTAATGTTTACAATGCCTAAGTTTTATTGGTCTTGTTCTCTACTGTTTTGTCCAACTTTATAATATCTAATGAGATAGACAATTCTTTTTAAGGAAACAAGAGACAACGTTGATAACCATTGTTGATAACCTTGTACTCTGTTCACACCATGTGCTATGTCTATCCTTGGTTTTGACTGACAGCTTTGTTTTGCCATATTTGACTGTATTCTCTCCCCCCCCCAAAAAGTAATAAGCACTAAGGAGTAATAAAATCCAAAATGTGTAAATTTTGTTGTAAAAAAGAGAGGGAAAAAAAGAAAAAAAAAAGAAAAATAGCTCTAACGGATATAACAGCAAGTGTGTTTAGGGGTGTTGAATAGCTGACTATATCAATGTTTTTGGATCATTGAACACAGCTGTTTGCAGTCTCCCTGTTTGAATGTCCACCTTGTATTCTTTGATATTGTGATTTGAGCAACTATTTTCAAGATGATAATATGTAATCTACTAACAGGTGATTTCTTACTGTTATGTTTTTTTTTTTTTTTGTAGTTCTGTATTACGTGTACCCTTACACCGCTTTGTTTTGTTTTGTGTTTTTCTCTTTTTCCTCTTAAATAAAAAAAAAGTACAGAAGCATGAGAAAATGATGAAACTTTGAACAACATAGGAAAGAAATAAAATGCATGAAACAAATTCAAATAGATATCCAGGAAATTAAAAATTCCATTAAAAGCTGGCACAACAGCTTGAAAGAAACTGAAGATAGACTTTCAGACCTTGAAGACAGGTTCGCAGCTAGCGATCACAAAAGGAAAGAACTCTTAAAAGTAACAAGGTACCATGACATCAACAACTCCAAGGGGATGTAAAGAAAAATAATGTAATACTGATAGGTGGAAAATAAATACATGAAGAAATGTTAACATCACTGGTCATTTGAGAAATGCAAATTAAAACAACATTGAGATTCCATCACACTCCAGAAAGAATGGCTGCTATCAAGAAATCAATGACCTGTGTTGCTTGCTTTGTTCTGTTCTAATTTGCTTTGTTCTGTTTTGTTTTATCTCTTTAAAATAAAAAAGAAATCAACAAATAACAAACGTTGAAAGAGCTGTGGGGAGAAATGAACCCTTGTCCACTGTTGGTGGGAGTGTAGACTGGTAAAACCTGGTCTGGAAATCAGTGTGGAGATTCCTCAAAATACTAAGATTGGAGGTCCCAATCAATTCAGCTATTCGTCTTCTGGTATTTTCCCAGAAGAATTAAAAACATCATGCCACAGCGATATATGTGCACCAATGTTGACAGAAGCACAATCTGTAATAGCTAAATCTTGTAAATAACCCAAATGCCCATCAGCCAAGGAACTGATTGTTTTTAAAAAAAATGTGGTATTTCTATGCAATTGAGTATTACTCAGCTATAAAGAAGGATAAACTTGAGGCTTTTATAGGTAAATAGATGTAACTTGAGACCACAGTCATAAGTGAACTAAATCAAACTCACATGTGTATAGCTATACTGTCTCCCTAGTGTAAAAGAAAAGCTGAGAGCTGGGGATTTAGCTCAGGGTTGTAAGCACTTGCCTGTGAGTTCAATTCCAGGTAAAAATAAAAAAGATGAAAGAGTAATAAGATCCAAAATGTACAATAGACATTGTGAAAATGAAAGGGAAAGAAAGTGCTCAAAGGAAAGAACTGGGATAGCGGCAAGGAGAAAAGGAAGAAGGGAAGAGAGTGTGTGTGTGCGTGCATGTATGTAAACATATACAAGATAGAAAACTATACTACTAATCTTCGTTCATCAAAAAATGGTTTGTGTTTTCATTGTCTGATTATTTGATCTTTTTTATGCCTAAATATTATAATCTGAACAACTACTTTCAAGATAACAATAGGAAATATATTACCTAGTGTTCATTTCCTATGTTTTGAAATGCTATATAACGTTTATTCTTATTTTTAAAATTTAAAGAAGCACAGTTTTAAATATAAAAAAAGTGGAGACTCACAGCAGAGCGCATTTCCCTAAATTCCCAAGCAGCCTTATGTATACAACATGATTCCACACCTGAAACCCTTTAAAATGACAACCCCCCATCAGTCTAATTTCCAGCCATTTTTCTGGAGCAGATGGATTATGTGCCTTATGAAAATCTTCGCTCTTATAGACACAATTATAATCCTTCACTTTGGGCCATGCCTCATAAAATTGTTAACCACTTCATTCAAAACCAGGTTCAAGTGATGACAGCAAGACAATTCTTGGTGACCTCCCAGTACACAGCAGTCCCACAGGACTACAACCAACCTTTTCTTTCAATGTTTTTCCAAACAGGTTGTCCATTCTGCCCCAACAGAAATAGTCAAGAAAAACTTTAACCAACTCCTCCACCTTTTCTCTCTCTCTTTTATAATAAAAAGGCAGGAGAATCAGAACCCCAAGTGGACAGAGAAGAAAAAACTGCCCAAGGAGAGCTGCTAATTGCAGCTGCAGAGACACAGAGATAACAGGGAGACGGAGCTCGCAAAAGGAGGTGAAGAGGCAATTGCCCTATGCAGCTGCACCTACAAGACGTGGATGTCACCGAGACTCCCAACTTCCCAGAGCCAGACTAAAAATTTCCCACTCCTCTCTGCCATACCCCTGCCCTATCCAAACACCTCTAGAACCTTCCCCAACCCGTACCCTCCCTCAGGGCCTCTGGTCTTATCTCCCTCAGCCTGCCTGCACCTAGGCTCAAATAAATTTGGTTTATTGCTTCAACTTTGCCTGACTCGGTAGACCTGGCCACACCTCGGTTTACTGTAATATCTGGTGCCAAGATTCAGAAAGGAAACAGGAAGCAACACTTATCCTAGGAGAGTGCTGACTTCCTGAGACCACCAGCTAAGTGGGTCACCCCCAGATATCCAGCCCTTGGGCCTTGCCTTGCTAAGACTCTGCTTCTGGTTCACTTCTCCCCTTCAGGATGGGGTCAGTCTCCAGCTTTTTCTTTGCTATTTATTATTCTCTTCCTTCCCTTCAGTCCCCTACCTTCTGCCTTTTGGGATAACCTGAGATCAACTTCTGAGTGGTGCCACTTAAATCCATGTCTTGGTTTACTTTTCTTTCATTGCTGGGAAAAATAACCTAACACCCAAAATTAAGGAGGGAAACGTTTATTTAGCTCACAGTGTGTGGAGATTTCAGTCCATAATCAGCTGGCTCCAGGGCAGAGCGGCATGGCACTGGGGCAACACTTCAAGGTGGCAGAAGACAGCAAAGCAATGAGACCAAAGAGGGGAGAGCAAGCGTCTTCTCCTCCCTTATACTGTAAGCAGGCTATCACCACCCACCCAGGGCAGTGCAGCAATTACATCTCTGTGCCATCCTCTTGAACAGGATCAGGATGTTTACAAAGCAAGGACACTAGCTCCCTGCTGAGTTGCTTGTTAAACTTCTCAAATTGACATCATGTACTGATCACAACAATCCCATACTGGTCATACTCACCTCTGGGACTCTGAATCCCTGGTAGCCACCTATTTTGGAGATGTCTCACTTGGTCATCTGCCTGCTCCATCTAGCATCAAGAAAAAGACTGGAGATGGCTTCTCTGTTTCTTGATTTGCCCTGTCTGGTTGGTCTCTACTTTCTCTCATAAGCAATCTTTCTTCCTCTACCCACCCACCCCCCAAAAAAATCTCAAGCCATTCCATTTCTATCCTGACGTAAAAGATAAAAACTCATTCTTCTGTCATTCAGCTGACCACTCTAAAAACTGGACAGTAAATCCAAATGGCCACCTACTTACATGTTTATCCTCTCCAAATGTCTGAGATTTAGACAATTATTGTTAACACGTGAGTAAGTGGTCCAGGGTTCCACAGGTCCAGGTGCTTTTCACTCTTCGCCAGCTCCTCTCTCTGTGCTCCTCCTGCAGCACTGCCAAAGTCTCCTGCTGTCTTCCCACCCATCAGTTCCTTCAGTGCCACCCACCTTGAGTCCTTCTCCACTGACCCCTCCATCTTAGCTCTTTCCCAACCTTCCACCAATTGCACCCTGCTCGCATTGCACCCCAGCCCCAACAGCCACCCTCTTCTCCCCTCCCACTTAAGTCTCCTCTTGCTTCCCCACTGCTCCTGCACCTGCTCAGGTCTGCACTTCTGCACCCCCTCAGCCTCTCAGCCTCCCCACCATCCAGTTTCCTCCTCCTGAGGTGCAGATGCCCAGGGCAGCATTCAAGTCCATGTGTCCTTTTCTCTCACTGACCTTTCCCAGATCAGTCATAACCCTTGGCTCCTACCACTCCTATCCAGGAGCTCCAACACCTTGCCCCATCCAAATAATAACAATAATAACAATAATAGGGAGTCTACTGTACACTGATTTCTGTACTTTAAAGTTTCTTTTATTCTTTTAAGTTGTTTATTTTCACAGGGTCTATTTCCAGAGGAGTTATAAATGAATTCCAAGATATGATAACATCAGAAAATCTTCTCACACACCTTCCATTCGCCTTTCCATTTGCATTGATTTACTCCCTCTTTTTAATCAACTGAAACTAAATGAAGCCTTTCCCACATTCTCTGTAACTTTAAGGCTTCTTTACACACTGGTTTCATATGAAATCTATCATGGTTTGAGGAATGCCTAAGCATTCCCCACGTTTTTTGCAATATTAGATCTCCAGGGTTGTCATAATACAACGACATAGATGGAATGGCTTTAAAAAAAAAAAAAAAAAAGAATTTCACTTCTAGAGTTTCAAAGTCCAGTACCATGTTGTGGGCAGGGTTGGATTCTGTTCCAGACTTCTGCCCACAGTTTGCAAATAGTCGCCTTTTGGTATCTTCACATGGGTCTTTTCTGGGCATGACTTTCTTTCTAGTTTTTCCTCCCCGGAGTGGGGATTTAACTCAGGGCCTTTTTATCCAACTACCTCCTCAACCCATTTTTTAGTTTTTATTTTGAGATATGGTCTTACTAAGTTGCCCAAGCTAGGCTCCAAATTCTGATCTTCCTGTCTCAGACTTTCAAGATGCTGAGATAATACATGTGCCAACATACATGAATTCAATTTCTCTTCTCACAGAGACATTGAGGATGTCGTATTAAGGACTGATTCTCTATTACTTTCATTTTTCTTTCAGCCTCATTTGAGTGACGTTTGAAGTCCAAGTACCCTTACACTAGGAGACAGTAGGGTTTGGGGCTTCAAAATGCAAATCGAAAGGGGAACCACACTATTTAAATCATAAAGTGTCTCTTCAGTGTCAGTTCATATATAAATATTAAGGTTTCTGGAATTTTCCAGATTCTCTACATTCATACGGCTTCACTCCAGCAAAATTTCTGATGTAAGTATTTAGGAGATAGCAAAATCTTTTTCACATCCCCAACTGACATAGAATCACCTCCATTATAAACTCTTACATGTTTGCTAAGACCTGAGATAGTAGTAAAAATGTTTCTAAATGCCTCCCATTGGAAGATTTCTCCCGAGTTAATTTGAGACTTCAAAGTGAACAGGACACATTTAACACATCTCTTACTTTGGTAAGTTTCTCTTCAGTATGCCTTTGTTCCTGACTGGGAAAGGAATTTAAACAATTGAGGGCTTTCCCACACTCCTTACATTCATAGGTAAATGTGAGTTCTTTCATGTAACTGCAATGAATTAGAGGATTCAAGGATTTCCCACACTGTTTACATTCATAGGAGTTTTCTCCAGTGTGAATTCACATGTGAAGGGTAATACATGTGGGAAACTTATAGGCTTTCCCATGTAACAGATAGGTAAGGTTTTCTGGCACTGTGAGTCCGCATGTGATGACTCAGACTGGAGGAATGTGTAAATGTTTTCCCACATTCCTTACACTCAAAGGGCCTCTCTCCAGTGTGAATCCTCAGGTGTTTACTAAGATTGGAGGAAATAGCAAATGCTTTCCCACATTTCGCACATTCAAAAGGCTTCTCCCCAGTGTGAGTTCTCATGTGTTCATTAAGGCGGGAGGATCTGACAAAGGCTTTCCCACACACTTTACACACATAGGGCCTCTCTCCAGTGTGGATACGGACATGCTTGGTGAGTTCCGAGTTCTGAATGAAGGCTTTTCCACAGTCCTTACATTTGAACGGTTTTATCCCAGTGTGAAGTTGAAGATGATCACGAAGGGACAAAGAGGTTCTAAAGAATTTCCCACACACCTTACACTCAAAGGGCTTCTCCACAGCGTGATTTTTCACATGTTCAGTTAATTGAGAAGATGTTGTAAAGACAGTCCTGCATTCCTTACCTTGGTAGGGGTTGGCTCCACTGTGGGTGCCCATGTGACTATTAAGGAAGGCAGAATATGTGAAGCCTTTCCCACATTCCTTATCCTTGTAGGGTTTTTCTGCATTGTGAGTTTGCATCAGCACATCAAGGCTGTTGGAGTGAAGAAAATCTATCCCACATTTCTTCAGTTCATGGAGTTTGTTTCCACTGTGTATTCTGGGGTCAGCCTGAAAGTCTGAGTGATCAACAAATGCTTCCCTATGGTCAGTGCCTTCAAAGGGTTTGTCCTGAGTGCACTTTCTTGGGTAAGGGACAGTTTGAGGTTGGTTAAATGTTGGTTCACACTGATTCGACATAGAAAATTTCTCTCCAGTAGAGATTTCCTTCTGCAGAGGAAGGATGTCTGCTCCATACTGATCACACTCAGAAGTGCTCCCTGTATTCTGAGTTCCCATATGTGATTTCAAGCACACGTGTCCACTGATGAAGTCTCTACAATCACAGAGCTCTGCTCCACTGTGGCTTCCTGCCTATTGATAAAAAAGGAGAAATGCTGATTAAAAGATTTTTCAGATTCATTAAAAGACTCAATGCAGGGGCTGGGGATTAGGCTCAGCGGCATAAGCGCCTGCCTTGCATGCAGGCAGTCGTGAGTTTGATCCCTGGTACCAATAAAAAGGAAAAAGGCAAAAAAAAAAAAAAAAGACTCCACGCATCCAAAGACAAAATATTACTATGACTGTGTCAGCATGATCATTTGTATTACATGTATACAGCCCCTGTTCATTGATTTATAGTTTCAGTCCTGCTGTCTTGCCCAGGATAGCCTCAAATCCTGGACTCGAGCAATCCTCTCTTCTCAGCCTCCCAAATAACTAGCCTATAGGCATTGTTATAATCCCTCCAAGCCTCATGTGTTCACAGGTGGGCTTTACAGAAGTGGGTGAAGATGGTGACATTAAGGGTATGGTGTACTACTTTAGTCCACTACTGGTCTTTGCATAATACTAGGTGTGGATGATGGGAAGGTCCCTTCTTGGAGTGTCACCACTTCAAAGGCAGGTAGCCTATAAGGAATGAAAAGGAGGGGAAGGCGGTGGCTGCTGCTGCTGCTGCTGCTTCACTGCTTTACTGCTCCTCTGCCTTCTGCCTGCCATGAACAGTTTCTCCTTTGTGGTACGCTCTGCCATGTCACCCCGACTTGGAGCCAGCCACCTATGAACTACAACTTCGCAAAACTATGAGTTCAATAAATCTTTCCTCCCTGAAATTGTGGGCGTCAGGAATGTTTCCTGGCAACAAAGAAAAGCAAATAAAACAGGCATGAGTCAACATATCTGGGGGTTTGTTGAATTCTACAAACTATAATGATGCAAGGCTCTGCTAGGAGCTCTGCCACCTACTTTGACTTTTAAAAATCTCTATAGGGTTTCAAAAAGTCTTTTTAAAACTACCAAGTTACTGTCTTTGAATATGTACTTGTGGGAACTCAGAAGCAACAAACAAAAGATTTGGGGCTCTTCCAAACTCACCATGTTCCAGGCTTCCCTCCAAAGCTGCTACTCTCTCTCCCTCTTATGTCAAGGCAAATTCTCTGAAATGTCTCTCTCTGTTCTGACTTACTTTAACAGAATTGCTCATCTCTTTGAGATATGGAAAATAACTATCCTTGTGCTGGGACCTAATGGACATGCTTTTAATCACAGCTCTCAGGAGGTTGAGGCAAGTAGATCCCCATGAATTCCAAACCTGCCCTGCTTGCCTATATAGTAATTTCAAGATCAGCCTGAATTATGGAGTGAGACCTTCACACTTACAAAGAAATCATAAATAAATAAATGAATGAATGAAAGAGAGACACAAAGGAAAAGAGAAAGGAAGGAAGTGAGCCTCTGAGTCTTACCATGAATGTCCCCCGGGAGTTCTGTCCTCTGAGAAAATCTTGCTGAAATCCTGCTGACTTTTTGGTTGTAAGTCCCACGTTCCATTCTGCAGTCAAAGAGAAAAAGAAACTTACAGGTTCCGGAGACTGAGAGACTGGTATAGAAAATGACAGGAACATGACACGGAGCATTTCTGTTTCAGATTGAACATGGCTTTACCAGAAGAAGCACCAAGATAGGGATGGCAGACGTCTCTACTCCCAGCACATGGGAAGCAAGAGGATCACCATGAGTCCTGGGCTAGCCTGGGCCACCCAGCAAATTCAATGCAAGCCTGAACTTCACAGCAAGACTATGTTTTTGCAGAGCAAAAAAAACCAAAAACCTAAAGAAACAAGCAGTACTAAAGTAAGGACAAAATTAAAGATAAATTATAAAAGATACATTCTACCAAAGTGAAATCGGGTGGTAAAGAGAATGACATTATGGTAGAAGAAAATGGAAATGCAGGACAAGAGATAGACATCAAAACAGTGGACAAAAAGAAGGAAAACCACAATCTATATAGTGAGGTCACAGGAAAGAAAAGACAGAAAGTAAAACCATACAGAAGGTTGAAGTGTTCCTAACTTCTGAGGAAAATGACCCAGAGCTTCTGAGATTAACAATAAACATTAATAAATAATAGTTCATTAGAAACAGTGAGCTTGCCAGAGTGCATTCTCAGGAGCACTCACCCTGGAGAGCTCTTCCCTGCCCTGTCCTTAACTCTTCCTGCTCCAACCAGGAGATGAGGCTGGGTTTGAGGAGCTCACATCCTGTAGGTGGAGAAACAGACAGTCACAGAGTGCAAGACATGAAGGGCCTACCAGATTCAGCAAATAACAGTTCTGATAGGAGAAATTAAATAATTTTCAGAAACATGCAAATATCCCCTCTGCTTTACCTGAACAATATTGTCTCTGACCACTGAAAACTAAATCCAGATTTATGTTTACAAAACATTAAGTCTCTTATCTAAGTATAAAATAAACTGTATGAAACAGAAACCTTCATTATGTAGGGTAAATATTTCTGTGAATTTCATTGTGTGTGTGTGTGTATCTGTGTGTGTGTGTGTGTGTGTCTGTGTGTAAGTATGGTGCTAGAAATGGAACCCAAGATCTTTCCCTGCAGGAAAGCAGTCTACCTCTGACATGTATGCCCAGCCCATACAACTGTGCTTCAGAAACCTTACAGGACTTCAGATCCATCTGGAGGGCTTGAAGAACACAGCTGGCAGGGCCCAATCAGTATGCCACAGAGGGAGACTGGGAATGTATAATCAAACACTGCTGGTGATATAATGTCCTTGATTTCAGACCACAATTTGAGAAGTGTGAGTGTAGACTAAAGCCATCATGGCAGGGGCTGTATCTTTGTCATTTCTCTCCATATACACACTTGATTTCACTCATCCTGCAACAAACACTGAGTGCTGATAGCACTCAGCATAATCTGCTGCCTAAGAGTCCACAAGGCCTGATGGTGCACCTACCCACAGAGGCCAGGCTCTGATAGTTCTCCAGCATCACGTCACTGTACAGCTTCCTCTGAGTCAGGTCCAGCAAAGTCCACTCCTCCAGGGTGATGTCCACAGCCACATCCTCAAAGCTCACTGGCTCCTGTATCACCACACACAAGCTGGTTTGAGCCAAATGACACAATCACCCGGGTTCACAGGAAAATGAGGGGGCTGTGCAGGGTTGTGAGGTGCCCACTGTCTAGCCCAGGGTTCAGTACTCTGAGAGACTCTTCCCTCTGTCCACACTCATTCACCATGGATCTCCTCTGGTCATGTGGCTTTAATGGCCCTTCCTACACATCATCTTATCACAGATGCTCATCAGATGACTCCCTATGGAGGCACACCCTAGAGCACTATGGATGCCTGATGATTGTGAGGAATGAATGAATTCTTGAGCCAAAAGACACTTTCACACCCCTCACCACTTGCCAGAATGCTCAGCAAGATCAGAAACACACAGTCGGCATCAAAAGAAAAAGTTGGTGAGTAAATGTGAAATGCTCCACATTTAAAGTAATCCCTCAACACTACGTAGTTCCTCTCCCTGGGGAAATTCACTGAGGGACTCAGTCCTTTAGTGAAGCTTTAAGAAGGTCTTGGAGGCTGGGTGTGGTGAGGCACACTTACAGCTATTTGGTGGTAAACATAGGAGAAAGACTGAATCCAGGAGTTCAGGACCATACTGCACAGAACAGCAAAACTACGTCTTTTAATAAAATGGTGAAATAGGTAGGTGGGGGGACAGAGACACAGAGACAAAGACACAGAAAGACAGAGATAGAGAGATGCTGGCTGTGGTGGCACATGTCTGTAATCACAGCACTTGGATGCTGAGGCAGGAAGACTGCCATGAGTTCAAGGCCACTCTGGGCTAAACAGTAACTTCAATGTCTGTGTTAACTACATACCAAAATCTTGTGTCAAAGAAAATAATGATAGAGAAGTGATAGTAAGGCTGAATTATTTAATAAATAGACAGATAGATAGATAGATAATAGATAATACATAGACACATAAACAGATGGACAGACATTAGATAGATGCTGTGGAAATGATTCTGCATAGAAGAAACTATGTCCCCTAGTGGATGCAGAGTTATGATTTTGTAGATCTATGTCAGCATACCTGATACCAATCTGAAAGACATGCAGTCATCTTCTTTTTGGACTCTGTCTTTTCTTCATGAAGGTACATTGAGTCCATCTGAAAAGACTTCATGGAGGAGAAAGAAGACATGAGAACCCAGAGTTCACCATATACCGCACATTCACATGCCTGGAAGTTACTCCAGCCTAGTTCAAAATTCCCACATATATTAGGCTGAGGCTATAGCCCAGTAGTACAGTGCTGGCCCAGCACACAGAAGGCCCTCTCTTCAATCCCCAGCACCACCAAACAAAACAAGTCCCTTTGTATCCCTGCACACTCAAGAAAACACCCACTAATGCTTACTCTCCTGAGATCCAGAGCAGCTGCCTCACACAGAGCCAGAAAAGGAGACTGTGTGCCATGCTGGCCACCAGGAAAAAGGTCAGTCTTGTGATGTGTGAAGAAAGTTAAGCCTGGGTAAATATGCCTGTGTGCCCGGGGAGATAAAACTCGTGAAAACCCAGTGAGGTGCCACCTCACTTCTGCACATCCTAACTGCATCAGCGGCCTGGCTGCCTGCGCCCAGGCTCTAGGCTCCGTATGGTGCTGTAAGGAAACCTAAAGCAGAGTCCCTGGAAGGTCATGATGGACTCACCAGGGCTACCCCCCTCCCTGTGAGGCTGAAGGAGCTGTGCGCTTAAACATGCCTTTCTTTGACTCAAGGTCACTTCAGGACAACTTCTGAAGCTCCATAGAGTGGCAGTCCCTTTCCTCTTCATTCAAGGTTGAGTGCTATCACATCAGCAACAGTCAGCACGACTGTTTAGTAATACCCCCAAAACAATGTACAGATGATGGATGTGACAATCACCAAAACTACCTGACAATCATATTAGAAACATCAGTCACCATTTTCTGAAAATGAGAAGGTGTCAAAAGTTGTACTAGGAACATCATAAACATGAGTTCACTTAATGAGCTCTCGTGACTGGACCACTGGTGGTATATGTGTCACCGGCCCATCAGACAGTCTACCACCCAATGGGGCTGTCTTATGTTGCTTGATTGGACAGGGATACATATACCACCAGTGGTTTTGAGCTGCCTGACCACAAAATATGTGATTATAGCCCCTTAATTATTGTAATGACCTTTTATAAGAAATGTCACTGAGTGGGGGATGTGGCTAAGTGGCACAGCACCTGCCTGGTAAACATGAGGCCCTGAGCTCAATTCTCCATACCAAAAATAAAAAAAGCCGTATGTCTAATGGATACTGGAAAAGCCTACATTCATAAATCACTAGTAATCATCCCAGTTTTACCCAGTGAGGAGGTGATGAATGAAGATTTCAACACAGTTACATTTGTTACTAACATTTGCTCTACTGCAGTGGTTGTTATAGGACAAATATTCCTTCTCCAATGACTGGTCTATCATGGTTGATTTACAAGTAGAGGACTGCTTGTCTGAAATGATTTATGATTTTAAAAAGTGTTGCAGTTTTCAGAGATTTTTCAGTTCTGGAATATTTGCATAAACTTTACCTAGTTTAGCCATGCATTCAAAAAGCAGTCAGGCAAGGAGGTGCATACTTGTAATCCCAGCGTTCAGGAAGCTGAGGCAGGAGAACCATCAGGAGTCAAAGGCCTGCCTGGGCTACATTGTGAACTCAAGGCAAGCCTGAACTACACAGCAAGACCCCCATCTAAAAAAAATATTTATACTTCACAACCATTTTGGATTTCACATTTTCTGATACTCAATCTATAGCTCTCAACCTATAGTTCTCAATGTGACCAGAGGTGGGTTTAGACCTGAATTATACAATAAAAAGGTCACTAGGCATGTGTATTACTGAAGCTACGACAGAGTAACAGTGAGACCTTTACTACAAAAAAAGTCATCAAGTACCAGTTGGCCTGAGCCCCTCACCATGAACTGGGTGGTGTTCAACCCACCAAACTGAAAGTTTTGGTACATGCAACTAGAATTTTTCATCAAACAGAGATAGCACAAAAGACACTGAGCTGAGACAGATCCAGGGAGAGTAACCACACAGCACCTTCTACTAAGCCAAAGGCAAAATCCAAGGGAGGAGTTAACATTCGGTCTAATTAATGCAAAACTGCCAACTGTGGGACTGACTAAACTGAAGGTGGATCCCACATGCACATGCGGGGGACAGAGCAAGGCTAGCCCTGAGGACACAAAGTGCCCTGCCTGAGCCAGGTAAATAAGTTTTTCCAGCCCCGAGCACACCAGGCACCAAAGGCGAGCTGAGCAAACACTTGGTTAGGCAGAGGGTTTCACCTGGTACCAACCTGACGCATGTATAAATAATAACTGCACTGCAGCCGTTGGGTAGCCCCCATCCCCAACCAAGAGAAGACTCCACCTGACCTCAGCATTCTGCATTTTAACTGCTGCCTTTTCTTCACAGCCTCCCCACAAGGAGCTTCTCTCCAGCTGCACTGAATGTGGCATTCTGGTGCCTAAACAGGGACCCAGGGTACGGGAAAATGCATCACATAGCAGGTGAGAGTTATCTCTAGTTGAGCACACAAAATGGAGAGAAGTGTATTGACATCATCAATATTGGTTCCATCACTATCATCAACATCAATCCCAGAGGTGTACTGATATCAATACTGATCCCACTGATATCAGCAGTATGATCCCACCACCAGGTAAAAAACACAAGGCAAACAGGTTCTCAAAAATGACAGCCATAGGGCTGGGAATTTAGCTCAGTCACGTAAGTGCCTGCCTGACAAGTGCGAGTTCCTGAGTTCGATCCCTGGTACCAATAAAATAAAATAGACTATGGCATTGGGGGAAAAAAGAATGACAGTTGTATATAGTAATGCCTGCTGTATTACAGAAAGCAAAAGGTACAGATGTAAAGATTTCTCAACTGATGGAATTTCTCACCTTTGTACATGAGATACATCTCTGGTTCACAGAGCAAGGAACTGTGCACCATGAGATATGGAGGTATGTAAGGCTGCAATCATGTGCCTGATATACTGCTTAGGGGCCTGAGTGTATTCCCATATTCACCTTGTTTGTGTGCACCTTGATCAGAGTGTCTTGATGATCATATTCCAGTTGAGACAACCACAGAGGAATTGCTTGGAGCATTATCTTAAAACTTAAAACAACTGTAAAAACTAGACCTGTGTACATTCCTGACCCTTCAACTAATACTTCAATAACTTTTATGAGATGACAAATCAATGACATATCAGATTCCAAAATTCCTTGGACTTCATCCTTCTAGGAAGCCATTAGTAGCTACTCTTGGTGGAAAACTCTTTGTTAATTATCCATTATAATTATCCTTTCCATTTTGTTATTTGGCCCACACATAATTAATTGTTTATTTTCCTTTGTCTCCTCCAGACTTAATTTATATACCTACTCAAGATAAAAAACACCTGGTATCAATCAAGGACCATTAGATAAAATCTCTGCAGAGTATTCCTAACTGCTGGAGTTTACCATACTTTGTGGCTGAGTAGTATTTCATGTATAAAAATACTACATCTTTTTCATCCATTTCTCAGTTGATGGGCATCTGGGTTGTTTCCAAGATCTGGCTATTACAAACTGTGCAGCTATAAACATGGATGTTCATATATTGCTGTGGGAAAATACCCACAAGAGCAATAGCTGGGTCAAATGGAATCTCCAATCCTAGTTTTTTGAAGAATCTCCACACTGAATTCCACAGTGTTTGTACCAGTTTGCATTCCCACCAACAGAGAAGGGTTCCTTCTTCCCCACAGTCCCATCAGCATTTGTTACTGGTTGATTTCTTGATGTTAGCAGTTCTTTCTGCAGTAAGATGATATCTCAGTGTTGTTTTAATTTGCATTTCTCAAATGACCAATGATGTTGAACATTTTTTCATATATTTATTTGCCATTTGACAATAGGTTGTTATTATATTCATGGTGTATTAAACGTATTCATGTCTTCAGATGTACAGGTTTTCTAAAATAGATAACAGGGATTATTTACAGTGATAGACATTTTCTTTCAGATTCAGACATCTGCCTTTAACAAAAACTTATGTGATGTACATGTTATGTGCCACTATATGTAGAGATGCTTAGATAGTAAGCAGTCTAGACTATCAAAAATTGATTCAGTGACACCCCCATTAAAGGCCACCAATTTAGGCAAAAGATTCTTATGTACTAGACACAGATGACTGACTAAAAAGGATATCTATATCAAGATGGAAATTTTAAGTGTGTTATAAAAATGTCATCATGATTGTCACACTAAAATATTACATATGTCCTTTGAATCAAATTTGCTGTGTAAAACTATGTAGCTGTTATCTGTTACTATTCTACAGGAATCCAACTACTAGAACATCCATTATTGGTAGAAAATAACAGTTCTAGTTTGTATTCAATATTATTGGTATACAGATAAAAAGATAATAAATTCAATGCTCCCATTACAATTTGATGTCATTAACTTTTTCTTCTAGATATTCAACAACTGAGGTGTAGAGGCCCAAAACTAGAAAGATAGACTAAGAGGAGTCAATATTTTGCCCCAGGACCTCTGAGGTCAATGAGGACCCAGGATATAAGAAAATTTCTGCTTTGACATGGTATAACTCGGTGAGTCTCCATCTTCTGGCCAAGGAGATTGTTGGGCCACAGAGGAAGAGATTAATGGTGTGCAGTGTGCCTAAGAAGAGTCATCAGAAGAGAAGTCTCCTAAGATTTCCTAGGAGACAACTTGGTCAAGCAGTGGCCATGACTCATCCAGACAGCAGACACTGACAGGAGAACTAAGAGGTGCTTTACATGGTCCTAAGGCAAATCCTGTGGAGACTTAACCAATCATGGCAGATAACAGGAAAGTAATTTAATCAATAGAAGTCTCACTTTAACTTGGTCATGAACATCCATCAGTAAAGTATAACCACAATATGTATAAAATAATGCCCTATTAATATGATAGTATACAACAAACTCAAATCACTAACACCTTCTGACATTCCCAACTACACTGGTAATTGATTACTCTTATGTCATATCGGGTTAAACTGCTGTATGCAGGGACCTGAAATCTTTGAACCAGGAATCTTTTGCATAAATGAGAAAGCTCACTCAGAATGGAAAGGGTTCCAGAAGAAGCAGGTCCTCTGCAGTCTTCCAAACACAGCTCTTCCAGCTCCAACTGATGACCCATCACTTACAACTACAAAACAAAAAAGGGACAACAAAAGGAAAATTAATCCTGGCACACAAATGAGATAAGGATGAAGTATACGAATACTAAGTGCTTCTGTGATGCACAGAAGGGGCTAACGGAAGTTAGATGCATGGGAGAACACTTGTTATTCCAGCCACTCTGGAGGGTAAAGGAAAAAGATCAGAAATTTGAGACCCACTTGAGCAACTTTGTGAGACTGTCTCAAAGTAAAAAATAAACGGAGGCTGGCAATGTAGCTCAGTACAAAGGTCCTGGGCTCAATCTCAAATACAACCACCACCAAAAAAACCCTAACACAAGACAAAACAAAAAGCTGTGTACCATGGATATCAACTACAACTTTGATACCCTTCACAGAAACATGAAATGTAGCCGTTCTATTTTCTCTTTGCTTGGTAAATGTATGGGTTAGTCATACGCATGGGTTTATGTACATGAACTAACTCTTCCCCACTGTTTTACATGTTATTACCAACTAAATTTATAATTCTGTCTTTGGGTGTAGAAAATCACTGTAATGGTTCTGGGGATTTAGCTCAGCGGCATAAGCACCTGCCTTGCAAGCAGGCGGTCGTGAGTTCGATCTCCAGTACCGATAAAAAGAAAGAAAAAAAGAAAATCACCTTAACAACTCTCCTTGAATACACAGCAATGACCTCCACCTTGGCTAAACCTGGGCCTATCTTCAAGGACTGATATATACAAAGATGGCTAAGCTGTTTCCTCTTCCCTCCAGTGGGCTCTAAGCAATGTAAGTAGGCCTGGCTGAGGTGCTGATGCATGATCTGTGAAGCCAGATGACAGTCACTGTTTCCCTGCTTCAGTGTCTCCCTAAAGGGTTGAGCCTAGTAGGATGCACAGCCAATGCTCCAGGACTATCAACTGGGTTTGAAATAAAATGCTATACTACCAACTGCTCTGAGCTCACTAAGAGAAAGGTGTGTGCCAGCATTGTTTGGATGATTGAATGCAGGTGTTTTTTACTCTTAGTAATTGCTCTGAAGATAATAGACAATGCATATGCCATTGTTATCTAAGTATTGTGTTTTGAAACTTTTTTCTCTTTATAATAAAAAAGAGGCCACGACTTGTCAGGACAAAAAAGGTTTGCACATCAAAACTAAAGCATCATTCTTCTCAGCATTAAACGCCACCTCAGCTCTGTTATGCAGATTGGTCTTTCTGCACACCCTTCTCTCTGCACACCGCAGAGGCATTTTCTGCCCTCTAGCTGGCCCAGCTCAGAGTACTCACATAATTCCCTCTATTCTCCCAGTCACTCTTCCTCCAGCCACTCCCTCCTCCACAAATTAATAAAATGTGGGTTAGACCCTGGGTTGAAGCCTTTGTTCTGTAAACTTTCATCTGGTCCAGATTCAAGATCCCTTGGCTGCCTATAGCCAAAAGTATGTCTTCATGTCTTTACTCTCACCATGGGCTGCACTGGAGGTCAAGTGGTAGCTTGGAATTAACTTGCTAAACTTCAAATAATATTCTGGTGATGATGTTTCTTAAGAATATGACTAAACTTGAGGAGTAATTAATAGTCTTCAATGGTGACAGGGGGATCTTTGGGAGGGTACAACTTGCCACCATACAGAAAGCTAAGTACCTCTGCTTGTATCTTAAAATACAGACTGTTTTATTCCATTATTAATCCATTATTAGGAGGAAATACAACAATGTGCACAGCCAGAGTGGACTGCACCAGACACCAGCTTACTCATCTTGCTCTGATTTCACCTTCCATACCCACTATGCAATGAGAGAATTGTATGCTCTGTTAACATTACATGACATGAACAGCACACTAAGCTCTGTGCACAGAGGTGATGCCTGGTGATGCTTTTTTACGTAATTGCTGTCTCCACACCCACTTTCAGGCCTGACATGAAGTTATCTGAAACTCAGTGGCACCCAAATACCCCAACCTAGTTTAAGTTTCCCCGCCTTGGGTGGCCTTTTGCTACCCACACCACTTTATCCACATAAGCTGACTGCAATTCAAACCAATGATCCAAATCAGAGCCACAGAAGTCAGTCTCCCATTTCTCTCTCTCTGTTTTTTTTTTTTTGTACCGGGGATCGAACTCATGGCCACGCACTTGCAAGGCAGGTGTTTATGCCACTGAGCTAAGTCCCGGCTTCCCTGGTGTTTTCATTTCTGATTTGTGATACAAGGTCTCATTGTGTTGCCTGGATTGCTCTTGAACTCTTGAACTCAAGATATTTTTTTGCCTCAGCCTCCTGAGTATCTGAGACTATAAGCACAGCCGACCATGCCTGGCTCTCCTAGTGCACTCTTGACACCAGGGAATCACAGAAGCCCAGTGGGAAAGCCTGAAGGTCGAGGCACCATGCTAAACTGAAGGCATCATGCTAAGCACCCCTCTCTGCCTCATTCCTGACCTGAGGCTGAGCACCTTGCTATGTCCGGGCTTCTCTCTCACCTCGGGACCTGTGGATGTTGTGGTTTATGCCCGTATGTCCCCTCAGGGTCTCATGCACTGATAGTCAGGGCTGTGGAAAGTGACTGAATTTGGGGGCTACAGCTGATCTGCTATTAGGCTGCTCCCCTGATTTCTCGCTGCTCCATGATCACCAAGTTCTGACCATCTCTCCCCTGTCCATGCCATTCAGCCCCCTACGACTGAAAACTGAGCCTCCTCTTTATTTATGGGATTTTGCCCCAGCAATGAGAGACATAGTTAAGAAAGTAAGTACAGAACATGTCTCTGTTCTTTGATGTGTTTATCATGCTGTCTCTGATAGATCTCCCCTGTCTCCCTGACTGGGTGGGGCTGGAATTCACAGGTGCTCTCTGCAGAGAGACCTCTAGGCCAAAACGGAACAAAATATAGTTGGTGTTCAGGAGCAGGCAGGGTGTGTGATCACACCCATGAGCCACATGACACAATGCAATTAGACTGCTTGCCTTTCCAGGATACACATGTGACCAGTACCATTGGGGACGCTGCCTGTTAGAAGACTGTCTGTGGTCCTTGCAGGTGCTGCCAAAACTCCATGTCCCCAACCAGGTGGCTCCCGGACAATCTTAGGGCTCCTGAACCCATGCAGTCAGCCTTCATGAGACAGCAGCCAAGGTGGCTGTGGTTCCCCAAGGGAACTACGGTCGGGGTGAGAAGGCCGCGTCCTCAAGGTCTGACCAGACTGTAGGTGACAGGCAGATGCTGTGGTGCTGAGAGGGAGACTGGCAATGTGGCAGCCCATGAACAGGGCACACAATTTCCAGGGACACTGCCAGACTCTCTCAGCCTGACAAGAGGGTCCTCCTTCCCAGGAAATAGCTGGAGTCTGCTGTCCCTGTGTTGCGTCCCCCACAGCTTTACACCTTGACCTCAGTTAAGCTGACACCCTGGAAAGAGGCTCAGCAGGGAGGGCAGTGGAAACCACAGGCAGCAACAAATGCTCAATACCAGGCCATTTGAGACCAGCGGCAGCTTCTCAGGAGCATCTGAAGACAGAGAGGGAAGATCTCACTGATAGGATTATATCTAAAAGATGAGAAGTATAAAACAAAAGAGGCCTTTATTCTGAGAACAGGGAGAGAGAGAACCGACACCCCCTGACCGCTGGAGTCTGGCTTTCTCTCTGGCAGACACATGGTATGGGGGGGTATATAAGTAGCCTAAGCTTAGGGTAGTGGCCTAAGGCCATTAGAGATGCACAGGTGTCTCATTGGCACACATTTGGTGCCAGGGGCAGATTCCTAAGGGTGGGGGGAGATAGAATCACAGATAAATTCCTAGGGGCGCAGGAGATAGGAGCTCCCTGATTCCGGTTGAGGCTTTTCTGGCTACAGAGTCCTGTCTGGGCCAAAACCCTTTCACTCACCATGCAAATATACAAACCACTCTTTAAACAGTTTATTTAAAAAACAAAAAAAGGAGCAAAGGGACAGATTATCCTAAAGCCTGTGCACCCCAGAGATACACGGTCTCAACCTCTACTGCTTTTCCTCTTATCAGCCAGAGGCAGAAAGGAAGAACTTGTATCAGGAAGCCCAAAGACACAGAGGGCGGGGAGGAAGGCTAGTTTTAGGCAGTGACAACCTCAAGTCAGACAGAAAATGAGGAACTTTCAGTCTGAAGTGCTGAGAAGATGCCAGGTTTAGCACACACACCCGGCTAGCCCCTGATTACTTCCTGGCTTAAAACATACACTGCAAGGAGGAAAAACTGAAAGGTACCTGAGATTTTAAATTATCACTTAAAATGCACCAATTACCAGGCATGGTGACACATGCCTATAATCCTGGCACTCAGGAGTCTGATGCAGGAGGATGCAGCTAGTGAGTTCAGGGCCAGCCTGAATTACACAGCAAGATCCTGTCTCCAAAAACCAAACATTTAAAATTAAAATTCAGATTAAATAAAAATCCACCAGTTATCAAAACTGTTGCCTTGGTCAATCTGGGCCACAAATTATAATCTATAGATTCCACTAAATTTAAACACTGTGACTTAAACAAGCAAAGAAATATTTTATGGTGCCACAAATGTGTAGGAGACAATCTGAGCAACTCCCTTGAATGCAGAACAACTGCTGCAACATTGGTTAAAATGAGTCTTGTTTCCATATACCAGCATGTACAGAGCGGGCTATACTATTTCCTTCTCCATTCGATTGGCTCTAAGTGATGCAAATACAGCCAGCTTAAGTACTGATATGTAATCCCAGAGGCAAACCTGAGAGTCTCCGGTTTCCTTGAATAGTGCTCTTTGTAAAAGATTGAAGTGTGGTGGGATGGCAGAGCCACTCAGCTCCAGAAATGTCTGCTGGGTACAAGCCTCAAAGTAAGAGGCTATGACTCCCCAGCACACAGAAGTTTACATACTAGAAACTAAAGCAACAGCCTCTTAAATTCATTAATACGCTAGCCCAGTCAAGCTTTCAGACTGGTGTTTCTGCATGTCTCCTTGCGTAACACAAAGATGCTTTTCTCCTCACTTAGACAGCCAGCTCTAGTTACTCACATAGTTCCCGTCACTCACCCTTGAGCCACTCCCTTCTTCACCAGATAATAACCCCTGGACAGGCCTTGGATCATACAGTCTCACTTGGATCAAGCTTAGGACCCTTAACTTTGAATAAGTCTTGGTGTCTTTACTCTTGCCATGGGTTGCAGTGGAGATAGTAGACTGGAATTAATTTGTTGAGATTCCAATAACATTTCAGTGGGCTATAGATACAACTTTTCAAATTGTGATGAAGGTTAGAATAGGGATTACAATACTAGGATTACAATATTCACTACTTGGATTACAATAGAATGGAACCCAAGATATTCTGCATGCTGGGTAAATGCTCTATGACTGAGCCATACCTCTAGACTTTTGACCTCTACATTTTATTTTTTAGCAGCACTGGGGACTGAACCACGACTGTTCCAATGAGCTACATCCAGAGCAGCACGTCTCTCGTTTCTTTAATTTTGAGGCAAGGTTTCACTAAGTAACTAAACTACCTAGATTGGGTTCACACTTATAACCCTCCAACCTCGGCCTCCCAGAGTCCTGAGATTACAAGCGTACATCACCCCACCTGGCTTCCCCAAAAATCTTACATTTAGAATGGAAAAATGGGTATACCTTAATAGTGGCCTTGCTTAAATTTCCCATAATCATAAGATGCACTGTCTTCAAAGTATTCCATATTAAAGGGCTGGAGATTTAGCTCAGTGGCATAAGTGCCTCCCTGGCAAGCACAAGATTGTGAGTTTGATCCCCAGTACCAAAAAAAAAACAAAAAAAAAAAAACAAAAACAAAAAACACTACTTAAGTCTCACAAAGTATTTCATATTAGGCACAAATATATTAACAAATAATTAATAAACTTAAGCCTTTTTAGCAAGGTGTGCTGGTACTTAATTGTAATCTCAGCTTCTTAGAAGGCTGAGGCAGGAGAATCACAGTTTTGAAGGCAGCCTTGTCTCATAATTTAAAAACAAAGGAGTGGGGATGTAGCTCAACACCTCCTGAGTTAAATCTCCAGACCTGGAGGGCGAGGGGACCATCCTGTCAACAGTGTATGCAAATATAACCTGCATCGTATGTGTGCTTTAAGAGAAAAAAGTAAAACTGACACAAAAAGTTTAAATTATTTTGCTAGGAACTCTTTTTCCCTAGCTCCATAGCTTGTGCAAATTAAAATGATTTCAACAGAGGATCCTAGAGTACAGCTTCCTTTTCTTTAACACCTTGTGCAGGAAAAAGAAAAAAGTGGAAACAAACCCAAATGATGGTACATGCATTTCCCTTACGATGAAGGGAATGTCTGGCAGATAATACATCCTGGATGAATCTCACAGACATTACACTTACTAAGAAGTCAAATACTGTGACTTCATTTTATGAAGTACACAGAGTAGTGAGATTAGTACACAAGATCTATGAAAGTTTGTCAGAGGCTGGGGCTGAGAGGATTAAGGAGTTGGTGTTCAATGGTAAGAGTTTCAGTGTGGGAACATCCAAGTTCCAGAGACAAGGTGTCTTAGTTACTTTTCTCATTCCTGAGACAAAATAACCAACATCAAAATTGAAAACGGGAAAGTTTATTTAGCTCACAGTTTGTAGAGGTCTCCAAGAAAGGGTATTGTAGAGGAGAAACAATTCATGGAGGGTAGAAAGTCATGGAACAGTGAAGCTGACAAGTAGCAAGCAAAAACAAGTGACAACAGCAGCTCTCTTTCTGTCCTTTGTATTCTCTCCAGGCTACCTGCCTCTTCTCAGCACTCAGCTAGAGAAGGCTTAATCGTAGCACCACACCATGAATCAATCCCAGAACCACACACTCAAGATACAGCTACCTCTGAAAAGCCCCACTCCTGACTGCAAAAGCAACGGTAAAATTTGCACAAAAGTGTATGATTATAAACTGTAAGCGTGCAATTAAAATTTGTGCAAGGCATAGAAGTGGTGCACATCTATAATCCCAGCACTTGGGAGACTGAGGCAGGAGGATCACAAGGATTAGGTAGCCTGGGCTATGTTAGAGGGTCAAGGCCAATCTAGAATACATAGTAAGAACCTGTCATAAAAAAATAAATGACATAAATAAATAATCACATGAACTAAGACTTCAAATGAATTGTCCTAAGAAAATGGGACCCTATCGGCCCCAGGAAAAAGCAGATCCTACAGCACAATCTGAATTAAACCATGGCCATAAGAAAAGTTCTATGAAACTCAGTTCAGGAAGGGGCAAATATCTCTACTGCTTCACATCTGTCAGCCTAATTTTTCCTGTTTTTAATTCTAAAAATAGAAGTATCTTGTTACAGATTTCTATAGTCTTAATTAATATGATGAATTTCAACCATCAAGACTCACAAAACCTGTAACTGAAATGAGCAATTCTACTTATTCGACAACCAGTAAATACTGGGCTTTTATAAATTTGGTTAACATGTATCGTTCAGAGTCTGTTTCCACACCACACATGCTGTCTGCTTCCATAAAACATTCTTTCCAGGCCCCAACCAATCTGTCACCCTGCTCAGTCCCTTCCTGACAATTCCTTCAGCACGGGCACAGGGTGACCCTGCACCAAGGGGGAGCTGGCTGACATGCTAACGAAGGACATAGAACTGCTGCACATCTTCCTACGTCCCAGGCGCCAGTGACCACACATTGCTCATCGAGGAAGTCCTCATTTATATCTAAACTAAAACCAAGCAGCTCTCTCATCAGTGCCTGCCAAGAGAACCCTTTTTGAACAGAGGTTCTGCCAGTGCATCCCGAAGGCTCTGGGAAACAGAGGCCCTCACAAACCTGAGCCTATGAACCAGCTCCCCATTATGCTTGGATCACAGAAAAGACACCCCGTAAGTTTGGCATTGCTTGTGAGGTCTCCTTAACACAAGATGGAAGCCAGCCATGGTGGTGCACACCTGTAATCTCAGCACTTGAGAGGCTGAGGATCACAAGTTCAAAGCCAGCCTAGGAAAGTTAGCAAGACCCTGGATCAAAATAATAAGGTTCTCCAGCCGGGTACAGCAGTACAGCTCTTGCATAGCACACGCAAGGCCTTGAGTTCCGCCTTCACCAAAATTAGTAGAAAAGCAAACAGAAAAGTCCTTTGGCAAGCTCCCTTCTGACAAGTACCCAAAGTATAAAAGCAAATCACATATCTTCATGAATGCATCAGGGCCGTAACAGTACAGACCACCTCTTATTCCTTTAGCAGTTATAGGGATCACTGCAGTATCTCAAATACCACTTATAGTTCCACAGGGATTTCGAAAGCAAAAAATTAGTTCTCCTGGCAACTTCCTATTCACTCATCGTGCTCTGTATCTAGAATGTCCCCAAAGTTTTATGTGTGCAAAGGCAGCTTTGGGGGATGTCTGGATCACAGGTGCGCTGTGGTCACTGGTGTATTCATCCACTGGAACGCAGAACTCAAAGCTCTGATGGGACATTGGGTCTGGTAGAGGAAGCTCACTGGAGCGTGACCTGGAAGGGTGAATCTTCCTCCTTCTAAACCCTCCCTCCGTGCCACTGCATTTGACTCACCCATGGACTCAAACTCCTGAAGCCACGAGCCCGAATACCCTATAAGTTCACTTGTGCGGTATTTTACCCTAACAACAAGAAAATGACTAAAACACTAATAACACCTGGCATCCTCTCCCGGATACTGAAGTGCTAAGAGATCCTGGGCTTGTCAACCTCCCTGCCTGACGTGGTAGTGTACGCCAGTCATCTCAGCACTAGGGAAGCTGATGCAGGACAATCACTGCAAATTTGAGGCCTGCCTGGGCTACCGAGCGAGTCCCAGTCTCAAACAGGAGAAAGAAGAGCTCTCAAGCCAGCGTTCTCCCAGTGCTCACCGGGACGCACCGGAATCGCCAGGTCCGAGAAGCCCGAGGTCACAGCGCTGGAGTCAAGGGAACCTGACTGAGGGAGAATTCCTTTCTTTACGGAAAAAGTCACAGATTGCTGGGAACCTTTAGAAGACGCGAGGGCGGCTTCCCAAAGGAGTCCAAGGAAGCGCGCTCTGGACCCCAGGATGCGGCTCCCGGCAGGACCCGGAGGGATACAGGCCCGGCGGCCTTAGGCATCCCGCTGGGACAGCGCACGGCCTGATCGGAATCCTGTGCTGTTTGTCCTCTCACCACTGTTTTTACCACCAATTCTTCAACGTCGCTCGGCTCACCAAAACTAGCTTAAAAACCAGCCACAACTAAGGAAAAAAGAACTTAACCCCGCAGAGTCACCGCCGGAAAGACTTCGGTGGGTGGTGACGTCACTTCCGCTTTAGAGAAGGGCGGGGCCGGAAAAACAGAGGCGCCAGGCTGTGACTGCGGCGCTTTGGCCCCGCTTTCAGACACGCAAACTTCACTTTTCTCGCTTCGGTGCAGGTGGGCCCGAGGATGGAGTTACAGCCGGGGCTGCTTGCAGAAACAGCGCCTGAGGCTGAGTTTGAGGTTGAAGCCAGGCATGGGGTCGTGGCTTTTGCGAAAGAAATTAGAAGTATATTTAGTTACCTAGGAGAGGGTGGGCAGGGAAGAAAGCCATCTGCTCCAAACAAAGAGAAGCGTGTCCCTTTTATAGGGATGCAAAGAGAGCAGGGGCAAGGTTTAACAAACATCTGTGGTTTTCCCACGTTGGTTCTTGGTATTCCCCCACTTGTCCCAGGGCTTCGTAGGGGAGGACTGGGGCTGAGAGAAGTGGGGACAGCTTTGATGGTACAGTTTGAAAGTTTTGCAGCTCGGTAATGGGAAAACGTGCACAACAGTGCACAATTGGTAAATCCAATTAATACCTATGTAAATATTGAAAATTGGTGCTGGGCGTATTGGTGCATGCCTACAATCCTAGCACTCAGGAAGCTGGAGGCAGGAGAAGCACTGACACAGTGAGTTTAAGGCCAGCCTGAACTACATGGTGAGGTCCTTAAAAAATAATTAAAAACAAAAAGATTCAAACAGTAAATTTTATGTGATATATATTTCACTGTATTTGAGACAGTGTCTCCCTATATTGCCCAAGCTGGGCTCAAGCTTGGGATATTCTTGCCTTAGCCTCCCAGACTGCTGGGATTATGGGTGTGCACTGCAGCACCTGACTTTATCATGTCTTAAGAAGTAAAATACTACCATGCATGAGACCACAAAAAAGAGGGATCTAGTATTACTTTTATGAATCAGAAAGGGTGTGGTGTTCAAAATCAATTTGACTGGCGGTCTTAAAAAATACCCCAAAATAGAAACATCTTAAAATGCCTAAAGTTTTATTACTAATACTAGATTTACACATCAGAAATGAAAGTTTAAATCAATCAACTGGGATATGAAATGTTAGCTTTTTCAGTTAGTAATAAATTAGATGCTGCATCAGGAAGTGAATTATAGTTTTTAAAAATGTATTAAAACACCTACTATTAAACAGCTGCCAGGCAGGTCTAGGGGCTTGAGCTCAGGGCCTTATGTATGGTAAGAACATATCGTACCACAACTAATAACAAACAATGAATAGCCTGTTACTAGGCAGGCAGGGGCTGTGTACTCAGACATCACTGTGTACTCAGCCACTGTGCAACAGTGGCTCCCAAGGAAAGATGGCCCTCCGGCATAGTGCCCAGGCTGGCCTCAAACTGGTCCTCCTGGGTGAGCCTCCCAGAGTGCTGGGAGTAAAGTCTGTAAAATAAGCCTTGTGAACCAGATACATATCTGTAATCCTAGCACTTGAGAGGCTGAAATAGAGGATTGCTTGAGTCCAGGAGTTTCAGACCAGTGAAGGCTTATGAAGACCCCATCAAAAAAAGAAAACAAATGGTAAGGGATCTACTCTACACTGTGAGTTATATATATAATGAGAGTTCTTTATATACAATGTCACATTCCTTACTTTCATAGAAAAAAGTCCTTGTTAAATTCTTTATTTTCACACAAGGTCTGTTTCCAGAGGAGTTAGAAGTCACCTCTAAAACATGATAAAAACAGAAAAACTTTTCACATACTTTCCAATCACAGAGCTTCTCTTTTATGTTAATTTCTGTTATGGTTTGTGTCTAGATGGCCCCCCAAAGCCTCACACATTCACAAGGCTATTCTTTCTCAAGGCAGCTGAATCTAGCACTGTGGAGTGTTTGGATTATGGGTGTGAGTGCAAGACCCACCCTCAGGTGGGCAGCCTACATACAACATAAGAATTTCTTGTGATTTTTTTCTTCTTGCTTTTATCTACAGCCACATAAACTGTTGCCCTCTACCACACTACCCTGTCTGGGAGCCAGCTAATTCTAGACTGAAACCTCCACAAACTGTAAGCTAAATAAACTTTTCCTTCCTTAATTTTGGGCAGTTGGGTATTTTGTCTCACCAACAAACGCAAAGTAATTTATACCTCTTTCCAGTCAACTGAAACTAAATGAAGACTTTCCTGCATTCCCTATAACCTTAATTCTTCTCTGCACACTGGGTTCATAAACAAATATCATGGCTCATGGAATATCTAAAACTTTTCCCACATTCTTTACTGTATCAGTTCCCAGGTTTCTCATAATAAAATGATATAGGCTGAATGCTTTAAAAAATAGAATTTTACTGGCTTTCATTTCTAGAGTTTGAAAGTTCAATATCAAGTTTTAGGCAGGGGTAGGTTCTTTTCTACACTTCTGTCCTTGGTTTGAAAACAGTCACCTTTTGGAATCTGCACTTGGATATTCTCTGTGTGCCCTTCCTTTCATTTTTCTCTTTTATCCCCCCACCCCACTCCAGGAGTGGGGATTTAACCCAGAACCTTTTTTACCAAATGACATCCTCAAACCTCTTGTTTTTTGTTAAAGGCATGGTCTTACTAAATGCCCCAGGCTAGACTCCAAATTTTGATCCTCCTGCTTCAGACTCCCGAGATGCTGAGTTTGTATGCATGTGCCACCATACTTGAATTCACTTTCTCTTCTCACAGGAAACCTGAGGATGTTACATTAAGGATTGACTCTATCAGTCTCATTGATTTTTCAGCTTCATTTTAATGACATGTTTGAAGTTTAATCTTACACTGTGAAGAAACAGAGGTTTGGGCTTCCAAATATGAACTGGAGGAGGAACCATACTATTTAAATCATAAATTTTCTCTTCAGTGTGAGTTTATGTATGCATTTTGCGGGTTCTGTAATTTCCCAGATTCTCCACATTCATACAGCCTCTATCCAGCATGATTTCTGATGTCTTTACAGTACAGCAAAATTTTTTTCATATCACCAACACAGAATCTCCTTTATGAATTCTTACATATTTGTTAACACCTGAGACAGTAGTAAAGATGTTCCTAAACATCTTACATTTGTAGATTTCTTACTAGAGTTCATTTGAGACTTCAAATTAAATAGGTCACCTTTAAGCTTTCTCACATCTCTTACTATGATAGTTTCTCTTCAGTACACCTCTGTTCCTCATTGGGAAAGGAATTTAGACAACTAAGGGCTTTCCCACACTCCTTACCTTCATAGGGTTTCTCTCCAGTGTGAGCTCTTTTATGTAACTGCAATGAATTGGAGTAGCCAAAGGATTTCCCACACAGTTTACACCCATAGGAGTTTTCTTCAGTGTGAATTCACATGTGAAGGATAATACATATGGGAAACTTACAGGCTTTCCCACATAACAGACATGTATGGTTTTTTGGCAATATGAGTCCGAATGTGATAATTCAGACTGGAGGAGTGCGTAAATGCTTTCCCACATTCCTTACACTCAAAGGGCTTCTCTCCAGTGTGAATCCTCAGATGTTTACTGAGATTGGAGGAAATAGCAAATGCTTTCCCACATTTCGCACATTCAAATGGCTTCTCCCCAGTGTGAGTTCTCATGTGTTCATTAAGGCGGGAGGATCTGACAAAGGCTTTCCCACACGCTTTACACACATAGGGCCTCTCTCCAGTGTGGATGCGAATGTGCTTGGTAAGGTTTGAGTTCTGAATGAAGGCTTTTCCACAATACTTACATTTGAAGGGTTTTATCCCAGTGTGAATTCGAACATGATCACGAAGGCACAAAGAGGTTCTAAAGAATTTCCCACACACCTTACACTCAAAGGGCTTCTCCACAGCGTGATTTTTCACATGTTCAGTTAACTGAGAAGATGTTGTAAAGACAGTCCTGCATTCCTTACCTTGGTAGGGGTTGGCTCCACTGTGGGTGCCCATGTGACTATTAAGGAAGGCAGAATATGTGAAGCCTTTCCCACATTCCTTACCCTTGTAGGGTTTTTCTGCATTGTGAGTTTGCATCAGCACATCAAGGCTGTTGGAGTGAAGAAAATCTATCCCACATTTCTTCAGTTCATGGAGTTTGTTTCCACTGTGTATTCTGGGGTCAGCCTGAAAGTCTGAGTGATCAACAAATGCTTCCCTATGGTCAGTGCCTTCAAAGGGTTTGTCCTGAGTGCACTTTCTTGGGTAAGGGACAGTTTGAGGTTGGTTAAATGTTGGTTCACACTGATTTGACATAGAAAATTTCTCTCCAGTAGAGATTTCCTTCTGCAGAGGAAGGATGTCTGCTCCATACTGATCACACTCAGAAGTGCTCCCTGTATTCTGAGTTCCCATATGTGACTTCAGGCACACATGTCCACTGATGAAGTCTCTACAAGGTTTACAATCACAGAGCTCTGCTCCACTGTGGCTTCCTGCCTATTGATAAAAAGGATGAACACTGGTTAAAAGATTTTTCGATTCATTAAAAGACTCCATGCATCCAAAACAAAAACATTATTATGATTATCCCAGTGTGACCATTTGCATTACATATAGACAGCCCCTGTTCATTGATTTATAATTGGAGTCCTACTGTGTTGCCCAAGGAAGCCTCAAACTCCTGGACTCAGGCAATCTTCCCTTATCAGCTTCCCAGGTAACTAGGACTACAGGGATTGTTAGATCTTATATAACAACGTAACGCCAAAAGACTCATGTGGTTATAGGTGGGGCTTTATGGAAGTGACTGGACCAAGGGTGTATGATGCTGGGATTAATGGTGTAATGCTGGGATTAAGGGTGTGTGTTTACATTAGCCCAGTGATTCTTCTGCACGATTATGGATGTGCGTAATGGGAAGGGTCACCGGGTGTGGGAGGCACCCCCCAAGGCATGTGGCCTGGAAAGCACAAAACGGAGATGAAGGTTGCTGCTGTCGCTGCTGCTTCAGTACTTGCTGCTTTGCTACATTCTGTCTGCCATGAAGAGTTCCTCTTCTGGGATTCCCATCTGCAATGTCGCCTTACTTTGGAGCCAGTCGAACATGACCTGAAACTTCTGAAAACTATGCTCTAAATAAACTTTTCCTCCCTTAACTTGTGGATGTGAGGTATTTTGTACGGGCCACAAAGAAAAGTAAATAAAACAGGCACAAGTCACAACGTCTGGTTTGCTGATTTTTCAAAGTATAAAAGTGATGGAAATAGTTAAGATAGTAATACTCTGATTTCTTTGAGTTCACCAAAGAGAAATATGTATGCTATTATTGTTGGGACAATTAAAAGCAGATATCTGATACTCTGAGTAACTGATTTGAAGATAACAATACAAAACATGTACACCATTGTTACCCCCTAATTATTGTTTTGAAATTTTATATTTTTTTCTGTTCAAAATAAAGTAGCTTTGGGGAAAAAAGGAGAATGATGGAAGGCTTTGCTATGAGCTCTGCAACCTACTTTGATTTTTAAGATTTTTGTAGGGTTTCAAAAAAATCTTTTTAAAACTACCTACTTACATATCTGGGAATATGTATTTATGCGAAGCCAAAAGCAACAAGCTTAAAGCTTGGTGGCTCTTCTAAATTCATCAGATTCCAGGCTTCTCTCCAAAGCTTCTACTCTTTATCTCATTTGTCCAGACAGCTTCTGCTGGGGAATAGTGACACTCACTTTGAATTACAGCACTAAGGAGGCTGAGGTAGGAGGATGCCCATGAGTTCCAAGCCACCTTTGGCTATACAATGAGTACAAGGCCCAAGACCTCCTGAATTACAGAGTAAGATCCTGTCTCAAAAATACATAAATAAATAAATAGATAAGAGAGACAAAGGAAACAAAAGGAAAGGAAGAAAGAATATCACTGGAAGCCTTACCATGGATAACTGCCCGGAGGTTTGTCCTCTCATACAATCCTGCTGAGATGCTGACTCTTTGGTTGTAAGTCCCACATTCCATTCTGCAGTCAAACAGAAAAAAAGATGTAATAGTTTTGGAGACAGAAAGATGGCAGTAGGAAGAAATGAGAATGACAGGGAGTATTTCTTTTGTCACACTAAACGTAGCTTAAAAAAAGAATCATCTAGATAGGTGTGATGTGACCTCTTCTCCCAACACTTGGTAGGCTGAGGCAAGAGGATCACCATGAGTCCAAGGTGAGTCTGGACTTCATAGCAAGACAATGTTTCAAAAAGCAAAACACACAAAGAAAAAGCTAAGGACACAGGTGCAGAACTAAAGGTAATTTCTAAAAAATAGATTCTATGGAAAGTAAAACTAGTGATAAAGAAAAATGACAATACCACAGACAGCAATAGAAATACAGGACGAGACATAAATCAAAACTGAGACAAAAGAAGGAAAACAACAACCTATGCTGTGAGATCACAGGAAAGAGCAGACAGAAAGTAAAACCATACAGAAGGTTGAAGTCTTCCTAACTTCTGAGGAAAATGACCCAGAGCTTCTGAGATTAACAATAAACATTAATAAATAATAGTTCATTAGAAACAGCTTGCCAGAGTGCATTCTCAGGAGCACTCACCCTGGAGACCTCTTCCCTGCCCCGTCCTTAACTCTTCCTGCTCCAACCAGGAGATGAGGCTGGGTTTGAGGAGCTCACATCCTGTAGGTGGAGAAACAGACAGTCACAGAGTGCAAGACATGAAGGGCCTACCAGATTCAGCAAATAACAGTTCTGATAGGAGAAGTTAAATAATTTTCGGAAACATACAAACATTCCCTCTGCTTTACCTGAACAATATTGTCTCTGACCACTGAAAACTAAATCCAGATTTATGTTTACAAAACATTAAGACTCTTATCTAAGAAGAAAATAAAGTATATGAAACAGAAACCTTCATTTTTGTAGGGTAAATAACTATTTCTGTGAATTTCATTGTGTGTGTGTGTGTGTGTGTGTGTCTGTGTGTCTGTGTGTCTGTGTGTCTGTGTGTCTGTGTGTAAGTATGGTGCTAGAAATGGAACCCAAGATCTTTCCCTGCAGGAAAGCAGTCTACCTCTGACATGTATGCCCAGCCCATATAACTGTGATTCAGAAACATCACAGGGCTTCAGATCCATTTGGAGGGCTTGAAGAACACAGCTGGCAGGGCCCAATCAGTATATCACAGAGGGAGACGGAGAATGTATAATCAAACACTGCTGGTGATATAATGTCCTTGATTTCAGACCACAATTTGAGAAGTGTGAGTATAGTCTAAAGCCATCATGGCAGGAGCTGTATCTCTGTCATTTCTCTCCATATACACACTTGATTTCACTCATCCTGCAACAAACACTGAGTGCTGATAGCACTCAGCATAATTTGCTGCCTAAGAGTTCACAAGGCCTGACGGTGCACCTACCCACAGAGGCCAGGCTCTGATAGTTCTCCAGCATCACGTCACTGTACAGCTTCCTCTGAGTCAGGTCCAGCAAAGTCCACTCCTCCAGGGTGATGTCCACAGCCACATCCTCAAAGCTCACTGGCTCCTGTATCATCACACACAGGCTGGTTTGAGCCAAATGACACAACCACCCAGGTTCACAGGAAAATGAGGGGGCTGTGCAGGGCTGTGAGGTGCCCATTGTCTAGCCCAGGGTTCAGTGGTCTGAGGGACTCTTCCCTCTGTCCACACTCATTCACCGTGGATCTCCTCTGGTCATGTGGCTTTAATGGCCCTTCCTACACATCATCGTATCACAGAAGCTCATCAGATGACCCCCTATGGAGGCACACCCTAGAGCACTACGGATGCCTGATAATTGTGAGGAATGAATGAATTCTTGAGCCAAAAGACCCCTCACACCCCTCACCACCTACCAGAATGCTCAGCAAGATCAGAAACACACAGTCGGCACCAAGAGGAATGATGCATTAGTAAACATGAAATACTATAAAGGCATTCAAAGTCATCCATCAGCAGTGTAACTGGCTCCTCTCCCTGAGGAAATTCAGCTAGGGACCCAGTCCTTGAGTGAAGCTTTAGAAAGGTCTGGGAGGCTGGGTGTGGTGCAGCACACCTGCAATCCTAGCTACTCAGGTGGCAAAGGTAGGAGAAAAGATTGAGTCAGGAGTTCAAGACCAGCCTGTGCAGAACAGCAAGACCTGTATTTTTAAAATCTAGGCACTGGGCCGAGGATATAACTCAGTAGCATAATAAGCACTTGCCTGACAAGCACATAGCTGTGACTTTGATCCCCAGTACCAAAAAAGAAAAATAGAAAAAAGGCAGATAAATAGAAAATGGGACAGAAAGAGAAAGACATAGAGAGACAGAGAGATGCTGGCTGTGGTGGCACATGTTTATAATCACAGCACTGGGAGGCTGAGGCAAGATGATCATCATGGCTACAAAATGACTTCAATGTCAGTGTGAACTATATACCAAGATTCTCTAAGAAAGCAACATTTAGATGATAGGATGATAGCAAGACACCATCACTTTTATAAACACAGACAGATACAAAGATACATAGATGATAGAAGGATAGATGCTGTGGAAATGATTCTGCATAGAAGAAACTATGTCCCCTAGTGGATGCAGGGTTATGATTTTGTAGATCTATGTCAGCATACCTGATACCAATCTGAAAGACATGCAGTCATCTTCTTTTTGGACTCTGTCTTTTCTTCATGAAGGTACATTGAGTCCATCTGAAAAGACTTCATGGAGGAGAAAGAAGACATGAGAACCCAGAGTTCACCATATACCACACATTCACATGCCTAGAAGTTACTCCAGCCTAGTTCAAAATTCCCACATATATTAGGCTGAGGCTATAGCCCAGTAGTACAGTGCTGGCCCAGCACACAGGAGGCTCTGCCTTCAATCCTCAGCACCACAAAACAGAACAAAACAAAACAAAACAAGTCCCTTTGCATCCCTGCAAACTCAAGAAAACTCCCACTAATGCTTACTCTCCTGAGATCCAGAGCAGCTGCCTCACACAGAGCCATGTGTGTGCAGCTGGCCACCAGGAAAAAGGTCACAGTCTTGTGATATGTGAGGAAAGCTAAGCCTGGGTAAACATGCCTGTGTGCCCAGGGAGACAAAACTCGTGAAAACCCAGTGAGGTGCCACCTCACTTCTGCACATCCTAACTGCACCAGCAGCCTGGCTGCCCGCGCCCAGGCTCTAGGCTCCGTATGGTGCTGTAGGGAAACTTAAGCAGAGTCCCTGGAAGGTCATGATGGACTCACCAGGGCTTGAACCCACCCCCCAACTTGTGAGGCTGATGGCGCTATGCACTTGAACTTGCCTTTCTTTGACCCAAGGTCATTTCAGGACAACTTCTGAAGCTCCATAGAAGTGGCATTCCCCATTCCTCTTCATTCAAGGTTGACTGCTGTCACATCAGCAGCAGTCAACACGATCAATTGTTAATAACCCAACATCAATATACAGATGATGTATATGACAATCACTGAAACTATCTGACAATCATATTAGAAATATTGATTGCTATTTACTAAGAACCAGAAGGTGCCAAAAGCTGTATTAGGAACATTATAGACACAAGTTCCCATAGCTTGAAGCACCAGTGGAACATGCGTGACTGGCCCATCAGGTGGCTTGTCCCACCCAATGGGGCTGTCCTATATTGCTTAATGAGACAGGCATACATTTTTTTTTTAAGTGTATGGAGCCATGGCACAGAAAATCTGATAACTCTACAGTCTCTGTCGGCAGGAACCATCTGTTCTGATGTATGTGACTATGGTTGCATTGTACAACTGACAAATGCAATCATTACCAGAAACAGTCACAGAGACAGGCATATATTTACCACCAGTTCTTCTGAGCTGCCTGGCCACAAGATAAATGAATTACAGTCACTTTAATCCCTGTACTGACCTTGAAAAAGCAATGTCATTATGCCTATGGGGTACTGGAAAAGCCTAGATTCAGAGATCACTAGTAATCAGTCTGATTTTACCCAGTTAGGAGGTGATGAATGAGGACAATTACATTCATCACAATTGCATTCGTTACTGACACCTGCTCTACCATGGTGGATGTTACAGAATGAATATTCATAACCTAGTACCTGTTATGGTGGATTTGCAAGTAGAGGACTGTCTGAAATGCTGTGTGATTTTAAAAAATGAAAGTGTTTCAGTTTTCAGAGATATTTAGGTTCCGCAATTATTTGCATAAACATTACCTGGTTCAGCCATGCTTTCAAAAAGCCTTGGACAACCAGGCAGGGTGGGACATGCCTGTAATCCCAGCACTCAGGGGGCTGAAGCAGGAAGCCCACCAGGCTACACAGTGGATTCAAGGCCAGCCTCAACTACATAATGAGACCTTGTGTCAAAAAAAATAAAAGTTTTGGGTTTCAGATTTTCATAGATGCCCAACCTATACTTCTAATGTGACCAGAGGTGGGTTTAAATCGGAATTATACAACATAATGGTCACTAGGCATGCATGTTACTGATGCTAGGACATGGTAACAGTAACATCTTTACTAAAAAAAAAAAAAAGAAAGAAAGAAAGAAAGAAAGAAAAGAGATGAAAAAGACTAACAGCAATCCATGGGACATCCAGCAACAGGTGGCCTGAACCTCTCGCAATGAACTGGGTGCTATCGACCTCCCAGGCCATAAGTTTGGGCATAGGCAACAGCAGTCTGTCATCAATCAGAGATAACAGAAAAGACACTGGAGCTGAGACAGGTCCAGGGAAGGTAAGTACACAGCGCATACCACTAAGCCAAAGGCAAAAGCTGAGGGAGGGGTTAATCAACTGGTTGGCTTAATGCCAAATTGCCAAAGGAAATCAAACCCTGACATACAAATGGGACAAGCATGAAGTGTGTGAACACTAAGTGCTTCTATGGTGCATAGAAGGGGGTATCAGCAGTAAGATGCACAGGCAGACACCTGCAATTCCAGCTATCCTGGACACTGAACCGATAGGATCAGAAGTTGGAGCCCAGCTGGAGCAACTTAGTGAGACCTTGCGGTAGTCAGGGGTTGAAAGGAGAACAATTACAAATGGGACACAGAATTTATAATATTAATTTATGATGGTCACTAAGAGTTAAATACAAGAAAGTGCAGGAAATTTGTCCACAACATTAAAAACCTAGAAAATCCAGCCAAGGGTGTGGATCCTACAGCAATGTCCTGCATGAGTCCAGATGAAGACCTAGAGCCCATGACAGTGCCTCCCTCGAGTCCAGCTGAAGGCCCAGAGTCCACGACAATGACTCATGCAAGTCTATTTTACAGATCTGTGCTGGGAAGGCCCAGAGGTCAGCAACGGAAACTAGAAAGTCTATGCCAGCAGGTGAAAGATGCCTGCCAAGTTCTACACTGGAGCCAAGAAATGACGCTCAAAATAAGGACCAGGGCTCCCCTGAAAAATACCACAGCCCTCCTCAGCAACAATGAAGTCCTGAGCTCCTCCGATGACAATGGTTGAATTCATATCAGGGAAGCCAGCATAACAAGAGAACCAGGAGAACCAATGGCTCCAAACAACACTTAGGAGAACCCACAACACCTCACTTTTCTTCTCTACGTCTCTGTTTATGCTGGCAGCTTGCCTCAGGTGGGCCATCTACACTCAGCACCATGCTGATTTAATTCCACAGGTGTTAATTTGACCCCCAGTTTTTAATCCGTAACAGACCCTGTCTCAAAATAAAAAATGAAAAGTGTCAGGGATGTAGCTCAATGCAAAGGCCCTGGGCTCAAGCTCCAGCATGATGACCACCAAAACAAAATGAAAATGTAGTAAACCATGGATATCCACTACAACCTCAACACAAACAAGAAATGTAGCCATTTTTGTTTGTTTTCTCTTTGCTTGGTAAATGTATGGGTGTCACATGCAAGTGTTTATTTACATAAGCTAACCAAGCAGTTCTAAGTGCTTTCCACTCTCTTTTACATGTCACTGGCAGCTACATATCTTTGAGTGACAGTATTTGTTAAGAATGCAACTAATAATAAGGAGCAATTAATAGTCTTTGATGGTGATAGGGTGATCACAAGGAAGGTGCATCTTGTTACTACACAGAAAGCTAAGTACCTCTTCTTATACCTTAAAACACAGACACTCCATTATTATGAGGAAATTCAAACATGTGCACAGCCAGAGTGGACTGCACCAGACACCAACTTATTCATCTTGCTCCAATTTCACCTTTAATACCCACTATGGAATAAGAGACCATATTCTCTCTTAACATTATATATATATATATATATATATATATATATATATATACTTTTTTTTTTTGGACCGGGGAGTGAACTCAATACCTCCCGCTTGCCAGGCAAGCACTTACGCCGCTGAGCTAAATCCCCAGCTACGTTACATGTATATTAACAGCACACTAACCTCTGTGCACAGAGGTGATGCTTGATGATGCTTTTTAACCTAACTGCTGCCTCCACACCCACTTTCAGGCCTGACATGAAGTTATCTGAAACTCACCCCAATCTATTTCAAGCTTCCTCTCCTTGTGTGGCCGTTTGCTACACAGCCTACTAGTTCCTCATCCACTGGGGGAAAAACAAAAAACAACATCTGCAGAAGCTGACTGCATTCAACCTGATGGTCCAAAACACAGACATGAGTAAGCCCCCTTATTCCCTGGTGCTTTTATTTCTTATTTTTCAGACAGGGTCTCATTGTGCTGCCCGGATTGCTCTTGAACCTTTGAACTCAAGGCTCCGTCCTGCCTCACCGTCCAGAGTATCTGAGACTACAGGCACAGCCGACCGTGCCAGGCTTCTCTGGTGTTCTCTGGCCACTAGGGAATTGCAGAAGCCTCATGGGATGGGCGTCGAGGCCTAAGGGCCTCACTGAAGGCACCATGCTAAACACCCCTCTCTGGCTCATTCCCGATCTGAGCCTGAGCACCTTGCTATATTGGGGCTTCTCTCTCATCTCGGGACCTGTGGATGTTGTGGTTTATGCCCACATGTTTCCCCAGCATCTTATGCACTCAAAGGTGGAAGGTGTTTGGATTTGGGGGGCTACCGCTGACATGCTGTTAGAAGAGCGTCTGTTGGAAGAGGCAGGAGTTCAAGAGCAGGCTGGGCAACACAGTGAGACTCTATCTCAAAAAAAAAAAAAAAAAAAAGGAAAGGGGTACAGGGCCGCAGAGGTGATGGAGTATACCTGTAATCCCAACACTCAAGTGGCCAAGGCAGGAGGATCACCCCCAGTTCTAGGCTCTGTACGGAACTCACACTCAGCCTAAATTACACAGTGACGCCTTATCTCAAAAAGAAATACTGGTCCTTGTGGGTAGAGAGCAAGTTTGAAAATGGAGAGTAGACATTTGTGGTGGCAGATGCCTGTCATCCCAGTACTAAGGAGGTTACGGCAAGAGCACTGCCATGAATTTGAGGTCAACCTAGGCTACATACAAGTTGAAGGGCAGCCTGGACTACACTGCAAAAAGAAAAACAGCACAAAATACACTTTGTTCCTTGCTTAAATGATGCTTTCCTTTGTAGACAGTATCTCCACTATTCAAAGTACATTGCAAACATGATATAGGTAGGGAATGTCAGATATGATTGCCTTGGTGATGTTTTTAGGTCCGACATGAAGTACTTCATACACTGTTACCTTTGGCCTAATTAAAACTTCCCCTTCCTGTGTTTTTATCCTGCACAGCCCACTTGCTCCCCATCTTGCCACAGCAAAACCAAACACACCCATAGGTGCTGAGCACAAGTCAGGTGAGGAAGTTCTTTGCTTTGGGAGTGTTTCCAGAAGGGACCTATCCAAGGACTTGTAATTCCAGCAGTCAGGAGGATCCAACAACTTGGAGGCTATATAATGAGTTTAAGGCCAGCCTGAACTACATATAGTGAGACTCTTATCTCAGAAAGGAAAGAGAGAGAGAGAGAGAAACCATGAAGATATAGTATCAAACTCAAAAACAATCAGAACTATCTTTTGGGAAAATGTGTAGAATATTACTTTTTCACATCAATTCCTATTAATAATTTTTAATTTTCTTGATTCAAATCCTAGGCTACAAACATTTATACTCACATACAAAACGGGCACACCCTACACAAGTATCTGTATCTTTCTACCTGATTGAAAAACTAAAACTGGACGCACAAAGAGACCTATCCAAGGCTCTGTACGGAAAGCTGAAGAGTAGCCATGGGCCCTCATGAATTGTGCTGCGGGCTGGCCTGGAACTCACAGCAGCCTTCCACCTCAGCCTCCTGAGAGCTAGGATGGAAGACGTGCACCACCATGCCTGGCTCCTGGCTCCCCTTTCTCTCACATTACCGTGTTGCTTCATGTTCTGCTGTGGTGTCTGCTCTGTCTAGTCTGAACCCAAGTGTCCTTGGCAGAGGAGGGCTAGAATTCGGTCACCATCAGAGACCCTCCCCGACCAAGTGACAGGAAGGTCAAGAGGCCATGGCGTGGCAGTACAAGAGAAGGAGTGGGCCCTTTACCTGCTGAACACAGCAGTGGCCACAGCCAGCAGCAGCGTAGGGGGAGGACACTTGGTTACCCCTGGCGCACACCCTGTTGTGACTGTGTGGCTGCCCAACAAATTACACAAACCCAAAGGGTCTCCTGCTAGAGAGGCTGCTCTGCCACGTGCTGAAGGCTGGACAGCTTAGTTCCTTTCCAAGACACTGGACACGAGTCAACACTACTTCCCTGGGCTCCCATCTGTGCCCCAGATTTGTCCCCTGTGGCCTCTAGATGCAAACACCGAGGTCCTCAGGCTTGCATCCCAAGTGACCCCTCATTTGCCACGGCAGACTTCCCAGCACCCTCACTTTGAGCGCACCCCGGTCTGTCAGGCCTCTTGAGATCTTGTTCTTACTCTCTTTCTGCTTTGCCTACTAACCCCTCAAAAACAGAAAAGTAATACTGCATTGTGTTTCTCTCTCTCTCTCTCTTTTTTTAATGGTACCAGGAATCAAACTCAGGACCTCATGCTTGCCAGGCAGGTGCTGTGTCACTGAGCTATATCCCCACTGTGGCCTTGTATTTCTAGACCTCCAATACTATTTTTTTTTTTTTTTTTGGTAGTGAGGATGGAACTCTTGACCTCACACTTGCCAAGCAGGTGCTTGTGCTGCTGAACTAAACCCCCAGCCTAGACCCCTCCATTACTTTTTTATCATTTATCAGCTTGGTTAACCATTATCCTCCTCCACTAGTTTAAAAGCTATCTGCAAACAGAAAGCCTTAGGTTTAATTTGCTTTACTATGCCTTAACCAACACTCAAGTACTCCTCAGTTTGCAGGAAATGCAAGAAATAGAAAAAAATATTTAAATGTATTGGAAGACTATAAATTGCAAATATTTAAGAAATGTGACTTTGTGAATGAACACATAACACATACTTCTTCAAAAAGAAAACAGAAGATTCAAGTGTGGTGGTGCAAGCCTGTCATCCTAGCACTCGGGAGACAGGAGGATTATTATATGAGTTTGAGTCCAACCTGGGCTACACAATGAGACCCTGCCAAGAAAGAAAGAAAGAAAAGAAAAGAAAGCCAAGAGAAACAATAGTGAGTGAAATGGTTCAAAGAGACTAAAAGACATAAACAGTGGTAACAGAACGAACATACAAACTGGGCATAGTGGCACATACGTGTGATTAGCCTCCCACCAGTCAGGAGGCTAAGGCAGAAGGATCACACAAGTTCAAGGCCAACCTGGGCTACATAATGAATTCAAGGCCAATAGAACTACATAATGAGACTGTCTCAGAAAGAAGAACAAACAAACGAAAGAAAGAAAGGAAAAAAAACCTATGAAACCTATCAGATTCAAAAACAACCATAACTGTGGTTGTACTGAAAATGCGTAGAACATTACTTTTTCACATCGGTTACATATTAATAATTTTCAAACTTTTTGATTCAAATACCTGGGTTACAAACATTGAGTCACACACAAAACATGTACACCCTATACAAGTATCTGTATCTTTCTACCTGATTTAAAAACAAAACCCCGACGAGCAAAGAGAAAAAGCAATTTGTCATGAAACGTTTGTTTGACAACTGGACGAAGAGCGGGGTGTGGTGTCGTACACCGGTCATCTCAGCGCCCGAGAGGCTGATGCAGGAGAATCATTACAAGTTTGAGGCCAGCCTGGGCTACCCAGAGAGACTTCGTCTCAAACAAATACGAGAAAAAAAGAGCTCTCAAGCCAGCATTTTCCCAGTGCTCACCCGGACGCAAGGAATCGCCAGGTCCGAGAAGCCCACGGTTACAACGCTGGAGTCCATGGAAAACTTGACTGAGGGAGAATTCCTTTCCACGGGAAAAAAGTTCACAGACTACAGAGCCTTTTGAAGATGCCAGGGCCGTTTCGAAGAGTCCCAGGAAGCGCGCTTTGGACACAGCGGGAATTGGCTCCGGGCAGGACCCGTAGGAATAAAGGCCGGACTGCCTTTCAGATCCTGCTGCGGGGGGAAGGGGCGCGGCCTGGTCGCAAACCGGTGCTTTAAGTCCCCTAATTCCTCCACCTCGCCCGGACTCACCAGAACTGCCTTAGAACTGCCACGTCAAGCAGAAACACTGAAACATCACCCAGGATTCGGAGGCAGATTTATTTAATATCGGAGAGTCGTCAAATAAATCTGACGGGGCATCAGTTGTCCCTCAAAATGCCAGGCCCCGAAAGCTCAGGGATTTTATGGGGTTGGTTGCAAAGTGGAAGTACAGAGGCTTAGTACTTGGCTGCCTTTGATTGGTTTTTAACGTGTGCATCACAGTGACTAGCTATGCATCACAGTGACCGTTTCTGAGAAACCCAAGCAGCTGGAACTGGAACAGGAACTATCACCTGGGCAACTTAAGTATACAGGCTGGGGGAGGGGGACTTTCTGCTACAAAACCAATCACTACTAAGAGAAAACGAACTTGATCGTGCAGAACCACAGCCACAAAAAAAGCCTTCGGTGGGTGTGACGTCACTTCCGCTCTCAGGCGGATCCGCATAACCTCCGGATCTGGAGGCTCCAGAGGCTCGCAAGTACCGGAATTGCGGTTTTTCTCGCTTGGGTGCAAGGCGGACGCTGAGCGGGGAGCTAGGCATAGGGGTCGTGCCTTGAAGTGGGGCCACGCTCATCCGTGATACCTGGATCGTGGAAGCTAATAGGCAAGAGTGGAAGTGGGGGCACTGGATGTTCCGTTTTGGGGTTTTTTAAAATTTTATTTTATTTTTATTTACTTATTTGCAGTGCTGGGTATTGCCAGTGTATCCAAGGCTTGTACTGAGCTACATCCCTTCTCTGTTTTTTTTTTTTTTTGGGGGGGGGTGTCTAGCAAAGTTGCTGAACTCAAGCATGCATCCTATTTCAGCCTCTGAGTATCTCAGAACCTTTCCTACCAATTTCCCATTCCTCGCCTCTCCCGAAGCCGTTAGAGTGAGGCTTCCCAGGTGATAAACATAGCAATCCATGAAATAGTCTCATTTTTTTAATCTGCTGAATCAGCCCAGTTTTCAAATCTTTATTTCCTTTTGCTCTAATGCTGTAGCTCAGTCCTTTAGGGTGTGTGTGTGTGTGTATGTGTTTCTTATTTGAGGCAGGGTCTCGCTATGCAGTTCAGCTGGCCTTGAGCTCACTTTGTAGCCCAAGCTGGTCTCGAACTCCAAACTACCCTCCTGCCTCAGCCTTCTGAGTGCTGGGATTACAGGCATGAGCCACCATGCCCGGCTCAGTCCTGTAGGTTTTTAACGCGTCTGTCTCGTGTCCCTCCTCACATTCTGGTGCTAAGGATGGAGCCAGAGCCTTGTGTGTGCTGGGTAAGCGCTCCACCAATCAGCTATTTCCCCGGCCCTGGATACTTCTGTAAATTTATACTTTTTTCCTCAAAAATGCATTTGTTTTCATTTCTCAGCTTATGTTCCAGGGTCTCCCACTGTTGTAAAATACCAGTAATATGCATGGATGATTCTAAAAAGTCTCCGTGGCAATGACTTTTGCTGTAGTTTCCACTAAGTAGCTTTTGTGGAGTTGTTTTGAACACTGAATTAAACAACATAGTATGTCAAGATTGATTCTTGAACACTGTGATAATGTTTTTATGGAGTTGAGAACTACTTTGCTGTTCAATTTTCAGCTTTGTTTTCTTCTGTTTTGCTTTGCTTTGTAGAGTGAGGGATCCAACACAAGGCCTCATACATGCAAGACAAATATTCCACCACTGACCGCTATACAAAATATTTTACTTTTATAGAGCCAAAAGAATTTCTTTTAAAAATAATTTCTAGATGTCCTGCCTTATGTTTAAAAGTTACCATAAACTATAGATTGCATAACAAATTTCATTTTCCTCTACTGTATATATTCACTCTTTTTAAGACATTTAAAATGTCCATCTTTCTGGAATGTGTTTTTGCATGTGGTTCAAGGTAGTGCCATTTCTCTGTGAAATGGTCAGTTGGGGCTAAGGGTGTCATTCGGTGGCAGAGCATCTGTCTTGCAGATGAGAACCACTGTCTTGTCAGCAACACTGCAAAGTTAAAAAATAAAACAAATGCTCACATTTTTAAAAAATGGCCAGTTATTGTACCATTTCTTGACAAATTGTCCCTTACTGACTTAAATATTCATTAAACAATAAACTCCAGTATATGAGTCAGTGTCTAGACTGTGCACCAATAATGCTTACTTATGCCGATATCGTATTTTTTTCCCCAGTGGTTTTATGTAAGCTTTAATATTTAGCATTACTTAATTGTTCTAAGTGACTATTCTGTATGCTTGGTAGACATTAACCTGTTCCCTATCATGTAGTACCACCATGATTTTCACTGCTGTTTCAATGTTGGTTTTATTGAGATACAGTTCACGTAAAACACAGCTCACCCACTTTTAGTACATTCAGTGTCATGCAACTATCATTTTTTTTTTTAACCCCAGGACAACTCTGTGAATGTCAGAACCCTCCAAACCTCTTTTCTTAATCTTTTTTTTTTTTTTTTTGGTCTTTTTCATTTTTATCGGTACCAGGGATCGAACTCACGACTGCCTGCTTGCAAGGCAGGTGCTTATGCCGCTGAGCTAAATCCCCAGCCCCCTCTTTTCTTAATATTGAGGCAATCATAAATCTGCTTTGTATCTCTACAGATTTACCTTTTGTGGACATTTCACATGAATAAAATCAGATAGTATTTTGTGAATAGATTTTTTTCACTTAGCATGTTTTTGAGAATTCATTTGCGTTTGTAACACATCTTTTTATAACTAAATGGTATTACTTTACAGATTATATCATGTTTTATTCATTTATCAGTATGTGGACATCTGGGCTGCCTTAGTTTCTGAAATATGAGTAATTACATATTGGGAGAGGAAAGGAAGGGAAAAGATTTAAAAGGAAAAAAAGAGGAAACTGGTAGAAGTTTGACTTGCTGGCTGGTCCTGTGCTATCCACTTTTGGCTAGCTACATCCCTTACTCAAGAAACCTTTCCAGGAGAAAGCAAAGATTAAATTCTGACATCACTTTCAGTATCCTCCACTAGCTATTGACTGTAAAATATTATGTGTAGAATTTTTGATTGACAATTTAGTATAATTGTGGGTGGTTTAGTTGGTGAATTGTGTTTAAATAATTCAAAAGTGTGTTTCTGATGATGAGATACTAAGTGGTGTCACACAGTTGTCACTTTATTGAATGTGTACAACAGTCCCATGAAGTTTATAATGCCAACCTTGTATAACTTCAGGTACTAGAATTAAAATTCATCTGTTATCACAAAAGAAAAAATGGAAATAGAGCTTATGTAAATGGGAAAAGAGGGGAAAGGGACAAAATAAGTTGTGTGTTATGTGCGTGTACAAATCCCCCATGTTGAATGTGATCATTATGTACTGCAAACATACTAATGAAAATTCACATATTATTGGTGCATACAAGTTTTTATTTACCTTGAGTATATGCCTAGGAGTCTGCAGTTCCTGAGTCAGAAAGTAACTGTGGAGCCATGCATGTTAGTACATACCTGTCATCCCAGCACTCCAGAGGCTGAAGCAGGAAGATTACCGTGAGTTTGAGGACAGCTTAGGCTACATAGTGAGTTCAGGTCTAACCTGAACTGCATAGCGAGACCCTGTCTCAGAAAATCAAAACATCAAGTAACTACAGACTTAGTTACAAAGACACTGTGTCATTTAACATTCTCAACAGAAAAAAATCTGAGGGTTCAGATGTCCTCACATCCTTACCAACACTCATAAACTCCTGTATTAACCAGGCTTGAAGTGTAAAATGATATCTTATGGTTGTAACTTCTTTGTTTTTAAGATGTGCTCTTTTTATGTTGTCTAGGCTGGACTTGCACTTGTAGCCCTCCTGTCTCAGCCTTTTGAATACCTGGGATTCCTAATGGGTAGCATCATGCTCACTTTGAAGTATAAAAGATTGTAATTTTTCTGAGATCCAGATGACTTTATTTTTTTCTTTGTTTACAATTTGGTTTTGGTATTATACTTAAGAAAAGATTTCTATGCCCAGTATCACAAGGCTTATGATCATACTTACTATGTTGGTTCTTCCTACCCATGAACAAGAGATATCTTTCCATTTCTGATATCCTCTTCAATCTCCTCTTATATAGAGTACTGTAACTTTCAATGTATAAATCTTTTATATCCTTTGTCAGGTTGATTCCTAAGTATTTTTTTTAGATGCTATTGTGAAATTCTCAGTGCATTTCTTGTTAGTGCACAAGCATATTATTGTTTTTGAGTATTGCTTTTGTATTCAGCTACACTACTGAATTGGGTTATTAAGTCTACAAGTCATTTGGTGGAGGTTTTGGCATATTCCTTGTCATCTGCAAATAATCATAATTTCTCTTCTATCCTTATTCCACATTTTTGTCTAATTGCTCTAGCTAATATTTCCAAAACTATTAAATATGAGTATTGATAGTGGACATCCTTGTCTTCTTCCTGTTTTTAGAGTGAAAATTTTCCATTTTTGACCATTTTATGTTGATATTGGCTGTTGGTTATAGATACCTTTTATCAGATTGAGATAAAATCATCTATTCCTGTTTTTGGTAGGGTTTTTATCATGAGTGGGTGTTAGACTTTGCCAAATGCTTTTTCTGTATCTGTTGAGATGATCATGTGATTTTTGTCTTTGGCTCTGTTGATATGGTGTATTGCATTTATTGATTTGCGTATGTTGAATCATGCCTGCATATCTGGAATAAATCCTACTTGATCATAGTGAATAATTTTGATGATTTGCTACATTCTATTTGCCAGTATCTTATTGAGAATTTTTGGATATGTTCATTAGTGAGATTGACTTATAAGTTTTCTTTTTTGGTTGGGTTTTTCTCTAGTTTTTGGTATAAAGGTAGTATTTGTTTCCAGGAATGACTTCGGGAGTATTGTTTCCCTTTTAATATCATTATTTCATCAGTAGTGACATTAGATCTTCTCTTAATGTCTCATAGAATTCAGCAGTGAATCCATCAGAATTAGGGTTTTTTTCTCTTGGCATGTTTTTAATTTTCAGTTTCATTGACTGGGATTGTTTTATTTAGAATTCTTAAATCTTTTTTATTCAGTTTGAGCAAGTCATATGAATCTAGAACCTGTCCATTTCTTCTGTGTTTTCCATCTTTTAGAATAAAGTTTCTCAAAGTACATATTGATGATCTTCTGGATTTCCACGGGATCCTTTGTGATTTCACTGTTTTCTTTTGTTGTGGCATGCATTTGAGTCTTTTTTCATCTCTTTTTGATAAGTTTGGCTAAGAATTCATAAATTTTATTTAATCTTTCAAAGAACCAACTCAAATTCTCTAATTCTTTTTTTTTTTGTTTTCTTAGTCTCTATTGCATTAATTTTTGCTCTTATCTTTATAATTTTCTCCCTCATAAGAGCTTTGGGTCTCATTTGTTATTTTTTTATAAAAGTTTGAGGTTCAACATTAAGTTGTTTATTTAAGCTAGTTCTGTTTTTCAGATGTGAGACTTATCAGTTACATTCTTAGGACTGCTTTCATTGTGTCCAATAAGTTACAGTATGTTGTATCAGCAGTATCATTTGTCCATACAAATTGGTTTCTTCTTTAATTTCATCTGTGACTCACTGGTTCTTCAGGAGGGTGGGTTAATTTCCATGTGTTTATATAGTTTTTGTGGGGTTATTTTGCCATTGACTTTCACTTTCATTGATAAATTCCTTTGCATTTACTTATGCATGTTCTGTGGTATAGCATGTGGTCTACTTTGGAGAATATCCCATATGCTGCTGAGAAGAATGTGTATTCTGATGTTGTGGGGTAAAACATTATGTCTTTCTAGAACATCCATCAAAGCATTTTGGAGAATATCCCATATGCTACTGAGAAGAATGTGTATTCTGATGTTGTGGAGTACAATACCGTAAACACTGTAAGTCCATTTCTTCACAAGTTTGGTTCAGTTCTGATATTTCATTGTTGACTTTTTTTGTCTAGTTGATTTGTGTATTTGTAATGGATGGTATTAAGGTCTCTTATTAACGACCATGTTAGTGTTTAATTTTTCATGTCTTAATATTTGTTTTCTGTAGCTGAATGCACCTGTATTTGTGACATATATGTTTGTGATTATGTCTTCTTAGTTTTCCTTTAACAAGTTTGTAGTAACCTTATCTCCAGTCTTGCTTGAAGTTCCTAGTGTTTCCAAATAGAATAGTTACCCCTGCTTTTTTCCAGGTTCCTGTCACATGAAGTACTGTTTTCCATCCTTTGACTTTCAGTGTGTGAATTTCTTTTTGACTAAAGTGTTTCTTGCATGCAGCATATTGTTTCTTGCTTCTTGATGCATTGTGCCAAACTTTCTTACTATTTTTGTTTTAATTCTAGGTCTTTAAAATCTTTTTTTTTTTTTTTTTTTTTTTTTTGGTATCAGGGATCGAACTCATGACCTCACGCTTGCCAGGCAGGCGCTTATGCTGCTGACCAAAGTCCCCAGGCAAACTGTTTCTTTTGATTGGTGAATGAGACCATTTTCATTGATGGTTATAACATATATATTGGCTTATCTTTCTCATATTATTTTCCTTCTTGGTACCCTGTCTATCCCATGTTTAATTGCTTATCCTGCCTGTTGGCGTCTTTCAGTGTTCTTAGAATTGCGATCTTCCTTATCTCTTTCTAGAATATCCTTCAAAGCATTTTGGAGAACTGGTTTGACAGCCATGAATTTCTTCAGTTGTTCTTTAACATGGAAGTATGTTATTTCCCCACTGATTTTGAAAGAGAATTTTGTGGGGCACATCAATCTGGGTTGGAGGTTGTTTTCTTTTGGGCCTTGAAATACCTCACTCCAAGCTTCCTTGACTTAAGGCTTTGTTGAGGAGTCTCTTGTGATTCTAATCGGCTTCCCTTAATAAGTTATTTACTTTTCTTTAACTGCTTTTATTTATTTATTTTTGGACTAGAAATTGAACTTACAACCTCACATTTGGCAGGCACATGCTGTGCTACTGAGCTATATCCCCAGAACTTTTTTTTTTTCCTAACTGCTTTTCATATTGTTCTTATGCTGAATTTCTAGAATACTGATTATTATATGCCTCGGTGTAGATTTATTTTTAGTCATGGCTATTTGGATTCTATATGGTTCATTTATTTGTATGTCAAATTCTTTATCCGTTTGGGAAATTCTCTGCCATTACTTGTATGAAGAGGTTTTTATGACGTTTGTACTACATCTGACTTTCTCCTTGACTCAGATCAATCTGTTTTTCCTTGCAATGGTTGGACTGGTTTTTTTCATGGTCCCTTGTTATTTTTAAGATATCTTTTCTTTCATGTTGCTAACCTTAATCCTGACTTGCAGATCTGATATTCTGTCTTCTTTGTTCAATCTGTTGTGTACAGTTTCAATGGAAGCCATGTATTACCTGGATATCCATTTGAATCTGTATCATGACTTGTTTCTTTCCTGTTGCGCATTCATGGTTTTTATCATTTCCCAAGCTCTTCTACTTTTTGTTTGTGGCCACTCTAGATTTATTGGGCATGTCTTTTGATTTTTTTTTTAACCTGGGAGATTATTTCCTCTATTGCCACATTTGTTTTTTCATGGTGGTCTTAGATAAGTACATAGTCTGAGTGGTCCTAGTTCCTACCTTTTTGCAGAATTCCCCCTAGTCTGCTTCCCAACTGCCAGTAGTCTGCTATGACTGGATGGTTCTTCCCTCCTTCCACTTCAGGATTTTGGCAATGATGTGACCCACGACTGTTGTGCTAGGATTTGCGCTTTGAGATAAAATGGTAGCCCCACTCACCCACTTGTGTTCCATGTGTCTGTGCACCAAAACATAGCACTAGTTCAACTCACTCAACAACCAGTGCTTTCTGTAGGGACCCTCTAGAAAATATCCTGTCTCACTGGCCCACTCCATGCTGGGGGGCTGCTCCACCAGCTTTTGTTATTGTTGAGGCAAGGTCTTGCTGTATAGTTTAGGTCTGCTTTGAATTGACTACATAACCCAGGTTGGCCTCAAATGTGTGATAGCCATCCTGCCTCAGCCTCCCAAATACACATACAGGCATGCACCACCATGCGTGGCTGTTGAAAGCATTCTTTTTTATCCCCATTGAATTACTCTGACCACCTTACTAGAAATTAATTCATCATTTCTGAGGGTTTACTTCAGGACTCTCAACTGAAGCCCATTAATTCATATGTTTATCCCAAGTCACCACATTGTTTTCTTTGGTTTTTTTTGTCTTTATCGGTACCAGGGATCGAACTCACAACCGCACACTTGCAAGGCAGGCACTTATGCCACTGAGCTAAATCCCCAGCCCTGGTTTTTATTTTTTGAGACAGAGTCTCACTATGTAGTTCAGGCTGGCCTTGAACTCACTAGGTAGCCCAGACTGGTCTTGAACTCACGAGAATCTGGAGTGCTGGGATTACAGGCAGTACCACCACATCTGCTACATATAACTTTATAACACATTTTAAAATCTGAAAATGTGAATCTTCTAGCTGTATTACTTTCTTTAAAGAGTCTGCTGGCTATACGGTGTTTATTTTTCCATTTCTATATGAAGGTCAGGATTTGCTTTTCAATTTTTGACCAGAAAGTACTGCCAGAGTGGGGAAAAATCAGCACTTGTTAAATCGTGGTAGAGCAGAAGGATTACTTCGGGTAGTTTTTGGGGAGTATTTGCATACAAACAAGTTCCCTTTAAATTTCCACAGCTTCTGACTAGGCAAGAGCAAGATAGAAAGATTAATTTTGGCTCCTTATTTGAGGTCAGGTAGTGCCACTGCTCTAGGCATTTGGCAAGAGTGTCACATCACTGTGAGAGTGCAGGAAGGAGCAAACCACTTAAGCATGAACCAGGAAGCAAAGAGACTGGCGGCTGGGAATGCACAGTCATCTCCGTGGGCACATCCCCACCTCAGGACCTGAGGGCCTCCTGTTAGGTCCTGTTGTTATCAAGTAGTTCTTTAGAAATGGCCCACTGTATATTGTGGATCTCTATATCCTCTACTCTATATCCTTGCCTCAAACGAAGAACTGGATGACAAGCCAAAATGGTGCCAAAAATGTATTGGAAGTGAGGGGAAAACTGGCTCTGTAGAGCAAACTTGGCCAAATAAAAGAGGAAAGGAGAAAAACAGCACACACAAAAAAAGTACACCCTAGTCTAGAAGACAGAGTGGGCTACTGTGAGGGGTGGTTCATGATAGTGGGCTCCTTGTGGCATTTGTGCCTTTATATGTCGTCAGTTCTCATGGGAGCACAAGTCCAGATATGCTCTTGGGGAACTGCTGCTGTCCTGGGATCTTGAAATTGACAGGTTCCACTTATTTTCCCAGCCAGCTTTGCCACAACCTACCTCCGATATTACTGCTTCAATCAAAAAGAAACGCAGAACTGTCACCACCTGGAGCTTGAGCAGCTGCATGCATGTAAGGAAGACAATTACTAAGGACAAATAAAGAGAACATCCTAGTATAATATAGTCCCTCTGTCCAACACCAATGTTTAAGTCTGTGTTTTTTCTCTCAGTCCTTAAAAATGTTTAATTCAGGGCTGATGGTGTAGATCAGCAGTACAGCCTTGTGTAGTATAGCCCTAGGTTTGATTCTTAACATCAAAAAAAAAAAAAAAAAAAAAAAACCCCCACACACATAAATAAATAAATAAATGTGCTCTTAAGGATTGAGGATGAACCTTGCTGGTAGAGCCCTTAACTGGAATGCACAAGACCTCAGGTTCAAACTTCAGCACTGCCCAAAGAAAAAGATGTTTAATTTGCTTGTAGCCTTTACATTTACCCCATAAAAAATAGGTTATTCTCACGCTCTTTTCAAGGTTTTCTCTGTCTTCAACATTCAGCTGTTTATTTTTGGGTCTACCTTTCGTTACAGTTATCATGTGTTAGGTCATTGAACTTTTTAAGCCTCAAGATTAGTTTTTCACAAAATTGGTGTTTCATTACTCCTTTAAAAATTTGTATCATATCCCACTTTCTCTTCCTCTTACAGGACACCAGTGTCATGAATGTTAGCCTTCTGGTACGGCCACACAGACCTCTTGAGAATGTGACAAATACTACAGTACCCTGAGTAATTTTGGATTACATCCCAAACATTTTGAATATTTTGTTTTGGCACCCTGGATACTTATACCTTACAGAGAGGGCTGGGGATATTTCTGTTGGAGCACAGGTCTGCCTCCCACAGTTTAATCCCCCCAGTCAATCCTGTGGAGAATGTAGTTATTTTTAAGTCAGCTAGTTACTCATTTGGGTTCAACTTCCAAGTTTTAACCAGCACTGTGTGGTTGTGCTGTGTGGGGTTGTGACTTCAATGTGCGTTCAGTTTTCAAAAACTTGTACTTTTAGAGCCCTTACTTAAAGGTGAGTCAGTCTCCTCCCTGTGGGCTGTGCAAGAACTGGAAAGCTTTGTACACCTCTGTGGTGCTCACATCCATTTCTGGGTATTTTAGCAGCACTGTTTGCTGGTAGTCTGAAGTCTCATGGGATTTTTTTCCCACTTATTGCCTAGTATTTATTGTTGGGAGCCTCTGAAGCTGGAAAATGACCACACTTGCAGGTGCCATCTCAAAAACAGAGTGCCCAGGGCAAGCCAGTGAAAAACACCAAGTCCCTAGACAATCCAAGCAGTGGGTTACTAGGCAGCAATTGAAACTGACATCCTTCTGAGTATATAAATAAATGTGCTACAGTGGTTAAGCAGTTCCTTTCCTTTCCTCTCATCAGTAGAGAAGGGCTCCACCTGACCCCAGCTTTGTCCCTTCTTTATTTTCTCATCCTCTGATGGTCTTTCACCCCAGGAACTTCAAGAGCTGTATGGTTGTGGTAGTTTACTTCTCAAATTCCTCAAAAGCTTCTCCATGCATTCTGCCAGGTTTTATACCTACATTCAGTGGGGCAGACAGAATACCTGTGCTTATGCTATTTTAGCTTTGGTCACTGTAACAAAATATCTTGAGTTAAAGGACTTTAAGGAGGAAAGATTTTGGCTTATAGTTTCTGAGATCCATGGTGGCTTGGTCCTGTTGCTTTGGTGCTCATTCAGGTGAGGCAGCATATCAGGGCAGAAGCAGGTGCTGGGAGAAACTTGTTAACCCATGTCCACTGGAGAGCAAGGAGAGAGAAAGGGCCCGGGTCCCAGTATACCCTTCTAAGGTGCACTGCAAGCACATTCTTAGATGTGTCAGCATCCTGAGAAACATGTACCATGGACAACCGTTGGTCTCAATTTTATGGAATCCTGAACAGAAATCATGGCTAAGCCACACCCATACTTCTAACCTACAAGGAGTGTTAAGTAATATACCCATGTTGTTAACCCACTAAGAGGCTGAGGCAGGAGAATCACAAGTTCTCAAAATAAAAACATAAATGGGTTACAGATACATTTCAGTCTGAAGTGCTCTCCAATGGCCATGGGTTCATTGTGAAGGGGTTTTCCAATCCCTATGACTGGAAAAACAAATCAATCAAAACAAAAAACAAACAGTGACTGATCATAATTAGAAGACCTGACAAAGCATTTGGAACCATTCTTCATAGATCACACTATGTCTCTGGGTTATATTTCAGTGTCTGGGTCTCAGAACTGGTCCTAATGATCTTTGTTCCTCTTCATCAGCTGTGTGCTGTGCCTGCTAGTCTGTTAGCACTGTTTCACCTTGTCCTACTCCACAGCAGTCTTTTAGCTAACTTATCAGTCTTTTAGCTAAATTCTCTGACACAAAAAATCACTGTGCTCAAAACTTTTTACACTTTATGACAAAGGAAAGATACTAAGTCTTCTAAAACAGAAAAATCTTTAGGTAATAAATTACATACATTCAGATTTCTAAGAATAAAAATAATTTAATGACAAAATGATGCATTAAAAAATATCAGTGAAAATCACTGAAGTAAATTCAAACTCATCAGTAATTATATTACATACAAATGAGTAACATGCAACCATTAAATAAGCATAATTACTGTGGATTTTGACAGTATCAAGAGTAATGCAAAGTGAGATTATAAATCTTGACTCTGATTAAAGGGAACAGTGGTAAAATGAAATCTGCATAAAGTATAATGTACTCAATCTTAGAGAATGTTTCCACACTTAAACAATGTATGTTCTGCTGCTTTTGGACAGGATTTTCTGAATAGGTATATTAAATTCATTTAGGATAAAGTATAGTTTACATCCAATATATCTTACTGATTTTCAGTCTACACAATAGTTTCAACGATGGATACAGCGTTGAAAGGGGTACTTAAGACCCTGCTATTTTTGTATTACTACTTATTTCTTGATCAGATAGCTGATATTCCCCTTCTTAGCTGCTGTGTCATTAAGTACAGAGACAAGCCACCAAAAAGATGTATACAAACTTTGGCAGTTAATCATACTAATAAATGTCTGTAAGCTAGTGGCCACCACTTTGAGCACCTCTTATAACTGTAGAGGCCAAAAATAACTTGTATTACTCTTAATAAATTTAGTGTTAAGATATATATAAATATATTATAACTGTATTTTACACACACAAGTATATAATACAGAGTATATACATACTTATTTAAACAGCATCTCCCACTGTTGCCCAGGTTCTACCTTGTGATGCTCCCACCTCAGCCTCCAAGTAGCTGGAATTACAGGAGTGTGCCACTGCACCCAGCAAGGTGTTCTGTCCTCTTGATGAGGTAACTACCTCACCCTTATTTCATTTTTTTGCATTAGTTTTTGACTTAGTATCTGTTTCATCTGAGGCAGGTATAGTGACCCCCATTTTCTTTTGGTTTCTATTTGCAAGGCATATCTTTTCACATTCCTACACTTCCCATTTACTTGTGTCCTTAAAAGTGAAAGGGTCCCTTGTAGGCACCACACAGCTGTATTTTGTTTTTGATGCAGTTAGCCACTGTGTCTTTCGAAGGGCAAAGTTACTCCACTCAAATTTGAAGCCATTTTTTTCCTTTGGGTCTTTTTGAGACAAGGTTTCACTATGCATTTTGGGCTGGCCTCAAACTCAGTGATCCGCCTCCCTTAGCCTCCCGAGTGCTAGAATTATAGGCATGAGCCACTACACCCAGCCTGAAACAGTTATTAAAAAGGATCATGCATCACAAGCAATTGAAATTTACAGCAGTAATACACGGGTGATTTAACATATGAAAAATCAATAAATGTCATGCATCACAACAAAATGAAAGGAAAATCACTGCAAAAGATGCAGAAAAGGTGTTTTAACAAAATTCATATTTTCTTAGTACCAACTTTCAACAAATTGGGTATAATAGTGACAGTATATGACAAGGCAATGGTTATCATCATACTAAAACAGTGAAAAGCTCAAAGCTTTTTCTTTAAGAAAAAAAAAAAAAGAAAATAAACAAGAACAAGAGAGCCTAGGCTTCTACCTTCTATTAATCATAACCATCCAAGTTCCACCATCCAAGTTCCAATCATTAACTAAGCACGAAAAAGAGAAGACATCCAAATAAAAAAGAATTTAAATTGTTTGCAGATGACATCATCTTGAATATAGAATATCCTAATGATCATCCTAAAGAATGATCGTTCAGGAAATAATAATAAATGAATTCAGGAAAACAGCAGGACATGAAATCAATAAATATACAAAAATCAGTAGTGTATCCATATGCATCAATTTCTCCAATGAATATTAACTCTTTAATGCCTTATGTTCCATTTTTGGAACACCCATCAATCAATAAAACAATACAACTTGTTTCTCTTCAAATTCTTGTTCTTCAAGACCAGTCTGAACTACAAAGCAAGACCCTATCTCAAAACAAACCAAAACCAAAACAAAAAATGCCTTCAGATTCTTGTTACTTAAATTTTTCTAGGTAACTAATATGAATTTTATGCAAAAATTCAAAAAACTGCAATTGCTGTCATAAATGGGTTAACTATTATGTATTGTAAATATTCCCTAATAAAAATAGTACTATTATACACTAAAAATGAACAGCTGTTGGTTGAAAAAGAAATTAAGAAAATAATCTCATTGACAAGAACAAAACAAAAACCTTACAAATACATTTAATCAAAGAGAAGATTGACAAACTAAAACAAATGAAACACTGATGAAGTAAATGTTACTTTCCAAGTCTATGAATTGAAATAATATTTGAAAATGTCCAATATTTGAAAATTAAATTTGGCCCAATATGCCAAATTTAATGGCACTTTTCAAGAGTCCAATGGCATTTGTCACAGAGTTATTTTAAAAATCCTAAAATTCATACAGAAATACGAAACTCCAAAAAGAAAAAGAAAAAAAAAAAACTTGAGCAAGAATAAAATGAAGAGAGCCAAGAATTTAGTTCAGTGGTTCAAGTGCCTGCCCAGTAAGCACAAGGTCATGAGTTTGATCCCTGGTCCAAAACAGATAAAATGGAAGTATCACACATTCTGATTTCAAATTATATCACAAAGCTATAGTAATCAAAACAGTAATCAAAACCAGAAGCACAAATCAATGCAAAGGAATACAGGGGCTGGGGATGTAGCTAAGTAGTACAGTGCAAGCATGTACAAGGCCCTGAGTTCAACCCCCAGTACAAAAAAAAAAAAAAAAAAAAAAGGAAATCAACAAATGCACAGACAACTAATTTTAACAAATATCACAAGACTATAACTTCATATATGGTAATGACTGAAAACTAGATATCCATATGGAAAAGGATGCAAATGGACCATTATTACACATTATACACAAAAATCCATCCTAAATGAATTAGACTGAATCTGAAACTATGAAACCATAAAACTCCTAGGATAAAACATAGGAAGAAACCTTCATGACACTGGTCTTAAAAACACCAAAAATAGAGTCAATAAAAGCAAAAAACAAGGAATAAAAAAGATAGAACTATATCAAACTGAAACTTTCTTCACAGCAAAGGAAACAACAAATTGAAATACTACCTATGCAATAAGAAAATATTTGTAAACCATATATCCAATTAAAATTAACATCCGATATATAAAAAAATCACACAACAGCAAAAAACAAATAAGCAAAGGAAAACCAATTTAAAATAAGCAAAGGACCTATGTAATTTTCTTCAAAAATATGTAAATGATCAGATATATGAAGATTCTTAAAATCACTGGTCATCAGGGAAACGAAAATCAAAACTACAAATCTATATGTTAGGATAGTGCTTATTTTTTAAAAAATGAGATAAGAATTTTGGCAAGAATATAAAGGAAACTGTAACATTCATATACAGCTAAATGGTGGAGAAATTTGAAAAACAGTATGGGAGTTCCTAATACAATTAGAACAAGCAAATGATCTCACAAATGTAAACCTTCATCCAGAGAAATAAAATGACTCCCTTATTTTCAATGCTGTAGTACTAATAGCCAAAGTATGGAAATAACCTATGTTCCTTTATTTATGAATGCATAAAGAAATACAATTTACATGTATAATGTTTATACTTTTAAAAAGGAGATTTTACTATTAGGACAAGAGGGAATCTGAAGGACATTGTGCTATGTGCAATATGGAATCTAAAACTCAAATTCACAGAAGGAAAAAACACAATTGTGGATACAAGAGGCTGGGGTTGGGGAAATGAGGTATTTTGTCAGAGAGCATGAACTTTCAGTTAAAAGGTGAATTGAGTTCTTGAGTCATATAGAACATGTGAACATAGTAACAATACCTGAATTTGCTTGGGAAGGAAATGTTTTACAGCACCAACAATAAAGGTCACAATATCATGTAAGAGGTATTTTAATTAGCTTGACTATGGAAATCATTTCATTTTACGTATGTTTTAGTGGTCCATTATATCAATAAAAGTGGGAGAAAAGTTGAGCTATGGTAGAAATTAAATATTTAAAACCAAAAAGTATAAAAATTTACCAGTATTCAAAAATATTTCAAATATTGAAACTATAAATGTTCAAAATAAATCTGTAAAACCACCAAGAAAGCCATGTCTGTCCGCATATAAGATTTCAGAAGTTGGAGAAATAATCTTCATATGCCATACATGAATAGTTTCTGGAGAAAGGATCATTTTTATTAAAGGTTGAAGAATAATGTAAACAATGATTTTTTTAACATTTCTTACTTTCATGAAGTCTTTGTCCATTGTGATATTACAGACAACCATCAAAGTGCTTAGCAGACTACAGCTTTTCCATATATGTAGCAATACCTTTTCTCCACTGGGAGATTTCACATACTTAAGTGAGATCTCAAGACAGGGAAGTCTCATGTTTCTGACATTATGTAGCTTCAAGGTGAGTCCTTACAAGCTGGATTGTAAGCTGATGCTGATGGTTTATGTTCTTTACATTTATTTTACATTATTCTTTACACCGTGAGTTCTTTTAGGTCTGAAGTAACCAGGACAAGTGAATACTATGCATGGCTTACATCGAAACGGCTTCTTGCCATTGTGAATTTGATGAATGTAATACTAAGGCAAGTGGATTTCCTAAAGCAGTTTCCATACTCCTTACATCCAGAGGGCTTTTCTCCAGTGTTTTCACATGTTCAGGAAGATGAGAAATAGTACTGAAGGCTACTCCACAACCCTTGTATTTATAGGGCTTCTCTGTACTGTGAGTTTTTACATGCTTACTTAGGTGTGAATAAACAGTAAAGGCTTTGCCACATTCTTTACACTCATAGGGTTTCTCCCCAGTGTGAGTTCGCATGTGGATGTGAAGGTAGGAAGAACATGTAAATGCTTTCCCACACATGTTACACTCAAAGGGCTTCTCTCCAGTATGAATTCTTAAATGTGCGATAAGGTAAGACGAGGAAGCAAAGGCCTTCCCACATTGGTCACATTCATATGGTTTCTCTCCTGTGTGACTTCTTATGTGCTCAAGGAGGCCTGAGGATGTGGTGAAGGCTTTCCCACATTCCTTGCAATCATAGGGCTTCTCCCCAGTGTGAGTACGCACATGTTTAGTGAGGCCTGATCGCACAGTGAAGGCTTTTCCACACTGCTCACATTTATGGGGTTTCTCACCTGTGTGAATTCTTAGGTGTTTACTTAAGTGTGAGGAAACAGTGAAGGCTTTCCCACATTCCTTACATATGTAAGGTTTCTCACCAGTGTGAGTTCGTATGTGGTTGTGAAGATAGGAGGAGCAGGCGAATGCCTTCCCACATACAGTACATTCAAAGGGGTTCTCTCCAGTGTGTGTTCGTAAGTGTTTAGTAAGGCTTGTGCGCTCAGTGAAGGCTCTGCCACACTCCTTACACTCGTAGGGTTTCTCTCCAGTGTGAGTCCGCATGTGGATGCGAAGATAGGAAGAACATGTAAATGCTTTTCCACACACCTTACACTCAAAAGGCTTCTCTCCAGTGTGGGTTCTCGAATGTGTAATAAGGGATGAAGAAGAAGCAAAAGCCTTCCCACAGTGGTCACATTCAAATGGTCTCTCCCCTGTGTGACTTTTCATGTGTTTAATAAGGCCAGAGGAGGAAGTAAAGGCCTTCCCACACTCCTTACATTCATACGGCTTCTCTCCAGTGTGAGTTGGTAGATGCTTACTGAGGCCAGAGCGCCCTGTGAATGCTTTGCCACAGTCCTTACATTTGTAGGGCTTCAGTCCAGTGTGAACTCGAAAGTGATCATTAAGGCATGAGGAATTTCTAAAGCATTTTCCACAAACCTTACATTCAAAAGGCTTCTCTTCAGTGTGAGTTTTTAAGTGCTGAGTCAGTGGATAACACCTAGAAAAGGCTTTCCCACATTCCTTACACTGATAAGGTTTCTCCCCTGTATGGGTTCGCATATGAATATTAAGATTGGCAGAATACTTAAAACTTTTCCCACATTCCTTGCATTCATAGGGTTTTTTCCCAGCGTATGTTTGATCATGTGCACCACGACTCATGGAAGAATTGAAAGCCTCGCTACACTGTGTCCATTGGAAGAGTCTGTCTGCTCTCCTAGTTCTCCCATCAGTCTCAGGCCCTGGCTGACTGACAAAGGCTTCCACAAAGTCACTGCATTCAAGAGATTTTGGTTGTTCACACAGTGTATGGTAAGCCTCATTCTGAGTCAATCTAAAGACTTTTCCATACTGACTGAACATAGGAAGTTGGTCTGTGGAAGATACTTCCTTGTGCAAAGCAGGAAAGTCTTTTCCATACTGTCTACAATCCCAAGTGTTTCCTCCATATTGTGTACCCACATGTGTCAAAAGGCTTGAGTGATCTTTGAAGATTTCTCCACATGGCCGAAGACCATAGAACTTCTCTATGGGTTGATTCCTTGCCTGTTGACCAAAAACAGTGAATAAAAAATTTCCCCCAAAGAAACTATTTTTGCAGATATAACAGATTCCCTGTTCATGATGATGACTATAATTTCTGCCCCTTTTTTTTTTTGGGGGGGGGGGTCAGAATTTGCTGCCATTTTAATTATATGCATAATTTTCCTATCCTCTGAATGCAGTAAGAATGAAGTAATCCAATTGTAAGATCCTATGCCATCTTCTGTAATTTCAGAAAGATTCCTGTAGATTTTCATGAGATTATTTTAAAAACTCAACATCTAGTAACTATATGGAGTAACATGCCTTTGAATGAGCTCTGGAGTTTCACACCAGGTTTGGGCTATCTTTTCTGACACACTGCTCCCTGAGGGTGAAAAATACTGCTTTCAAACATGTCTGATTTCTCTCTTGAAATGCCCAATCCTCCCTGAGTGTGGGAAAGTAGAAATACCTCTTGTGAGTCTTACCAGTTGTACCTCATTTGCTGTTTTTAACCAAAAAGTATCTTGTTGAAGTGCTGTCCCCTTGGTGTTAAGCTGCAGTACCCATTCTGAAGTAAAAGAGAAAAACAAAATGAGTTTCCACAATGAAACAGTAGGCTAAAAAAGTTAAAAACAATCAGCTCATTTATGTATTTTTCCATATTAAAATACTAAAAAGTAAAGCCAAGATATACTTCAGCAATTTGGCTATATCTAAAGTTTGAGACATTTGGGATGTCGTTCTGTGTTAACAAGTGCAAGGTCCCTGGGTCTCCAGCACAGAAAAAGAAATAATTACAGTAATAAATAAAATTTGACAATCTTAAGATAAGGGGTCAAAATTTAGAAATTAATAACATTCTATAACTTAAACATTCTGGTGAATAGAAACAGTATCATAGAAGAAAAGTAGGAAGGATCTGGAAAAAGAGTATACATGAAAACCATGAACTCAAAGAAGAAAAGAACAGGTAGCTGTTGTGGTTTTAAGAAAGACTGTAGAGACAGAAAGTAATGGGGTACAGGGATGTAAAGAGACCCCAAAACTTCTGAATCCAATGGCCTTGGCGTTCTGACTTAAAGGGTATCCCACAATAATGAGTACATTTTGGGTATTCCTCAAATACCCTAAACTTCTCAGTGTCTGGAGACATTTTTCACAGCACCCACCTTGAAGAACACCTCTCTCCACTGTCCTCAACTCTTCTTCCACCTCAAAACAAGAGATCAGGCTGGGTTTGATGAGCTGACACCCTACCCAAAAGGAAAAATGCCTTAATGGAAGTGGCTTACACAAGAAATAATAAACCTTCCCATGATTTAGGAACTACAGCTTTTTGGTTTGATTTTGAAGAGTTTTATGAGATGAGGTCTCACTATGTGATGCAGGCTGGCCTTGAACTCCTGTCGACCCTCCTGCCTCACCTCCCAAGTGCTGGGACTACAGGCATGTACCACCACACCTAACTAGGAACTACAGTTCTAATATGCAAAACTTCAATATGCAAAAATCTTCTCAGTATGTGCCTCAAAGGCACTAACCTGACACCCAAAAACCTAAAAGTGTACATAAACAACTTACAAAGCACTAAATATTAACCAAATAGAAAATAAAATAAAATGAGTTTTGTTTTGTTGGTACTAGAGACTGAACCCAAGGCCTGTGCACTGAGCTATATCCCCAGTCCCTGATTTTTTAAAATGCTTAGATAGGGTTTTGTTAAGTCACTAAGCTGTCCACGCAGAGAATCTCCAGCAGAAAAAAAAAGAAAGTAGTAATTATAACAATAAAATGACACTGGATAATCATGGGATAAAGGGTCAAAATTTAGAACAACTTACTTTAAAAATTAAATATTCTAGTGAGCACAGTACTATCATAGAATAGAAACAGGGTTTAAACTTATGATCCTCCTGCCTCAGCCTCCTAGAGTGGTGGGATTACAGGTATGTGCTACCAACCCTGGTTGAGATCTTCATTATCATAGGGGGAAATCTACACCAGTGATTTTTTTTTCTTTTTCTTTTTGTAGTACTAGAATCAAACCTAAGGAGCACTGAGTCAAGCACCCAGCTCTTTTGTTTTTTGAGATAGTATCTTGCCAAGTTGCCAAGGCAGGCCTCAAATTGGCACTCTTGGCTCAGCTTCTCAAGTACTGCAGATTACGAGTACACACCATGGCACCTTGCACCTGGCCCACCAATAATTCTTGGTTTGTTCTGTTTTGTTCTGTTACTTTGAGACAAGGTCTCACTATGTAGGTTCAGACTGGCCTTGAACTCATGGTGATCCTCCTGCTTCAGTCTCCCAAGTGCTGGGATAACAGGCATGTGACACCACACCTGGTGCTCTGATATTTCTTAAATATTATAGTGCATAAAAAAAATAATGTATCAAATTCCTGACAGGAAGGTTAAACACAGATGACAGAGCCCGAACTGAAGAGTTTCTGATTTGTTACGTCAAAGGTAGAGACTAAAAATGTACTTTTTAAAGAGACTAACAGTGACACTACTGATCCTAAGACCATGGACTACCACATGTTAGGGCAGGGAGTGTGCCTCCGTTATCGTCCACTGTGCTCAGAGTTGACAGCAGCGATCTTAAAACTCAATGAATTTTCCTGTTCTGGGAGAGGCTACAAGGAATGGAGGCAGTCTTACCTACTGAGACCAGGTTCTGGTAGTTCTCCAGCATCACCTCTCTGTATAAGTTTTTCTCAATTAGGTCCAGTAAAGCCCACTCCTCTGGAGTGAATTCCACAGCCACATCCTCAAAGGTCAGCGAGCCCTAAATCATCATACACACAGTGGTTTAAACCAAGTAACATCTCCTCCATTGTCCATGGAGAATGAGGAGGACAGGGGACCCCCATGCCTAAGGGAGAGCAAAATTTAGTGGTGCACATCTATAACCTCAGCACTCTATGAAGCCGAGGCAGGAGGATTACAAGTTTGGGCCCAGCCTGAGCAATTTAGAAGCTACTGTCTCAAAATAAGAAAAGTAAAATAAAGAAAGTGTTGTGGATATAGCTCACTACCATTAAAAAATAAAAACAAGCTAGGAGTGCTTCCATGAACACTGGGCCTAGTGCAGCGGTGGTGAAACTTGTGCCATAGGGTTCACCACTGCTGCCCTAGAGACTCATTTTGGTCTCTACACTCACTATCCATGTTTTCACTCATGGTTATAATTGGAACATCTCAAACATGAACTTATCTCACCACCACCAGACTGAGGACTCTTTCTTAACTCCCTCTATTAAAGTACACTCAAGCAAAATGCACACATTTGATAAACAGTGATGAACAAATAAATTCTGTGAGAAAAAGACACTTTCATATTCCTTATCATCAGACCATGCAGCAAAATCAAGAACGTGTAGTCAGAGCCTGAGGGTCAAGATTAACTAGAAATTACTGAAGTGCTGGAATGATTTTCAGGGTCCTCTTTCACCAATTATAAGAAGATTCACTCCTGGGGAAAATGTAACTGAGGACTCAGTTCTTTGAAGGGTACTTGTGGGGGCATCGGCCTGAGGTCCACATGAGATGGATATGCAGAGATAAGGTACTCTTAAGGCCACAAGACCAAAACTTCCTGGAATTCAAGGCTACAGATTAAAGGATAGCCTGCAAGGCCACAAGTCCCTATGGCACACTGCCTTAAGGAATGGCCCCGGGCTCTTGTCCTCCCTATACTGTGATTTACACTGTTATTTACCCCAATAACAGTATAAATACTGTTACTGACCCTAATATCAATCGTATAGAGAACTACTTTGTCACTGCCCTCTCCTTTCCCAGTCCTCTACAGAATTCCTGCACAGATTCTCCTTGTCAGGAGAAGTACAAGTAACTTTATCCTTGCTTCCTGGTCTATCAATAAAAAGCCACAGAAGCTTCAGATCGGGGCTGTTCTTCTTCCTGAGATTCTCATTCTGAAGGGTCATGGTTACGGCAGCCCCTCTGGGCACTAGATTGAACTGTACGTGCACTCAGGAATCTCTCATCCTTTTGTGCCATGCTAGGGTGGTGAACTGGGACACCCACTACCATTGTGAAGGATAAACTCTTGTCATACCTTATAATCTTGCACGCAGTCAGTCATCATGCTTTCTGCCTTTGTCTGTCCTTCATGAAAGCAGACTGGGCCAACAGAAAATAACCCTAGTAGGAAAAAAAGAAGGCATGAGAATCCATAGCTGACCATATTTCCCACACTCACATGCCTATACGTCATTTCATTATAGTGTGAAAGTCCCACATAAGTCAACACACTTAGAAACCTTACACAAATCCACTACTGCCATATGACACCAGGGTAATCTATGTCACTTAGAGCCAGAAAGAGGGGTGGTGAGCCATGTTGCCCTTAGGAGAAGCACAAGTAAAGAACATGACCTAACCATTCATGGTGACAGAACTTGTTTTGTGACGATTCCACTATGTACTTCAAGCTGGCCTCAAATTCACAGAGATTCTCCTACCTCAGCCTCCCAAGTGCTGGGATTATAGCTGCTCACCAACACGCTAGGCAATGGTGACAGAAGCTGCAAATGAAACCGTTAGCCCCTACAACCAAAGCACTCCCTTGCCTACTGCAGCATTCCTGAAATGAGCTAACAATGCAGTTACTAAGGCCCAGATCACTGAATGTATAGTTTGCATGGGGAATCTAAACAAGAGCCCCTGAAAAACCACATCAGCGGAACTTACCATGGGACATATCAATGGCTTCCATCTTGTAAGACTGACGGTGAAACACGACTGAACACTTTTTTGTTACACATCAGAACAGCTTAGGCATCCAAGAGGACAGTGGCAATCTGCTCCTTTTTATATAAGATTATTTGCATTCCTGTAGACATTGATCATTCATTAAGAAGTGCTACTTACTAGACATCAAGTATTACATATTAGCATGCTCCCCCCACCGTCTTCTCCTCTCTGTCTCTCTTTCTCTGCTAGTGCTACTTGTAAACACCCACTAAAAAATCATATGCTCCATAATATGGGGAGTAGCAACATAAACTGCCATTTGCCAAGGACTCTTGCATGTTTAAGTTTCACAAAAAGATGGATTATCCTAACAAGCCTTGAAGGGTTGACATTATCATTATTAAAAGCCTAAAAGTCTACATTTGAAAAACACAGGAGACTGTTACAGTATCATCTAGTTAGGAACAGATGAACTACAACCTGGTTGAAACTTTGTCCCAAAAATCTGACCTTCTGTGCTAGCTGGTACTTCCAACATGCTACCATGGAGAAGAGTCTGGAAATCTTATCTGGTTCACTTAAAATATGGTATTTTACTTTTAATGCAAAGCATCAGAACCAGAATATCATGTTTCACAAAAAGGTCATAATGCATTTCAAGCACTGATAAGCCTCAACACAGCCACTGTGGAGAAACATGAAATGCCTGTTTTGGGCTCTGCCTTTTGCTCCTACTTAGTGCACAGAGGCAGCACCCCTTCAGGACACTTCCCTTTCATGGTCATCTTGAGTTTGAGGAACAGCCAAAAGTTACACTGCGCCAGATCTGGTGAATAAGTGGATACGGACATACCATCATGTATTTATTTGAAGAAAATGTCACAGACATTCTGAATAAATTCAGGACACTGAGACAGCCAAAGAGACATTTCTATAGGACTTCCAGAAGTGCTTTCAGAAGATGGAAAGCATAATGGAATACATATAAGTGCTTGAAGTGAGAAGGAATACTTTTAGGGGGATTACTAGCAATTTGCCTTTTATTATAATGAAAATTTAAAAATTTAACTCACCATATCTTCTAATCACACCACTACTTATTTAAAGCACATCAGAAAAAGTTTCACATCTTGTATAATACATAAATATTCATATACAAGAAAGGCTAAGTGTTCAAATCTGATTCAATTAAAATAAGATGACGACTGAACGTATCACATGGGCAAAAACTAAAGGCAAAGAAAATGAGAAAGTATCATGAAAAAAGAAACAATCACATAAGAAGAAGATCCAAGAAAGCTGTAAGCTGGTTTCTCATCAAAGATCTCACAGGCCAGGAAAGAGTGGAGTAATTTTTAACGCTAAAGCAAAAAACCTGACAACAAAGAATAACAAAACCAGCAAAGCAGTCCTTCAGAAATAAAGGATGAACACTTTTCCAGAAAAACAAAAACAAAGATTTCATCACTGCCTGAACTGACTTACAAGAAATGCAAAGGAGGTTTTCTTCAAAGTGAAAGAAAAGGTTAGTAATTAGTGACACAAAGTATGTGAATGTATAAAACTTGATGTGAAAAAAAACCTTGACATGGAAAAAAACCGTGCCGTGACTATATAAAAGCTGAATATGGTGGCACCCACCTGTAATCCTAGTGCTCAGAGTCTGAGGCCAAAGAATCGCTGTGAGTTTGAGGCCAGTGTAGGCTACATAGTTAGTTCAAGGACAGTCTGAACTTAATGAGACCCTGTCTCAAAAAAAAGTAAAAAAATTTCAGGTGTAAAATAAGTATACAATTAAATTCAGAATACTCTAACACTATGATGGTGAGAATACAAATCATTTATATCTTTTTTTTTAAAGAGAAAAAAATAAAACAGTTTCAAAACAGGCTAATAGGAGAGCAACAATAATTAATACATTGCATATTATCTTCATAGTAGTTGTTCAGAGTACAAGATATAGACATGAAATAATGTCTAAACATTAGCACAAACCTTTGTTTTCAAAGAGAAACTAGCTGTGCAACTATCTTAACTATCAAAGTCAGAAGAAGCAAGGAAATAATAAAAATTAAAGGGCTTTTTCTGCCATCAGAGTTGAAATAAATGAAACAGATACTAGAAAAATAGAACAGACAGACAAAGTAAGCTGATTTTTCCTAGAGAACAAAATTAACCAGGCATGGTGTCACAAGCTTTTAATCTGGCATTCTGGGAAGCTAAAGCAGGATTACAAATTGGTGCCCAGTCTGGGCAATTCAGCAAGACCCTGTTTCAAAATCAAAACATATCTGGCAGTACATACTTGTGATCCCAGCACTTAGAAGGCTAAGGCAGGAAGATCCTGAATTTGAAGCAAGTCTGAACTATATAGCAAGATGCTACCTCTGAATGAATGAATGAACGAACAAACCAAACAAGTGGCTGGGGATATACCTCAAAAAAAATCACCTGCAGGGCTGGGAACATAGTTCGATGGTAGAACACTTGCCTAACACTTCCCAAGAAATACTTCAAAAATCCTAAAGTTCATGTAAAACTAGAGGAGACTTGTAATAGCCAAAGAACTTCTGAACAAGAAAAACCAAGATAAGGATATCACTCCATATACTTTGAAAATCCACCAGGAAGGTGTAATAAGCAAAAATGCATGGTCCTTGTATAAAGACATAATGCACAGAGTATAATGGAACAGGACAAAGAACTCGGAAATCCACATATTGACAGTCAACTAATGTGCAAATCATATATCCAATAAGGAGTAAGTATCCAAAAATCACAAGGAACTCAGCAGTAAGAGAACTAAGAAACTGAGCAAACCATTGGGACTCCTCCTGTCTCAGGAGTTATTCCTATTTCCCATTCTTCTCTCCAATAAATTTTCCTTCTCTTAAAAAAAAACTAGTAAACTGATTTAAAAATGACCAAAAGGCTTTAGCAGGCACTTGTAAAAAGAATATGTGCTGCGGATAGTAGCACAAGCCTATACATAATCCTAGCTACTCGGGAGGCTGAAGCAAGAAGATGTCAAGTTCAGCTGGGGCAACTTCACAAGATCTGTCTTGAAATAAAAACCTAAAAAAGGTCTGGAGATGTAGCCCTGTGGTAGAGTGCTTGCCTGGCATGCGGAAGGCCCTAGGTTCCATCCCTAATACTGAGGGAGCAAAAAGATGCAAATGACCTCCACATACTATATATCCAAAACTATTAAACATCACTAATTAATAGGGTTAATGACCCTCAGAAAAATATATACCACTAATGTGGCTTTATGGAACAAGGTTAAGATTATTGTTTTAATAATATAATGAATAATAAAATAAATTAATTACCTTGCCCGGGTGGCATATGCCTGTAATCCCAGCACTCTGGGAGACTGAGGCAGGAAGATTGCAAAGTCAATCATGGGCATAATAGCAAAACTCCATCTCAAATTAAAAAAGGTCTGGAGATGTAGTTCAGTGTGAAGGCCCAAGGTTGAAGCCCCAGGACTGAGAAGAAAAAGAGGTTCCCTATAACGTTAAGTCATACCTGTGGTCTCTGAGAGAGGTAAACACAACACAGATGCCTTCTGCTCACCATATGTGATGGTACAGTTGCTGCAATACCCCAAGGTCAAGAAAGCGTGAATTCTGTATCTCTGGAGATGGAGGCTCTCTGAGGCTGACAGCCTGCTGAAAAAGGTGATGCAATCTATCTATAAGGGCAAATTATTAACAGGTGTGACTGAGTGCAGTCACCAAAGCTAATTACCCTGCTCAGTACTGACAACAGAGGCTTTAAGGGCAGAATCACAGCAGTGAGTTGCAGCAGTCCATTGGAAGGCATCACTTATTTACTGTTATATTCAGAACAGGTAATAATGGCCTGTTCACATGGAGAAGCAATGGGCATAATCGCCTCTATTTATTAGGTCTCATATAAGCAAGTTTAATCTCTAAAGATCTTAATTTATTTGGGGCCATGTTAACTATTTTAATTAGGCCCATGGAGTTGCACATATCAAGCCAGTTAGTAACAAGAATAGAATTTACTTTTATTATTTATTCAATCAGAGTCTTATTTGTGGAGTACTTTAGGGCAACAGGTATTGTGATTCTATACCACTCAGGCAAGCCTACAGTAGGAGTGAGGCCATCAGTTTTCTCATCGGGTAGCAGGTAACCTTCCCAGGTGTGGATGGTGGTAGTAACAATGTTTAAATTTAGTAAGATTCCAAATTGGGTCTTAGTATTAATGAAGTTCATGAATTCTGTCAGGTGACCATATTAGCAAATATTAAGATAAAATCTATAGGGGGCTGGGGATTTAGCTCAGTGGCATAAGCACCTGCCTTGCAAGCAGGCAGTCATGAGTTTGATCCCTGGTACTGATAAAGACAAAAAAAAAAAAAGATAAAATCTACATTGTGCATGCCAAAAACCCAAACAGTACCTTTTTATTTATTTTTTCCCTTAAGACAGGGTCTCATGTTGCCTAGACTAATCTCTAACTGCTACCTCAATCTCCCAAGTAACCTTTATATCTTTTGTTACATATATAAATTTAGCATATAAATTTTAGGTTTTTCAGTAAGATCAAATTATGGAACTTCTTTTAATTAATTTTTCATACATATAATTTGTCATATGCTTCCATTTATAATGAAATATTCATATATATATTATATTATATTATATTATATTATATTATATTATATTCAGTTGTCCTGCACTTTCTCCTCTGGTACCCGGGTTTGATATTAAAATGACGGATACATGGCTACTGTTATGCTTGCTCAATCTGGGATCTGCACAGTACTTCAAGTTTAAAGTTTCTTTTTCATTCTTATTTAGCTGCATCTCTTCCTCATCTTTTCCTTTTTGTTCTAGGCTTTTAGCCATTTTAGCCTAGGTTTCAATTTCTGTCTCTCACTGATAAGGGGGAAAGAATAGCATGGGCTGGTGACTCAGGGTGACCTCTCCCTGAGTCTCTGCCACAGGAGATTAGAACTCCCTTTCCCAGCTCTTTTTTATTTTCACTTGCAAAATCTTTTAAAATGGATTGTTTAGGGGGTGCTATAGCATAGTAGGGTAACTGGTTGACAAGAACTAGCTGAATATCTCAAAATAACCAAGAGAGAGGATTTCAAGTATTCCCAACATAAAGAAATGATGTGTCTAAAATGATATGCCAATTTTCTTGATCTGAACACATTCTATGCAAATACTGAAGTATCACACTGTACCCCATAAATAGAAATAGAAACAAAATTTTTTAGTGCTAAGGACTGAACCCAAGGCCTCAACTGATGCTAGGCAAGCACTCCACCACTGAGCAACATCCCCAGCCCTAATCATACCCCACAAATTTATACAATTCCTATGTATCAAGTAAATACTAGTAAATAAAATCTGCATATACACATTTAAAATAAATCAATTAAAAGCTCAGCGGTAGAGTACTTGTCTACTGTGCGTGAACTCCGGGGTTTCATTCCCAGCACCACAAAGAAAATAAAAAATAATGACATGTATCTCTAGGTAATTGAAATTCTCTTCTCTTTAGATGTTCAACTGACAAGCTTCTGGGGAGTCCAGAGTAGCTCACAGTGGCCTATCAGAGGGTTTCAATCAGTCTCAGAGGGACTGAAGTCAACACCAAGGAGACCAAGAGTGTCCTCAATTTTGCCTTTTGAATTATTTATTTGAGGGCTGGGGATTTAGCTCAGCTGCATAAGCGCCTGCCTTGCAAGCACGCAGTCCTGAGTTCGATCCCCGGTAGCGATAAAAAAAAAAATTCTTTATTTGGTAATAATCTAAAGCAAGAAATACTTAGCATGACAATAGGTAGCAGCACATAAAAGGGCCCAACCAGGAAATTTGTTACTACAAATGAGCTCAGACACATGTTCACATGTCTTAGGGGGACAGGGATAAAAATGCTCCTTTTTCTTTTTTTCCTCCTACTGAGTCACCAATAAGTCCACAAAGAATGGGATCTGCCATAACACAGAAAGTTGAGAAAAGAAAGCAATAATAGCAAGGAATATGGCAGAAAAGTGGCTACTGGTCCAGCAGCACAGACCACAAGTAGCAGCATGAAGGACTGTCAGGGAGGGCTGACCTCGACCGTTGGAAGAAAATGAATTACTGATCTGTCAAAGCACAATTCAAGCTCACACTCAACAATGCAAATGGCAGGGGCCAGGGATTTAGTTCAGCAGCATAAGGGCCTGTCTGGCAAGGATGCGGTCCTGAGTTCAATCCCCAGTACCGATTAAAAAAAAAAAATACACGGTTGCTCGCCTCATATTACTTAATGGTTTGAAAATAAGACATCAGACACAGAAAAACAGTAACTAGACTTTATCTTAACATTTGCTAAAATGTACCAATTACAGACTAGAATAGAATAGCATCAGCTTCATCAATTTTGGGCTCAAATTGTATATATTTAGGCTGAAAATATATTTATACCTGGGAATACCACTAAATTCAATATTGTCCCTCCTTAGGGCTAGGGATTTAGCTCAGCAGCATAAGCGCCTGCCTGGCAAGTGTGAGGTCCTGAGTTTGATCCCTGGTACCAAGAAAAATAAATAAATAAATAAATATTGCCCCTCCTAAAATCTTAAACAACTAAATACAAAACAAACAAACAAACAAAAAAACACCTAATAGGCATATGCCTTGCTTTTACCGTATCCTTCTGTAAAGTTTCCACAGTCATAGCTTCCATTTTACTAGAAATTCCACATCGGGCTTTAACACTCTAACATAAGAAATACTAAAATAGGGGCTGGGGATTTAGCTCAGCAGCATAAGCGCCTGCCTTGTAAGCAGGCAGTCGTGAGTTCGATCCCTGGTACCGATAAAAAGGAAAAAGACAAAAAAAAAGACACACACACACACACAAAAAAAGAAATACTAAAATAAATCAGGCCTAGTGGCACACTCCTGTAATACATCACTCAAGGAGACTGAGGCAGAAGATTCCTGGTTCAAGTTCAGACCAGGCAACATGATGACATAGCAAGACCTTGTCTCAAAACAAACCAAAAAAAAAAAACAAGGGCTGGAAAAATAGCTATGTGAGAAGATCCTGGATTCAATCCCCAGTACCAAAACACACGTACACACAACACCACCCACACACACACACACACACACACACACACAGAAATAATGAATATTACATAAGACTTTAATACACGCTGGCTTTGCAACATGGAAGTCATGGATCCTCAACTAAAATTGTTAAGGACTTCAAGGATTGAAACTCAGCTTAATTTTGTCTATTTTTAAATCTGAAAATAAAAGTACCTTATTATGGGTTCCTCAACCTTATATATGGTGATCCAATCCATCAAGGGCCAACATTACTGAAATTACTGATTGTATCCATCCAACACCAAGTAATTTTTTGGCTTTTACAAATATGGTTACATGTTGGCTCAATGCCTATTTATTTTTGTTATTTTTGTCTTTTGAGATAGGGTCTCACTTGTAGTTCAGGCTGGCCTTGAACTCATTATGTAGCCCAGACTGGTTTGACTCACAGTGACCCTTCTGCCTTAGCCTCTTGGGATTACAGGTGTACACAACCATGCCTGGAAGGGCCTATGTCAACAGCTACTCAGTTACAGTTTGCTTTTCCTCCTAAGAAATACAATACCTTTTCCAGCTACCCAACAGATCAGTCATTATACATATTTACAAGATCCTAATGATAGCCACTTTCTATAGGAACACAGATATGATATCACATTCATGCTTCTCAAGAAGATTCAGTTTACAACACTAATGAAGAACATCTAACTACAAATCATCTACTACTTTCAGGTTCTGGTAGCAATATAGTCCTCATTCACAAATTTTACACTCAAACTAAAGCCAACTGATCCTCCTGTTAACACCTTTGAAAATCAAAAATAAATAAATAAATAAATAAAAAGTTAGAAAAACTCGTAAGGCAGAAGCTCTGGGAATCCTTCTTAGTAGCTCTTCAAGTCTCTTAGCCATTCCTGTGCCCATTGGTTACACAGGCTTTCAAACACCCACAGCTGTGACCTCCCATACCCACTTCTGCTACCCTCTGAGTCATACACACTTTGCCTGCACACTAAGGACCATAGCACTAAGCCAAATAGGGATCCTTGGGTATATTCTACCTGCAGGAGACAATGGTTTCCCTGCCCTGAGTCTCTTACCAGATACCACAGTGACAGAGGAACATGTGCCTCCTCCTTGACTACCCGAGAAGGCCAGACACTAACTCACTGAATTCTTTTTTTTTTTTTTTTTTTTGTCTTTTTCGTTTTTATCGGTACCAGGGATCGAACTCACGACTGCCTGCTTGCAACGCAGGCGCTTATGCCGCTGAGCTAAATCCCCAGCTCCAACTCACTGAATTCTCAGACTATGTATGTGATGGAGCTTAGCGGAGAGTAGCTGCTTTCCAACCATGAGGATGTCCTTAGTAAAAGACAGGAGGATCCAAGAAACCATACACGTGGCCAAACACCAGGCAGGCATCTTAGATACTATAAGTCCTGGTCAACAAATGCCCTTGTCTCTAAATTTATTAAGTTACTGAATCATTACCTAAATCTATCTTATTCAAAATAAAAAAGAAATCCTCTGGGAATCTGTCACCTGACAAATACACAATACACTTAGGCCACAAAGCAAGGATTTGCCAGATCAAACCATAGTCCCTCCAGTCCACTAATAAAAGAACCTAAGCTTTTTCCCCCAAAATCAACATAACACCAGACAAAAAATTCAGGTACAGCCAAACATGATTCTATTAACTGTTGCTATTACTACTACTAATGGCTCAGGCGCTACACTGGGTTAGTTTACAATTCAGAAAGCCACTATAGTGGGTACCTATTTAAGAAGGATACCTCAATCTTACACACCAGGTGACTCCATCCTAGCTCAAAATACCACCGTCAAGGGTGTCGTCGCCTTAGATAAGAGCCTCAACTCAGAAACCTTCTGTTGGAGATTCTTGCATCACATTTAGATCTCCACACAGCAACATCTCTCTGACACAAAACAGACACAGAATTGTTCTGCTTTTTCCTCCTGAACTCATAGTCTGCTTAGGCCACATGTCTGGTATACTAACTAGTTTCTGTACAAATGCATACTTCCCCATAACCACACCTAAAGGAAAATCTGGCACAGGTCACTAAAATTAATGGAGATTACTGTTTTCCACAGGAAGCACGTCCCCCATATAAATGAACACCTTTGCATCCTCACAGGCGTACCATCTCCTCACGAAAAGCCTTCTACCTTCTTCCTCCCGCCTTTCCTACTAGCCCACCTCTGCTTCCCTTTGGTTATATGCAATACCCACAGTCTACATATGCTTTACTGAATTATCACTTTATACCCCCCAACATAAGATTTCAAGTTTGTTTTTATTTCTTGTTTGTTTCCTGTTTTGTTTGAGACAAGGTCTTGCTATGTATTCTAGTCCTTGAACTTACTTTGTATTCCAGGCTGGCCTTATATATACTATGTAGGCCAAGGTGGCACTGAATTCATGGTGATCCTCCTGCCTCTGCCTCCTTAGTGCTGAGATTACAGGCATAAACTACCATGCCACTTCTAAAACTGCAAATTTTGACACTGGTTCTGACACTTCTGAAGGGGCAATGTGGCAAGAACTACCTCCTGCAAACAGTGAGCAACAAAGTCTGTGACTGCAAGGAAATGACTTTTATCCATGAAATGAATGCATCTAGAAACAGATTTCTCCCTTTGTAAGCTTTCCCAGTTAAGCTACATGAGATTGAGACCCAATCAATGTGTCTTGATTGCAATTAAGTAAAATCCTGAGCAGATAACCTACTACCCAAACCATGTCTGGATTCCTAATTCAAAGAAACTGTGAGACAAATGTGTGCAATTTTAAACCATTAAATTTGTTGGGCATCAATAGAGAAAAACAATGTATTATCTGACCACTAAATCCCTGCCTTGGGGAGAGGCAGGCATTCTTTTGGGCCTAGCTTCTTTCACCCAGAATTACGCATATGAAGCTAATTTCCTGTTTGTGAAAATTAAAACACATTCATGCTTTATCCTATGTTATCTCTACTTACATCTTTGGAATAGGAAATCAGTTTTATTTCTTGGATTTGACCACAGATTCAGAGTCTCCCCATTTTAAGTCCCACCCCCATTCTGGTACTGGAGATTGAACCCAGGGAACTGACACTGGGCTGTATCCTTAGCTTTTTTTTTTTTTTTTTGTAGCAGGGATCACAACCTCGCACTTGCCAGGCAGGCACTTGTGTTGCTCCAACCCCCACTTTTTTGCACTCTAAACAAGGGGGGGGGGGGTTTGTACAATTTTTGTGCCTTTGTCTTTCTTAAATGGTAACACAGTAACATATGATAGCCTGACTGAATACAATCTATGTTACAGAGCCCTTCAAGAACTACACATGTGTATCTAGGAACTAACTGTGCCATGTTGCCTTTGTTTATTCAGAAAAGGTCCTCACTGGATTCCTTTGGGAAGAGCCTTGCCACAATATCACACCTTTCCTGTCCTATACTGAAGAATTCATTCTTCAGCTTTTCTCCCCAAATATAAAAAATGACTCTAGCATCAAACCGAGGAATAATCCCTAGCGCACTTCCCTTTGTCTCCTCCACAAATTTAATGTACCAGTCCACAGAAAGTGTTCACTATCTCCTATTCTCTTTTTCCCTTTCTTTTCAGCATAGCTGATGCCTATATTCACTTTTGTTTTTGTTTTTTGGTCTTGGGTTAATTATAATTCTTTTTTAGTTTCACATACTCCCCCAAAGATAAAAACAAACTAACACTGTCTTCTATCTTCCAGGCTTTATCAATTTATAATGACATATTTACTTCCTCCATTACATACTAGCTTTCTCTATAAGCTTTCTAAGAACAACATTAGCTGGAACTCAGGCACTCATCAATTTTCAGAAAATATAACAAATGGACAAAACATTTAAACATTCTGGAAGAATACAATCAGAACGTGTGAGTTTTCCAAAAGACAATATAACCGAAACAGGAGCCGCAGCTCTAGCGTCAGAGACTTCAAGACCTGTAACAATCTATCATACCATACATAAGCCTCAAATAGTATGAGAACCTTAAAAACTTCAAAACATGTTTCAACAACGTGGACAGTTTTACTTTCTTACACAGGCTTTATATTCAGAACATTACTTTTTATTTTAGCAGATGCGTTACCAAGCATGCTCAATAAGCATGTCAGTGATTTTCAAAACTAACATTCTTTCAATGGCTCAAAAAAGGAGGGGAGGGTTTCCTGAAGAGAAATGACAAATTAAAGTATTATAATGCAACAAAATCTCATCTTTTCTTCCCACAGATCCCTGTTTGGAAGCCCTGTGGGAAAGTATAGCCTAGGTACTTCAGATGAAGAGAACGGGAAAGTACAATACTGTTTTCCTCTAGTAAAATGACTTGCAGTCTACACGCATTTATACTTACAGACGAAAAGAGGCTCAACCTAGACACCTATGAAAAGTAACTTTCTGCCTGAATGCAATGTGTCTGACATAAACACACGGCGTGAAGAGACAAAGCCGGACCAGACACGCGTCGCCCTCGCAGTTCACTGGTCACTAGAAGCCCGCAGCGTGGCTCCGCGAAGGGACACTGGCAGCCTGAAATTCTTTGCCTTCTGGGGGGAAAAAAAATCCACAGAGACTGCTCTGGAGGCTTCTACAAAGGCAGTCGCCGGCTGCAAAACCCCGTGAAGCGCCCTCGTGACGAACCCCGAGACGGCTGGTGGGATCTCCACAGCCACAGGCCCAGCGGCCCGGCACCCGGCAGCGCAAAAGGATGCGAGGGGAGCCACCTGGCCTCCGCCGCGGGGTTGCGCGGCTGCTGCGGACACTCTCGGACGCTCACCGCCCGCCCCAGTCGCCGGCCGGACCCCTACCTGGCCTCACCAGGGCGGAGACCAGCGCAGCGACCACTGAGGAGGAAGGAATTTGACAAGCAGCCGCCAAACCGGAAGAGACGGCGCCGATGTGACGTCACTTCCGCTCGCTCTCTCCAGTTGAGGGTCTGGGCTCCGCAGCTTGGGTCTGAGACCCGTTGGCCTAGAGGGTGTGTGCTACTGCGCTGTGTCTTTGTCTCCCACCTTCCACCCCCTGCATTTTTTTCTTTTTCTTTTTGAGACAGGGTCCTTGCTAAGTTGCCTGTGGTTGGCTGGAACTGGAATTCTTGGCCCAGCCTCCCTATGAGCTGGGATTTCAAGCCTGCACCACCACCAGTCTGACTCCATTCTCCATTCTTAAATAACATGACGCTAGACATTGTGCACTTATGCTGGAATGATTTTGACATTTCTCTGGTAAGCCCTTTCGCTGTAGTTTTTAGTGGCTGATCGTCATGCACTTATTAAAGTTATTTTAAACATTGATTTATGAATTTTTATCAAGAATTATGTGCATTATCAAATGTATGATATGTATCCTTATTTTTGTTCATTTTTCATTGTTAGCTATACAGAATGCTTAAATTGTTGTCCAAAGGAGTTTGTATTTTTCAATAATTTCTGGATTTCCTGCCTCACATTAAAAAGTCTCTATCCCTGTAGCTGGGCCTACAGGCCAAATATAAACATTTATATTGTCCAGCATCACAGAATGTTTTGCCAAATGATTTGTGATAGTGAGTCTTAATTTTTCTCTTTAGAAAGATGGACACTTACTGTAATACCACTTGGTATTGAAAAAAAACTGTCAACTGTGGGAGATCACCAAGCCACATTTCCCTGAGAAATAAGGCCCCTTGCCTCCATCTTTTCCTGACCTTTACTTCAACCCTATTCAGTGACATATGCAGAGCTGGCTATACTGAACCAGATGTTCCCTTAATTGGCTAAAAGAATGCAATTGAATATAGGTGAAAATTGCCATGCCACCCCACCCCTACCCCCCATTTCTGGAATAGAGGGTCAAGAAAGAGCCTGTGAGATTCCAGGCTAATATCTCCTATTGGGTCCTGTTTTAACAATGAAGGACCCAATAGGAGATATTCAGCCTTAATATGTCAAAGGCAAAGTCTCAGAATGCACATTTTAAAAAATTTAATAGCCATTTACTTTTGGGGTTTTTGTTTTTGTTTTTTGGATTTTTTGGTACCAAGGATCAAACTCATGACCTCGTCTTACGAGGTAAGAGCTTGAGCTGCTGAGCTAAATCCCCAGGTGTTAGGCATCTGCTTCTGGGATTATGTGTATTTTTGTGTGTTGCTGGCTCAACCGCAAGGTCTCATGGATGCTTAGCAAGCATATACCACTGAGCTACATCCCCAGCCCTGAATGTGCATTTCTAATAGAGGGCTAGTGATAACTATTGACTCTAGAACATTCTGGAAACTACTAGATTAAAATGACTTTGGGGCTATTGGCAAGGGAATGAAAACATTTTGCAGTGTGAGATGTGCATGTACCTTGGGTTCCAATGCTATGGTCTGCATGTTTTGTCCCTGAAAGGTTCATGTGCTGGAGGCTTAGTCCTACTTTAAGCAATGGAACTGGGGCTTAGTTCAAAGTAATTAGATCATTGTGGTGCAGCCCTCAGAAGAGACAAGGGACTAATGATTGGCTCTTAGAGTTAGTTTCATCCACCAGTCATGGTGGCACACACCTACAATCTCAACATGTGGGAGGCTCAGGCAGAGGGATCACCACAAATTGAAGGCCAACTTGAGCTGCATATTGAGTTCAAAACTAGTCTGAATTGCATGGAGAGACCCTGTCTCAATTTAAAAAATGTTTCATGTGAGCAAAGGCACTTCACGAGTTTTATCCCTTCTGCATAGAGCTATGTCCCTCTTTCTCTGTCACATCAAGACCCAGTCAAGGGGATTTAAGAGGCCAGACAGGGCCATATGATCTTGGATTTTTACCTTCTAAAACTTAGGCTAAATAAACCTCTTTATAGGAATGGTGAATGGTGGTTTATGTCTATAATCCCAGCACTAGGAGAGGTTGAGCAGGGTAAGTTACAAGCATAAACCCAGCCTGCACAATTTAAAAAGACCTTGATTCAAAGTAAAAAATGTAAAATGCACTGGGAATGTAGCTCACTTTGAAGGCCTGGGGTTTAAACAACCAGTATCACCAAAACAAACAAACCAAAAAAACTTTCAGTTATTTGTAAGATATCAAGATGTCCAACCTCAGGCACTTTATGTGGCTGTAAAAAATGGACAAGGATACTGTTCCATTTTAGATCTGAAATGTCTCCTAAAAGTGTCCTCTGTTTAGAGGTAGGGCTTCTGGGAGGTGATTAGATCACATTTATACTCAACAATGAATAAATCCATTTGCATTTATTGCGGAATATGCCGTTAGGAGGTAAGGCCTGGTTGGAGCTGGATCACTGGGACATGACCTGGGTGTGTACTTATCCCCATCCTCTTCCTCTCTTGCTCTTTTCTTATTTGCTTATGGCTACTATAAAGTAATGAAGTGGACAGATTTCCTCCATCACACCCTTCCACCTAAATATTTTTTCAACTTGGAGTTAGATGACCAGGGACTAAAACCTCTGAAACCATGAGCCTAAGTAACCCGGTTCTTCTCCCTTAAGTAATGGGTGTCAGGTATTTTGTTCCATTGGTGGGAAAACTGACCAATGTAGACACTTTGTCAAAACAGATGAGAAAACAACTCAACCAATGTCTTGATTGCAGCTGCACAGAATCGCAAACAAAGAACATTCTTGAGCCATGACTGGACTGTTTACCCAAAGAAAGTGGAGGATACATGTGTGTGGCTTTAACCCACCAACCTTGTCATAAGTTATGAGGCAGCAATAGATAATAAGCAAATATGTATTATCTGCTGAGGTCTGAGTGCCCCAGTCTGAGTGGGGCAGGCTTTCTTTTTTGTCTGGCTTTGTCACTCAAAATTATATTTGTAAAGTTCAACCACATTGTTGCACATATTTTTTTTTTGTCTTTTTGTTTTCTTTTGTGGTACTAGTAATTGAACCTTCAACCTCATACATGCTAGGCAAGCAATCTACCACTGAGCTATACATTCCCAGACCTTTTAAACTTTGTTTTAAGACAGGTCATACTACGGAGTCTAGAAATCAAAATCCTCCTGCCTTATCCTCCTCCCAAGCAGCTGTAATTATAGGCACGGACCACGATACCTGACTACAAGGAGTATCACTCACATCCTTTCACTTTCAGCTGCACCCTTAAAGATGAAGCAAGTATCCTGTATGCCACATATATGTAGATATTCTTGTTTCTTATGCAATCTGTTGCTCTCTTTTGATAGATAACTTTAGTGTATTCCAAGTAAAAGTAATTAAAACCTTGATCATGTGGAATTAATCCATGGGATGTAAGGATGTTTCAACACATGTATCAATGAATGTGATGCAACATATTTACAAAATGGAGGGAAATCATATGGCAAAAACTGCAAACATTCAGCAATATTCAGCAGTCTGATGTTATTCTAATAATGACTTCCAATAAATAAATGATATAAAAGGTACCTCAACATAATAAAGACCTTACATGACAAGTCCACACTTTCATCCCAAATACAAAGAAGCTCAAAAGATTTCATGTGAGAGCAAGAACAAGTAAAAAATTCCACACTTCCCATTTCTATTCAACATACTTACACAAGTCCTACCCAGAGCAATTATACAGGAAAAAGAGACAAAAACTTCCAGATCAGAAAAGAAGTTACAGTGATAGTTTGTAGATGGACTGATCTTTAATACAAAACACCAGACTACAAAAAAAGTCTCACTAGAACAAAAACAAAGTCATACATCTTGTAGTGCTTGTCAACACACAAAAATTAGTAGTTCTATACACTATGAATAAACATCTAAAAATTTAAGAAAATAATTATATTTTCAATAAATACCATCAAAATAATAAAATACATAGGAGCAAATTTAATTAGCAGGTTGAAAGGCCCATATGCTGGAAACCATAAAACACTGGTGTATGAAAAAAGACATGTGAAGAGACAGCCCATGTTTGTGGACTAAAAGAACTCTGCTACAATGTGCACAGTACCCAGAGGAATCTGTAATATTTTTTTTGTGTTTTTCATTTTTATCTGTACCAGGGATCGAACTCACGACCGCACACTTGCAAGGAAGGTGCTTATGCCGCTGAGCTAAATCCCCAGCCCCGGAATCTGTAATATTTAATGTCAGTGCTTTCAAGATTCCAGTGGCAGGTAGCATACATGTAATCCCAATAATCTGGGAAGCTGAGGAGGGAGGATTGTATGAGTCCACCCCTAGCAACCTCCTGAGACTCTGTCTCAAAATTTTAAAATAAATAATTTAAAAAGGCTGGGATAATAAATTAGAAAAAAATAAAAAGGTTGGGACGTAGCTTAGTGTAAAGGTCCTGGGTTCAAATCCCAGTATAAAGAAAAAAACAGATTCCAGTAGATTTTTTCCCCTCAGGATGGTGGAGGTCACGGAGAGAACCCTAAAATTTATATTGCATCCTCAAAAACTCTGAAAAGTCAAAGGAATCTTAAGAACAAAACTGGAGACAGAACATTTCCATATTTCAAATTATATTACATGGTTACAATAACTGAAAGAGTATTATATAGGCATCAAAACGGAATAGCTAGAGATTTAGTTCAGTGGTACAGACCTGGCTGGCAAGCATGAGAACCTCAGTTTGATTCCAAGGACAAAAAAAAAAAACCCACCAGAGAACAATGAGAAGAATGGCTCATAACTGATGAATGTAGTCATATAATTCTCAACAAAAGCAACAATAATACACAATAGGGAAAATCATACAAATGATAGTGCAAAATCTGGTAGACACATTCAAGAGAATTCAACTGGACCACTGCACACACAAAGATGCACAGTAAATAATTAAAGATTTAAACCTCAGGCTGTGAAACCAAGAAACTCCTAAGCGAAAAAAGAATAAAAACTACCTGACACTTATCTTGGCAATGATTTCTGGGAGTTCACATCCAAACTATATCCAACGAAAGCAAAAATAAGTGACATATAAGTACCCTTATTTGAAGCAACGCACATAACAATAGCTAAGTGTCTTGGAAATGGCCTATATACCATCAACAGATGATTGGATAAAGAAAATGTGGTATTCATACACCATGGAGTACTATTCTGCCATAAACAAGGATAAATGTGAATCATTCATAGGTAAATGGATGTGTCTTGAGCTAAATCAATTTAAATCAGAAATATAAGCTTAAATATTCTATAGTTTCTCTGAGAAACCCAAATTATAAATTAACAGCAAAATAAAGGGTAAGAAAAAGTAGGGGGATCTTCAGATGTGAAGGGCAACAAAAGATGGAGGGGATGGAAAAGAGATGGAAAAAAAGAAAATGGAAATAGAGCTTTTGAAAATGGAAATGGGGCCAAGACTTGGAAGGAGCACTGAGAGATGGGAGGAGTTGAGGATAAAAAAAGAATCAAGGTGTGTTATGTACCTGTACCAACTCCTCACAATAAATTTAAAATGTTTTAGCAAAGCAAACAAATGAAAAGATAAAGAATGGAATTGGTGAAATGTGTACCATATAAATGATAATGGGTTAATATCCATGGGCTAACTTTTTGCTAGCTGTGTCACTGAATAGCAAAAGAATTCTTTTTAAATCTAAAAACAGACAAAAGATCAGAACAGGTATTTCTCCAAAAGACAGGCTAATGGCTAAAAGGTGTTGTACTCTAAGAAAATAGCTTCGTTATATGTGTATTATAGCAAACCTGCAATGTGGTTTACTAAATGTGTTTTTTATCCTTTTTCCCTGATATGTTGTGACCTAATTGATATGTTGAGCAATACTCTCCTCTGTAAAGAATTGCAAGAATCTCACCTAATTGATATGTTAACCAGAGCGGCCCTCTACAAACAAGAAGAGTGGTGCTAAAACAAGCTAACAAGGATTGTTAATCACGGTTAGGCGCCTCTATTCTCCGCTAAAGAGCTAAAGAAAACTAGGATGGCCCACTAATTTACACTTGTTTGAAGTAAGTTGCTTGTGTGCAGGGAGATTTGCGTATGAGTTTAACCCTTTACCTGACCTTGATTCCCTTCCCAGCAAGACAGATAGACATACCCGCTGTTTTCCTGTTCTGTATTGGGTCTTATTGCCTCCCCCCACCCACCTATCTGGGCCATAAAGAATTTGGGTTTCTGGTGACCTCTTCCCGACCCAGTGATGATCTGTCATAAAATGAGTCTGCCCCAATTTTAAGAACTGTTTAGCTTCAAAGAAATTACCGGGAAATACTATGGCTCAAACCCCAATCGGTGCTTTCCTTTTGTTCTGTATGCATCAAATGAGTTAGATATCAGATCTTTGTAAAACTTAAGTTTCAGCTTCTTGTAAATCTTGACCCCTTTGCACCCACTAGCGAAAATGAGTTGTCCTGGAATAATTAACTCTCCACTTTCTTCTCCAAATATTGCTGTAGATGTGCCACTCCGAGATAATGTCAGTCTGCAGGATGGGAGTAATTTGAGAAACACCAGGAACTCCTGAGATTGTCAGAGCTAAGTGGACAGCAATACAGTTTCCAGATGCAGGTCAACAGGTTTAATGGCCTTGCAGGTTTACCCCCACTTTCCCTTACTTTTAAAAACCCCTTTCCCCAGTCTTGGGCGTGCAGTCTTTGGGTCGATCCAGGAGAGACTGTGCTGCCAGGACTGGCTTAATAAAGCCTTTGCTACTTAAACTTTTGGACTCTTGTTTCCTTGGATTTTATACCGGGGCCCGAGTTATAACAATTAGGTGTTCTTCTTGTTCTATATCTTACCCTCCCCTTAAAATTCTCTGTAAACAGCTTCTTATACAGACTGTTTAAGTAAGCACACTGCAGTTGTTGGGCAGTCTTTTCTCCAATCAGGAGAGCGGCTCCAACCACCCTCTGCCTTCTCACTCATCTTCATACTCCACCGTCCTCCCTCCAGAATTTGAAGAGCTGCACTGGATGCAGCAAATGTCTAAATTACAACTGAAAGTGGCAGGGCATGATGGCATGAATGCCCTGTGACCGTTTGGGAATGAAGGTCTGGGACACGCCATCAGGTAAACAACTGCAGTTGCTTATGTTTTTATATTAACTAATTATACACTTCTTCCCATATTTATTCTGTATACAAGTTAATGGCAGTTAGACTCACAATTTAACTTAGTAATACTGTAGACAATATCATGACATTTGAAAAGAAATGAATATAGTCTGTGGAAGGAAACTGCACTAGCTTACTTAGGACAGGAACCTCTTGAACCATGTTGAGTAGAAATAGTTAATGAAAGGGAATTGAAATCCTCTTGCAATGGGTACATATGGATCATGGGTAGCCAAAATGTGCACTGTTGGTTATCAGTTCATTAACCTTGACTCGCTAATTTACCTTCAATCCCTGTTCTTGAATACAAGGTCTGGATTTCCTAAGGACTTTAGATAGATTCATTTATGATCATTGACAGATGAAGAAACAGACAGTTTTTGTTTCTCTGAATGCTGCTGGGGGTTTTCATTTGTTTTTGTTTTGCTTTGAGTCTTGTGGAGACACAATTTGAACACAGCTTGAGAGTTAGTTTGCTTGGGGAGTTGTTTTGTTTTTTGCTTTTTGTGACAGGGTTCACTGTGTAGTCCGGGTGGTGTATTATAGGCTGGTTGTGAACTCCCAGAGATCCATCTGCCTCAGCCCTGCAAGTGCTGGGATTGCAGATGTGCAATACTGAGCTTAGCTCCAGAATTTATTGTACACAATTATATTGCACCACTTGGGAGCATAGGGACATCTTGGGCCCACCTTGTCCCTTAAGTGGTTTTTTTTTTTTTTTTTTTGGTTTTGTTTTGTCTTTTTCATTTTTGTCGGTACCAAGGATCAAACTCACAACTGCCTGCTTGCAAGGCAGGCACTTATGCCGCTGAGCTATAAATCTCCAGCCCCATTAAGTGTTATTTTTATTAGTGCATATGGATTATACAGAATAGTACTGTTGGGCTGGGGATTTAGCTCAGCAGCATAAGAACCTGCCTGGCAAGCAGGAGGTTGTGTTTGATCCATGGTACCAAAAAAAAAAAAAAGAAAAAATAAAAATCCAGGATAGTCTGGAAGTCTAGTAACATCTTTGAAATGCTGCATCTTCAAAGGTGAACATCTTAAGGTTTGACATAAAAACCCTACAGAATAGTTTTGTCATACTCATGACAAAACTTATTTTCATCATTTCCGCCCTTCCTGTTATAATCACTTGCCTTCTTCCCATCTTTCCTCTCAAGTCTCCGTATTTTCAATTGAGCATATAACCGTGCCTATTTTAAACTGCTGGGTATAGGGGAGTAAAAAGGGGTGCAATGCAAAGAAAGACCTGTTTCTGCTGCACCCAGTTCTGCAGGGTAGACTGCAGAGGCATCTGTGGTGCCCAGCCGTACCATGCCTCAGGACATGGGGCCCAATAGGAGATCCAGAAGCCTGGGTGGCCTCCTAACACGCATAGTGAAGCTCAAAAGCTTGCCATGGGAGCACTGTCAGCAAATGACAAAGCTCCTCAGCTTCTTTCCCATGTCCGTCTCAGACACTTTCTAGGATGTCTGGTCAATGTTGATCCACTCCCTCTACACCTGCCCACATTAAACCCTAGCTCAAATTTGTCATTACTCCCCGAGACGCTGCCATTGAAGCCTTTATTTTTGGCTTGAGACAGGGACAATGTAATACAAGTTGGCCTCAAATATGCATCAGTCCTTTTACCTCAGCCTCCTGGGTGCTGGGATCATAGGCCTGCGCCAACATGCCTAGCTAAGGCTTTACAATGGCAGTGGTGGCAAAATTCCCTCTGCTCACTGGCACATCAGATGTAGCTTCTCTATACCTCAGAGCTTTGCTTCATGTTTCTCTAGTTAACTCAGGCCATCAATGAAAGAAGACCTCAACTTCACCCAGCGGGGTTAAACTGGTGTTCCGCAGACTCTAAGGACCCCAAGATTTCTACCTCCTGAGATACACCCTTGAGTATGTGTATCTGTTAGCTTACTTCTAGACTATGAGGAACATGAAGAGATTTTAATTGTAATTACAGTTCCAAGTTTGGAGTCCTACAGGACAAGCATACTGTTGGTCTGACTTCCAACAGGTGCATGTCGTTTTGTTGTTTCGTGAGACAAGGTCTTTCTGTGTAACTCAAGGTGGCCTTGAACTCACGCCTATCTTGCTTCAACCTCTGCAGTGCTGGGAGTAGAGGTATGCAGCCACAACCCGAGTAACAGGTGCATGAATTTTAAAGAGGTGGTAGGGTTCCTGACACCATTCCAACCAGCATCATGAAGGGGCCATGGAGTAGAATACAGGCATTTTCTCTCCAACCCAGTGAGTATGCATATCCAGTGAGTATGCAAACCTGTTCTTCTCTAGGTAAGCCACAAGACTGGAAACCCAGCCAATGCTCTGACTACAAGCATATTAAGTCAAACACAGAAAAAGAAAATAAATGTAATCAGTTTTGGGGAAAAAAATGGGAAAATGCAATCATTACTTCCTTACTTGAAAATGAGTCCAATATATCTGAGTGATTCAAATAGGAGAAATATATTTCATTTGAGTGCTGGGTCCTAAGACCTTACACAGGCAAAGCCGGGGCCTCTGTGTCAGATTAATATGTTTTTACCAAAGGTAAAAAGGTACTGCTCCTATCTGTGCAATGTGATAAAAATTACAGTGAATACTTAAGTTAAAAATTATAGTAAAAAGCTTCAGGCTGCTAGGGAGAGGGCAGAGTAGGTGTCAGGAGTTGTAGAGCTATGACAATGGCGACCCAGTGGTCTGGGCTGAACACTAACTAGCAGCACTTAGGCAACCACACAGTGGGAAGCGGAGAATGGGTATTACAGAAACTCAAGAGCACTGTAAGAGCAGATGGAGATCTATTAGGATTATCTTCCTGTTTCTCAGCAGTGTAGGGTTTTCTATTGCGACAGTCAATATGGCCTTATTGCCAAAAGACTAATCAGACAAACATGTTTTTTTTTGGCTGGGTTATTGCTTCACTTAGTCTTAGCCAGATGGCAGCTTCACCTATTTATGGCCTAATTATAGGCCAAGAAGAGAACCTCTTGTCAAAAATTATAGTGAAAGACATACCCTTGTTTCATACACCTTGTTTCAAACACACTGACCCCATCGTCCAGGCCACTTTCTGGAGCAGTTCTAGAATCTTCTTTTGTATCTTCAGTTGCACTGTCATGGCTGCCCCCGTCCTGAAGTAACTTAAAACAGTAACCTTTCAAGACCATTTTGACTTTCGAAAGCCAGAAGTCACCTGGGGCCAGGTCTGGTAAATAAAGCAGAGATTTTACAACAATGCCTTTCCACTGAGTGGCACTCAGCAGTACATCTTCCGTATTTTTGATCATACTTCATAAGGACCTAAAACAGGACTTCAGAACTGCCCCAGAAAGTGCCAAGTGTGTTTGAAGTAAGGGAAAGACTGAAGGGGTTAATGGGAGTCAATGTGTTGTTTTTTTAAAATCACAATACAGGCTTTAACGTTCACTTTTTTTTTTATCTCACCTAAGCTTCCTGACATTTATCTTAGAAATATTTTGGACTGGGCACCAAAAGTAACGATAAACAGTCATCAAACTCAAAATTTTACAGGGAAATGTAAAGGGAAAAACCCAGAAAGTTGAATGGCAATGTAAACAATGAGCGAACAATTTAGATCATAGATGCAATGTGTTGATATCTAAAATATATGACTCCACAGCAAAAAATCAAATGCCCAAATTTTAAAATGACAAAGAACAGGTATTTTTCTTTTTTGTTTTTTGGTTCCAGAGATTGAACTCATGACCTTGAGTTTGCCAAACAGGCACTTACGTCGCTGAGCTAAACCCCCAGCCAGTACAGGTGTTTTTCCTAAGACATATAAATGGCTTATGTGTATGAAAAAAATATTCAAAGGAGCTTCTCAGAGAAATCTAAACCAAACCTCACATACCAGGATAGATAGAAAATCGTAAGATATTAAGTGACTGAAAAATGGTAGAGAAAATGGAACCCTTGAACACTGCTGGTAGGAAAATAAACCAAGTCATTACACAAAACTATGCTTATTTTTCATAAAATTAAACAGACTGACCATACAATACATCGAACCAACCTCTGGGCTTATAACCCCCAAAACGAAGTCACTAACTCAGAAACAGCCAGGTATAGCAGCACACATCTGTAAGCCAGCACTTGAGAGGCTGATGATGCAGGAGGATTACCACAAATTCAAGGCCAGTCTGCAGTACACAGTGAGAAGTTCTCTCAAAAAGAAGAAAAAAGACAGAGAAAACTCAAAACCAAACAAAAAAAGCCCCACTAATTGAGACAAATAAACTTATGTTCATTATAACACTATTCCTAAGAACCCTCAAGAGACAAATGGGTAACACTAGGGCATGGGGGCACACACTTATGATCCTAGGATGTGAAAGGCTGAGGTGGAGAGATTGCTGAGGTGGAAAGATTGCTGAGAGATCAAGGTGAGCCTGGCCTATATAATGAGACCCTATCTCAAAACAACAACAAAAAAGGACAAATGGGTAAAATGCAGTTCTAGGGGCTGGGGATTTAGTTCAGCAGCATAAGCGCCTGCCTTGCAAGTGTGTGGTCATGAGTTTGATTCCCAGTACCAATAAAAAAAAATAAAAATAAAAAAAATAAGACAAAAATGCAGTTCTAAAATAACTAGCCACTGAAATGGGAGGAAATTCTGTTATTTGTCATACTACAATTCAACCCTGGAATACTATGCTGAGTGAAATAAACCAGATACATTAAGACAAACAATGCACATTCTCACAAGCAGAATCCAAAGACAAGGCAAATCAGACAGTGGATAGTAGTTACAAAGAATGGGGATTGGGCAGAAAGAAGAAAGACTAACCAGAGGTACTAACTTTCATTTATACAATGACTAAGTATGTGAGAATTTATGCGTAATCTCGGGATTTTAGTTCATGCTGATGTAGCTAAATCTTGAAGACAGTAGTTAAGTGTATCCATGACACAAACAAATAAAAGCTTAACTGTGATAACGGATATAATGGGTTTCTCAATGTTTAATAATGCAGGTATCAGATCTGAAATATAAAAGATAGTTTTCAATCACATTAAATATACTTTAAAGAAACACTATGATGGATATTAGTAACTTATAACTGAAGTCATAAAAGTACACAAATACTTGAAATATTCAAAATTTATCTAAAGAACCATCCAGAAAGCCATGACTATATATAAGACTTTAGGACAATAAAGCAGATCCCGTATCATATTCATGTAGTTTCTGTTCACTTGAGAATACCATTTAATCAAAGTTAAACATAAAAAGTGATTTTCCAACATTTCTACCTTTCATCTAGTTTTTCTCCACTGTAAAATCAAGCTACTTACCAGACTACAACTCTTCCACAAATCTTAAACCAACCCATTTGCTCTACTGGAACTCATGTTTTTATCAATACATGAGGAAGTACAAAAGGGTATATGTTTCCTATTCTACATAGTTTTAAAGCCAGTTCTATGACGCTTCCATGCTCCTTAAATTCATGGAGCAGTCTCAGAGTTCAAGTTACATATGAATGTTTACATTGCATATATTTGTAAGACTTCTCAGGACTTAATTATAATTGCTCAGTATCAAGGACTTCCCAAAACATTTTCCGAATTCCTGATATTCAAAGTATTTCTCTCTGGAGAGTTTTCATGTTTATTAATGTCAGGACTCATGTTAGCATCAGGACTAGTTAAGGAATCCCCACATTCCTTATATTCGTATGGTGTTGCTCCAAACGGTGCCGGTGTCTCTCCAAAAGGTGCGGGTGTCTCTCCGAATGGTGCAGGTGTCTCTCTGAATGGTGTGGGTGTCTCTCCATATGGCGTCTCCCCGGTGTGTTTCCGTAAATGTTTATTAAGGCCCGAGTGCTCAGTAAAGGCTTTCCCACAGTACTTACAAACATAGGGTTTCTCTCCAGTGTGAATTCTCATGTGAACACGAAGGTAAGATGACCACAAAAATGATTTCCCACATATCATACACTGAAAGGGCTTCTCCCCAGTATGCGTTCGCATGTGAACGGGAAGGTAAGAAGAACAGGTAAATGTCTTTCCACACACTGTACACTGAAAAGGCTTCTCTCCAGTGTGAATCTTCAGATGTACATTAAGATAAGAGGAAGATGCAAAAGCTTTCCCACAGTGGTCACATTCAAAGGGTTTCTCACCCTTGTGACTTCGTACATGTGCAATAAGGCCTGAGGAAGTAGTGAAGGCTTTCCCACACTCCTGGCATGCATAGGACTTCTCACCAGTGTGATTTCGTAAATGTATAGTAAGGCCTGAGCGTGCAGTGAAGTCTTTCCCACAGTAAGTACATTTATATGGTTTTACTCCAGTGTGAATTCGAAAGTGTGTCTCAAGTGATGAGGAATTTCTGAAAGATTTTGTGCATAGCTTACATTTAAAGGGCCTCTCACTACTGTGAGTTTTTATGTGTACTGTAAGTTGAGCAAAGCTAGTGAAGCCTTTCCCACACTCCTTACATTCATATGGCCTCTCCCCAGTATGTGTCCTAACATGCTTAGTAAGACATGAGCGCTCTGGGAAGGTTTTCCCACATTCTGTACATTCATAGGGTTTCTCACCAGTGTGAGTTCGCATGTGAATGCGAAGGTAGGAGGATCGGGAGAATGCTTTCTCACACAGGTTACACTGAAAGGGCTTCTCTCCAGTGTGAGATCTCAAATGTGCGACAAGAGATGAGGAATAAGCCAAGGCTTTGCCACATTTGTAACATTCAAAGGGCTTCTCCCCTGTATGAATTCTTATGTGTTCAACAAGTGCTGAGGATGTACTGAATGCTTTCCCACACTCCTTACAGTCATAGGGTTTCTCACCATTGTGAATGAGGACATGCTTAGTAAGGCCTGACCGGGCAGTAAAGTCCTTCCCACAGAAATTACATTTATAAGGTTTTATTCCAGTGTGAATTCGAAAGTGAGTCTTAAGGCATGAGGAATTTCTAAAGGTTCTTGCACATACCTTACACTGAAAGGGCTTCTCACCGGTGTGAGTTTTTGTGTGCTCAGTAAGTTGAGCAAAGCTGGTGAAGGCTTTTTCACATAATGTACATGCATAAGGCTTCTCCCCAGTATGCTTTCTTAAGTGAATAGTGAGCCATGAGCGCCCACTGAAGGCTTTCCCACATACTTTACATTCATAGGGTTTCTCCCCAGTGTGAGTTCGTATGTGACCGAGAAGGTAAGAGGAACGTGTAAATGCCTTCCCACATACATTACACTCGAAGGGCTTCTCTCCGGTGTGGGTTCTCAAATGCGTGGTAAGATAAGAGGAAGAAGCAAAGGCATTCCCACAATGGTCACACTGAAAAGGTTTCTCTCCTGTGTGACATCTCATATGTTCAGTAAGGCGTGAGGGTTGAATGAAGGCTTTCCCACATTCCTTGCACTCATAGGACTTCTCCCGGGTGTGCTGTCGTAGATGTACAATCAAGCTGGAACGCTGCGTGAAGGCTTTCCCACATTCCTGACATTTATATGGTTTCTCAACAGGGTGGTTCTGCATATGAATATTAAGGTAAGCTGGGTGTGTAAAGAATTTCCCACATTTCTTACATTCATAGAAATTTTTCTCAGTGGGCATTTGAGCATACCCATCACCATTTGTAGACACTGTAAAAGCTTTCCCACATTGCTCTAATTCAGAGAGGTTCTCGCCACTGTGAGTTTTCATATGGTCCTGAAGCTGTGACTGACTAACAAAAGCTTTCCCAGAGTCACTGCCCTCAAAGGATTTGTCTTCAGTAGAAGTTCTCTGGAAAGTATCTACAGCCAGAGTAGAAGGTTCTATACCCTGGTTCAACAGAGAAAGTTTCTCTTCAGGAGTTTTCTCTACCAGTGGAAGGAAGTCTTTTTCACACTGATTATATTCTGAAGTATCCTCTGTATTCTCAATGCGTGCAGGAAGGCCCGTGTGTTCACTGTAGATTTTTCCAGAGTGCTGAAAGTCACAGATCTCTTCTCCATTGTGGTTTCCTGCCTGCTGATAAGGGGATGAAGGAGAATTAAAGATTTTTTGAGTTTACATGGGAATGCATACTTGTGGGTACTCAGTACCAAGTTTCACCAGGTGTGGGACATCCATAAGGACAACAACCTCTCTTATTTTGTGTTGATGGAATTCCTAATGTTCCCTGATTCTTTTTTGAGATATGATCTCACTGTGTAGTTCAGGCTGCCCTTGAACTCACTATGTAGCTCAAGCTGTCCTTGAACTCACAGAAATCCTTCTGCTCAGCCTCCCAAGCCCTAGGATTACAGATGTGCACCACCAAGCCCAGTTGCATTCCCTGCATCTAGAGACTGAGAAATATCAGATTGACTTTTACCTGTTGTATCCCATTTGACGTATCTGACCAGAAAATATCCTTCTCAAGTGCTGGACCTCTGGTTTTAAGGTGCATTCCCCATTCTGAAGTGAAAAAGGAAAATATTAAGGGTTTCCACAACAACATGGGAGGTTAAATTAAATCTGTTAAGTTTATTTACAATTTTTTCTATGAAATTTGAAATTCGATGATGAATAGAAACAATATAATCAGGGAAGAAAGACATAGCCACACAAATATAGAAACCACAAACTCAAAGAGGAATGCAGTCAAGTCATTAGCGTGATCATAAGAAAGACTTAGATAAAATAAAGGCATATGGAAGCTGAAAATATCCAAAAACATCCAGTCCAAATACTTCAATCTTCATATCAAAGTAGTCTTTTAAATTTCCCCATTATATTTCCAACTATATTGAATTAATGAATAACAGATACTTGCTATAAACACTTACCTTGGAGAAAGCCTCTCTCCACTATGGTCAACTCCACTTCTTCCTCCAACCAGGATATCAGGCTGGGTTTCAACAGCTGATGTCCTACACACAGGAAAATATAAATTCATGTTAAGAGACTCAGGTAAGAAATGATAAACCTTCCTGTGATAGAAAATTTTGTGGGTTTTTTTTGGAGACAGGGTCTTGCCATTTTAGCTGGTTTTGAACTCACTGTGTAGCTTAGGCTGGCCTCAAACTCACAGCAATTCTCCTCTTACTCCTTAGTTGGGGGAAATAGGTGCATGCCACATGCCCAGCTGAAAACTATGTTTTTAATGAAAGGATTAAAATTACCTCTACAAATATTTCAAAACACAAATATTCATGTTTTGGTTGTTCAGAGATTTGTTTTTTCTAACATCTGAAATCCTCAGGCTTAAGTACACATTAAAAAGACCCCTAAAAGAGTTCAATATTCCCATCCTTTAAACATTTAATAAATGTTCTGTGTCCTTTGAAAAAAGAAAAAGCTCCATTAAAATATTTTTCAAGACATGTGAAGCATAGAAAATTTTTATAGCAAAACATCATCACAATGGTTCTCATCTTTACAGTGAAACAGATTCATATGAAAACATTGTTAAAAGATGGATAAATAGCTGGGTGTAGTGGCGCATGCCTGTAATCCCAGCACTCAGGAGGCTGAGGAAGGAAAATTGTTGTAAGATCCAGACCAGCCTGGGCTACAAAGTGAGCTCAAGGCCAGTCTAAACAGCAGATAGAGACCCTGTCTCAAAAAGACCTTTAAAAAAAAAAAAAAAAAGACATGAATAAAGAAGACAGAATCTCAGAATGTATATGTTCACTAGATGGTGATGCTACTGATCCCAGAATCTCATTTAGTTGGGAACCACGATGGTAGAGTAAATCATGTTGAAAGAGACCATGTTCCTTATTTCCCACTGTATCTGAGGGGACATTATTAATCCTGGAACAATGAAGTATGTAATACACATCTGTTCTCTAAGAAGCTACAAGGAATGGTGGCAGTCTTACCTACTGTGGACAAGTTCTGGTAGTTCTCCAGCATCACATCTTTGTAAAGGTTTCTCTGAGTTGGGTCCAGTGAAGTCCACTCCTCCTTGGTGAAGTCCACAGCGACATCCTCAAAGGTCACTAAGTCCTACACCATCACAGAAATACTAGGTTGGGCCAAGCAATATCTCTCTCTACCGATGTATACCGGTGAGTAAGGAAATGACATCAATGCCTATGAGGATTCTGAGGGGGTCCCATATTCTGTCCCAGGGTTCACAGGTCTTAGAACATCTCCATCCATACTCCCTCATGGTGCTCTCCTCCCAACTGTATGGCTTTTGGCACCTCTGACATGTGAACTTATCTCAGGGCAATGAGACTCCCAGCTCTTTGCATCGTAATTCCTAACCAGCACATTCCTGAGTGTGTTACAAAGACTTGCTAAGTCATGATATGTGAGTAAATCATTTAAGAAAAGACAATGTCACCTACCTTGCCATGTGTCAGAACATTCAAAAATAAACATCTAAATGACACCTAGATAGTGGAGATTCACGTGAGGGTAACCCTTCACCTACATGGGAAGCACACCTTCTGGGGATATTCAAGTAGGGCCTAAGTCTTGGTATAGGTCTTTTTGTTCTAAGGAGTGCTGGAGACAGATCTACTTAAAGAAATGTCTTCTTGGTTGGCCTAATTTTGCTATTTTGGGGAAGGATAACGAGCTTTAGAAACTATGTATATCCTTACATTCATCATTATCAAAACGTATGTTTAGAGATACTGAATTGTGAAACTCTATTTTCTAGTGTGAAACCTATTTTCTATCAAGAATCTTTCCATATTTTGACTTGCTAACATGGGATTCCCAACCTAACCTCAACATACAAAACAAGAAATATACTTTACCAGTTGTATCCCACCAGAAGTAGGTTCCATCAAAAAGTCCTGCTGCAGTGCTGACTCTTTGGTTTGTAATTGCATTTCCAATTCTGAAATAAGAAAAAAAAGAGGAAACAAAAAAAGTTTTGGGCTTAAAGAAACAGAACAGCATATTAAAGGAGTTGATCAACTTAGCAACATCCTATCTCCCAATAATAATTTTAAGAGGGGCTGGGAGGTAGCTCAGTGGCAGAGAATCCCTAAATTCAATCCCAAGAACCAGGATTTTTAAAAATCTATTTGTTTTAAAAATAAACATAGCTGGGTATGGTTATACACATCTATAATCCTACACTCAGAAGGCTGAGGTAGAACGATCACTCTGAGTTTAAGGACCTCCTGGGCTACAAAATGAACTCAAGGCCAGCCTAAACCACACACCAAGACCCTGCCTCAAATAAAACAAAATAAACATGATGAAACTAAAATAATATTTAAGATTTAGAGTGAAAATTCAGCAAAGGCCAGGTCACAATTTTAATTTGTTAAATACTGATTCTGTGAAAATGAATGCATGATAGTAATTAAAAGGACATTATCAGGGCAAAAAACAATATCACTGAACACAATAAACCGGCCATGGAGGTACATGTACAAAGTCCCAGCTAAATGGGAGGGCAAAAAGAAAAGATCTATAAAGTTTGAAGCCAGCCTGGGCAACTCAGCAGGACACTGTCTCAAACCAAACAAACAGTAGTAGAGCACCTGCCTCTAACAGGAAAGGTCCTGGGTTAAATCCCAGTGTCCCAAACAAAACAAAACAAAACAAACAAACAAACAAACAAACAAACAAAAAAACAGAAGGAGAAAGGAAAGGAAGGAAAAAGAAAGGAACACAAAAATGATGAACCTGAAGAAACACAGTATGTCATTTCCTGAGATTACAGAAAAAGGAACAAAAGTTAAAGACAACTTCTGAGAGGTTCTGTTAAAGCTTGTATCTAGATGTCCCTGCAACAACTCATGCACTCCTGGATGGAGCTTTTGAGAGGTGGCTCCATCGTTGGTGTGTGTGCTAGATTATGCGCGTGCTAACTGGATTAGCCTTCTCACCAGTTTAGTGTAGTTTTAGGTGTGGATAGTGCAGAGGTCTGGCCTGGCTGTGGGTGGCACCAACCAATGGTCTTACAGCTTAAATGGAATATAAAGGGAAAGGAAGGCTGAATGGACTGTTTCTCCTCTGCCATGTTATCCTGTCTTGGAGCCAACTGACAATGAACGAAAACTTCCACAAACAGTGAGTTAAAATGAACCTTTCCTCCTCTAACTTGTAGGTGTCAGATATTTTGTCTCAGTAACAAGTAAGTACCTAAAAGACAAGCTCCTTCTCTACAACTGAACCTATCACAGTAGTGGGTTATCCTTCACAAACATTCACCCTGGAGAACTCCTTTCTGCCCCGTCACCAATTCCTCTTTCAAGTAAGACACAGGGCTGGATGATGGGTATCTGACATTCCGCACATAGAGGACACATTCAAGAAGCAGTAACAAAATTTGTATGATTCAGGTATATAATTCTATTGAAAACAATGAAACTACCTGAAGTAGACTAAAAAGACAGATAAAGCAATTATGGATCATTGTGAGGATCTATAAATTGGTAATCGCTGACTGCTAAACTCCTAACTGATGCCACAATCATATTTACAAAGCTCTAACATTTTAATCAACTAGGGAAACAAAATAAGTAAACCAAAGAGACCTTTGTCAGGCAACAAACTAAACCAGAGAATTGGGATTGTAGCTCAGTAATGGAGATCTCCGTAGTATGTATAAGGGCCCGGGTCCCACCCCCCATTCAACAGAAAAATAAAACTAGTGACTCAATACTAGAGTGGGCTGGGCATAGTGGCACACACCTGTAACCCCAGCACTTGGGACACTAAGACAGGAGGATTGCCAAGTTAAGAGGTCAGCTAGGCTACACAGTGAGTTCAAAACCATCCTGTACCACAAAGGAGGATCAAAAATTCAAACACAGCCTGGTAAGAGCAACTCAGTAAGACCATGTCTCAAAGTTAAAAGAAAAAATTTATTTTTTAGGGCTAGGCGTGTAGCTCAGTGCAAAGGCCGTGGGTTCAATACCCATTGTTATAAGAAACAAATAAAAAAAATTAAAAGGGCAGGGGAACTACCACAAAAGATTCAACTGTATTAGGAAGGAGATTAACTTTACTCACCATGATCAGAGTTGATCCTACATAGTAAGTACATAACATACACCTACTCTGTATAAGGCTACAGGAAATGTGACAGACGTACCTACTGTGGCCAGATTCTGGGAGCTCTTCACCAATACATCACTATGGCTGCTTCTCTGTGGTGAGTTCTTTAGAGATTCTTCCAGGTGGATGCCATCCACAGCCACATCCTCAAAGGTCCCCGAATCCTAAACCACAGTACATGCTGTCTTGAGCTAAGTAATAATATTCCACCCATTTTTCATAGAAGAAAAGGAGGGAACCCAATGCCCACCCAGAAATGTGACTACTCTGTTGATGCCAGGGTTCAGGGGACCTAGTGTCCTTCTCTGCACCCATGTTCCCTAATCATGTACTCCACTCAGAGTGTCAATGGCACACCTCAAACATGAACTCGGCTCATAGGACAGAAACTTCTTTTTTGTCTTATTTACTCCTCCAATAAATCCATGTATTGCATACACTTAATATAAGGTGACAGATGAATGAAGTCTTTTGAGAAAACAATACTTTCATTTTGTATCTTTGAGAATACTGAGCATTAAAAGAAACACACTTGGCAGCATCATGATCAAATTACTTGATAATTACTAAAAAACTGCAGTGAATTTCAAGGGAATCATTCATGAATGTGAAAGGCTCCACTGCCTTGGGAAATTCAGCTTGGGATTTATTCCTTGCATTATTAGACTTTACTTCCATTAAGAAGCCCTGCAGACAAGTCTGCTGACATACAAATGTGTCTACTTAGTAGATGCAAAGTAAATGTGTGGAATCAGATACATTCTTTATACACAGTAATTTTTCATAGAGTCACTCACTGTCTTTTCTGTCTCTATCTTTTCTTCATGACTGCAGACTGGGTCCCCAGAAAGTAAAGCTCCTGGAAAAGAATGAAGACATGACAACTCAGAGCTAACCAGAAGCCCACATTTGCATCATACACGTTTCCATCCTCGTTCCAAATTCCCATATAATCAGAAGAAGTAAGGTACAAAATCTCTACGAAAGCACAATACCACTTATAGCCAGAAGTATGCTAAAATATACAGTCTCTGTCAGGAAAGTACACTGGTCTCACTTCACAAGTACCGAGTTAAGCCCTGAGATTAATTTCCCTATGTCAACAGAAGTCATGTGATTACACAGGGCCTCTTCCTCCAGGCGACACAGCAGGCAGCCGACTTCTACACCATGCTCTCTGGCACACTGAGGCACCTCAGGATAGATCAGCAGCATGGCTACTCTAGCCCACACCATGGACTTTGTATTGTGCAGGGAGGCCTAAAACTGGTTTTCTGGAAAACAGCAGCAATAGGACTTACCATGGGACAGATTGGTAACATCCATCTTGCAAGTCTGATGGTGAAATACGTGTGATCACGCTCTCCCGTGATTCCAAGACACGTCAGGGCAGCTTATGAATCTTATGTGAATAGTGGCAATAGCTATTTCTTGTTAATCAGGGTTATGCAGATTCCTGTTGGCATCAATTATTTAGTCAAGAAGCATTACTTAAGAGTTTTCAAACATCACATACTAGCTTTCTGCTGGCGACACATGTGAATGCCACTGAAGTGGTACAAATCCTTTAACATGAGGTTAATACTACTACTGTCATTTAATGAGAAAACTATGTATTGCTCATTATACTGATAGTTTTTATATATACATACTTATATGTATATAGAATAACTACATTATATACATTACTCTATTTAATTATTTGAACAATCCTTCACAACAGATAATCACTATTTAATGATGAAAAACAAACAAAACCCATAGATTTAGACTCCATTAATTGGTGAATCAGCACTTTCATGCAGACAGAGTTTGTCCCTAAAGACTCATGGTTTTAAGGACATCAGAACCAATATGGACTCGAAATTGTTACCTGGAACACGTAAAATGTAATGTTCTACTTTTACAAGTACAGTATGAAGAACCAGAATGTTGTGATTTTCCAAACACATTAGACTATATTGCAACCACAGGAATCCCTGTTGGTGCTCATAGCAGAGGGAAGAAAGCATCAAATCAACATGCAAAAAACTTGTGGACCTGATAAGTCCTCTCGATGTACCTTATGTTATTACTGACAAGCTCTCATCCCAGTAACTTCTGCTTCTATTTTTTACTCTTTTTATTTCCACACAAAGGAAATTTTAAAATGCAATAAACAGCATCAATAAAAGAAAAATAAAGGGCTAGGGATGTAGCTCAGTAGTGTAAGCGCCTGCCTGGTAAGCGTGAGGTCATGAAATTGATCGCCAGCACCAATCAATACATACATACATATACATAAATACATATAGGAAAAATATATGATTTCTCAGACAGAGCCATTTGTAAATGTACTCAAAGGAGAAATATGAAAAAAAGAATAAAGAAACCATGTGCTATTTATAGGAAAGTGAAATAAAAACAGTGAGTTTGCTCTTCATAGGACTTAACAGAAAAAAAAATGAGGTAGTAATAGGCTGGGCATGGTGGTATATTCCTGTAATCCCACCTAAGATCTGGATTTCAAGGTCAGCTACTCAAGACACTTTTGAAAATAAAAAAATTAAAAAGGTACTGGCTCAGGATGAAGTCTTCAGTTTCACTTCTAGTACAGCAGGAAAAAACACAAAGAAACATTCTGTGTTTGTGCCTCAGTGGTGAAGTCCTGGCCTAAAATAAGAGGCCCCATCTTTCAATTCCAGCATTGTAAAGGGGGAAAAAGGAAAAAATGTCTCATATCTGCAAAAAACATCAGTATCTTTATACAGGCATTTCAGACCTCTCAAAAACAAAACAAAAATCAATCCATATAGAACCTGAACAGCATTACAACCAGACATTCAAAATCATGAACAAGGCTGAGCATTAGAGCACATGCATAGCACATGTGAAACTATGCGTTTGTTCATCAGTATCACAGGAAAAGCAAACCTCAAATGCAAGAGCACCCTAAATGCAAGAGAAAGAAGATCGCATATAAGAGTTCCAAAAAGCCCAGGAGAAGATTTCTCACCAGACAATTTACAGGACAGGACGGAGTGGGAAACTATGTAAAAGATGCATTCTATAAAAAAAGAGCAACCTTTCTCATACCCTTCCAAAAACTGAAGAGGAGCAAACACTTCACTTTGTGAAGTCAGCATTATCATGCTAGTAAAGCCAGAGAAAGAGGCTACGAAGAAAAAAAAAAAAAAAAAACAGTATTAACTGGCCATGGTGGCACACTCCTGTAGTTCTATCACTTTGGGAGGATCATCAATTCAAGGCCAGCTTTAAGACAGATGCAAAACACTTACCAAAATTACTAGCAAAGTCGATTCAACAGAATATTAAAAGGACCATTCTCAGTCAGGCTTGGTGGTGCTCACCGTAATCCTAGCTACTTGGCAAGCTAAATTAGGAGAATCACAAATCCAAGGCCAGCCTGTGTAACTTACTAAGATCCTATCTCAAAAAATAAAAAGGACTGGGGATGTATCTCAGTGGAGTACCACTGGGTTCAATCTCTAGCACTTGAAAAAAAAAAAAAAAAGATCATTCACCATGATCAAATGAAATTTACCCCTAAGATAAGCCACAAATGCTGTACCTAAAATAGCCAAAGGAATTTTCAGCTCTAAAAAAAAAAAAAAAAAAAAAAAAAAAAAAGCTGGAGCCACACTATGTAATCTACCTATCAAAAAACTGCAGAAGCTTGAGTACTAAAATAAAAGCATACAGTCCAGTGGAACAAAAAAGAATACCCTGAGTGACATTTCATGCCAAGTGATTTGTTAAGTATACACTGGACAAGCAGCTCAATTTCAAAAAGATTTAGTGTGTATAGCAATTATGGAAAATAATATGAAAGCTCCTCAAAAATTAAAAACAGAACTAAAATGTACTCCAGCAGTCCCTCTACTGAGTTTACTTCCATTGGACAGGACATGAGAATGTTACAGAGACAGTAATACTACAGATGCTGCAGCACTGCTGCAAACGGACAGGACACTTCAACAACTCCAGCGCCCATCCACAGAGAAAAGCACACAGAAAATGAGGTACACATGCTTACTGTCACATAACTAAAAAGGAGAAATTCTATCTTGGTGCCAACATGGATGGATCCACAGGACCTTATGGTAAGAAAGAAAAACACCACCTTAGCTCATCTAACTAGAGCGTAAAACCTCACAGAAACAGTAAAAAAATGCTTACCACTGCCTAAAAGTGAGTACTTCAGAGATGCTGGTGGAATGAACAAAAATTTGAGCGAGACAGGAAGTTAATGTGTACTGTTCATCACAAAGACTACTATGTTAACGCAATATACTGGAAAAATGATGAGAGCAGACCTTTAAGTTTTCTAACCACACACAAAACAGTGAGATAATGCATGCTAAACAGCTGGCTCTCCCCAGGCCTTGATTTAAGCAGATATAAAAAAATACTGTGAGCCAGGCATGGTGGCACACACCTGTAATCCCAACACTCGGGAGGCTGAGGCAGAAGGATTGCTGTGAGTTCAAGACTAGCCTGTGCTACAAAGTGAGCTCAAGGCCAGCCTAACCCACACAGTGAGACCCTGTCTCAAAAAGAAAAAACAAAAAGATCATGGTGTATACAAAACAAATTACAAACATAACCAAACATGTCTGCCTACCCACTGCACTGGCAAAGGGAACATAACCAACTCTCATCTACACACAAGGCTTCCCGGGACCTGAGAGCGACGCCTGCTGGGAAGGTATTGGAGCAGCTCAGCATAAGGGTCCAACCTTTAGGCTTCTCAGGGCCACACATAAAATATATAATACAGCTAACCCAGTTAAATAACCAAATCTCCTTAATTTTTTAATATTTAACTTATTAAGTTACTTTACAAAGTAACACAGTAAGCCTAAGCGTATTAATTAAGAAAACCTACAGGACTGTTTACTAATGATCAATGCCTGTCTTCAAAGGCACACATGCATATAGGTAAGCTGAAATATTACCAACAATCATTGCCTTTCACTCACTAAACCACACATTAACTCTAATACACCAATGCACACAAGTTTCAACCCTACTGTGTGTGGCAGGGGTGGGAGATGGAATCAGCACAAAGCACCCTGTTGTCACGTACACAGTCCTTGCTCACATACACTGGAATTGCGTCAAGAGAAAGTTTTCTAAAAACCACATGATAACAAATGTTAAGTTTATGATATTGTGACATTACTAGCTGTCCAGGGCTGCACACAGCATGTGAGCCAGGGGTTGTACATACCTGGGCTACAGAAAATACACAAAAAGAACTCATTGCTGCATGTGATCAAACACATTTCACAGCCAGGGATAACAAGAAAGGAAACACACAGCAAAACCAGTCTTACACCACTGCTGCACCCAGCTGCAGGAGCCAGCCAACTGGAGAAGAGTAAAGATGTTTACCTCATGAAATCATAAATTTGGCAGGTGTGGTGGCACACACCTGTTATCTCAGCATTTGGGAGGCTGAGGCAGGAGGATTGCTGTGAGTTCAAGGCCGGCCTGAACTGCATAGCAAGACACTTGTCTCAAAAAAAAAAAGAAGAAGAAAAGGAAATTATATATATATTTTTTAAATTATAAATTTTTTAAAATACAAGGACATGTTCCCAGAACCTAAAAAGATGTTGAACTATGAGTCATTTGTAAATGTGACACCTAAGTGTCCCGGATATGGATGCTATGAACATTATTATGTCTTACCTGTGGTCCTGGAGAAAGGTAGACTCGCTTTGGATATTCTCTTTAAAGACTGTGTGATTAAAGGTGTCCAAGAGCCTCAGGGAAGCCTGGGAAGGGCAATGGTGTCTCTTCCTAAGTGGAGGCGCACTGTGTCTGTGGGGCTGGCAAAACAAGCAGCAAATGCAAGACGTTCCTTACACAAAAGGTTGCCAGTTGCTAACTGCGTAAGAATTGGTAGTTTTAAAAACAGTGAATGTGGTTATAGGGGTCTTCACGACCAGAACGGCAACATTAAGGCTGCATTGATTCACTGTGAGTAAAAAACAACAGAAAAAGAATTCACTGAGTGCACTTACTTACCCACTTATTTTCAGATTTAAGAACAGGCAATTAGAAGTTGGGGATTTAGCTCAGCTGTATCGCTTTAGCCAAACATAGGCAGGGCCATGGGTTTCAGCCCAGTCTGGTCAAACAGAGAAAACAGCTGTGACAGCCTCTCATTTATTAAGTTTCATATAATAATATTTTTTTCTTTTCTTTGTTTTTCTGTGGTGCTTGGGATCAAACTCAGAGCTTTACCCACACAAGATAGGCACCCTACACACTAAGTTACATCCCAGTCCTTATATAACAAGAGTTAATGCTTGAAGAGCCTGTATTAACTCTCTGTGGGCCATATTAACTATTTTTATTTTTTGTTTTTTAATTTTATTTAAGGAGAAAAAGAAAAAAAGCAGAGAAAGGGTACAAGTTATACAGATTTACAGAAAAAAATCAATAGGAGGAAATCACTAGTTAATGGATTACATATTGTCATCTTAGAAATAATTGTTCAAGCCACAAAACTAAAGCTCACAAAGTGGACATTCCAACAGTGAGACTGCAAACAGTTCTGTTCAATGATCCAACAAAACTAAGTAATATCATTATTTATCTTATATACTTAAATACACATGCAATTATATTGTTTAGAGCACTTTCTTTCTTTCTTTTTTTTTTTTTTTTGTCTTTTTCCTTTTTTTTATCGGTACCGGGGATTGAACTCACGACTGCCTGCTTGCAAGGCAGGCGCTTATGCAGCTGAGCTAAATCCTCAGCCCCTGTTTAGAGCACTTTCTTTTCCTCTCTTTTGTACAATGACAATTACACATTTTGGGTTTTGTTGCTCCCACAGTTCTTATTACTTTTTTGGAAGAGAGTAGAACCAATGTGACAGAACAGAGTCAGTCAAATCAAAAGGGTGGACATAATAGATAATGTAAAAACATAATACAAGGTGATCAACAATGGTTACCATATTGCCTCCCGCTCTCTCAAAAAGAATTGCCTATATCATCAGTTATAATAAAATTGAACAAAACAGTAAAGAACGAAACTAACAAAACCAAAACATTGGAGACATTACAGATCTTCAAAAGTAGGTAACAGTCAACCAGAATGGGCGTCATAAAGAATCCCAATATCTTCACAGCTGTTGCCTAAACCTTTGAACCTGGTACTATCAAGCAAAACAGAATAGAGAGACATCAGTCGAAACAAGATGGTGAGAGCAATACAGGGCTTTAAATCAAGATAATGGAAAGTCAAAGTGGTTTACTATAATATATCCTGCTATTTTTTTTATTTATTTTTCCCTTAATTAAAAGGATAAAAATAAAAAAGTAAATAATAAAATGGAGATTGAGATAAAAGACGGCATAACAACAAAACAGCGATCAAAACATAGCCATTTAAGCAAAATAGTGTTTCACCACAAGATAATCCCGACATAAAAGTAGTTACCATATTGTCTCTTTCCTTGAAATCTTTGAGTGTAACTTCATATACTGTAGCATCAAATATATCAAAACAATGTAAAACCATTTAAGAGAATGACAGTATTACATGGTATTTAGAATCAACTAACAGAAAATGAACAATGGTTTCTGTATAATCTCCTTTCTATAAAAGTTTTTGCTTATACTATCATATATAATAAAATCCAATAAGATACCACCTGTTTAGACCAATGGAGATAGAAGAACAAAAGCTTGATGAGACATCAAAACAAGATGATACTAAATCAGTATTACCTCTTAGGATGTCATTTTCTCCAAAATAGCTGTTCCTATCATCCAATCTTCTCTGCCTCATTTCAGTTGAGCTCTCTTTCTGTCATGAGTTGTCAGTTTGTCTTCTTCATTTTGTTTTCTGCTCCATTCATCGTGCCCTCTCTGCCACTATTTCTGGATTCTTCGTATTTTTCTTTTTTAGAATATCCTGCAGTATTCTCTGTAGAATTGAATTGGTGGTTGCATATTCCCCTAGTTCCTCTTTATCCTGGAAGCACCTTGTTTTTCCATCAATTTCCAGGGATAGCTGTGTAAGATATATCAATCTTGGCTGGAGATTATTATCTTTCAAAGCTTGAATTATTTCCCCCCACGCTCTTCGTGATTTGATGGTTTGTGCAAAGAAATCTGCTGTAATTCTGATGGGTGTTCCCTTGTAAGTGATCTGTTTCTTGTCTCTGACAGCTTTTAATATTCTGTTCTTGTACTGGATTTCTGGAATTTTAATTATTATATGCCTGGGTGTTGCTCTGTTTGGGTTGTAGGTGGCTGGGGTTCTGTATGCTTCATACAACTGAGTATCTTTACCTTTTGCTAAATTAGGAAAATTCTCCTGGATTACTTCTGTGAGTAGCTTTTGTAGTTCATTTGTTTGTGTCCCTACTTCTTCTTTTATGTTCTTAATTCTTAAGTTATAGATCCTCTTATCATCTTCTAGTCTTTGTATTATTGCTGTTTGTTTCTTTGTTATTTTTAAGAAATTTCTCATTTCATGCTCCCATATTACAAATCTGCCCTCCAGTTCAGACAATCTGTCCTTAGTTTCTTTCAAGCTGTTATGCCAGTTTTCAATAGAGTTTTTCGTTTCCTGGTAATCTCTTTGAACCTGCTTCATGTATTCTATGCTCTCTCTATTTTCTCCATCAAACAATTCTCCCCTCTTTTTCTGTTCTTCCATTCCACAATCTGTTTTTTCTTGGGTGGTGCTTACCATTTCTCTATTCTGCTTATGTGTAGCTTCAGGTCATTAATAACTTCATTCCTGAACTTGTCTATGAGGCTCTGGAGATGGCGCTTTATATCTATTGGTGCCTTGTCTGCTATTGCCTCTTTCTCAGGATTGGGGGCCGAGGAGCCTTTCTTGTTGCTGCCTCTTCCCATATTCTTTGTTCCTTATATATGCAAGCGTATATAGGAGGCCCAACTTCCTTCCCTGTTGGCCACAGTCTGATTGAATTGCGCAGGGTGGGTGTTCCCGTCCACTGCAGTGCACCAGGAAGTTGCAGACCAGGCAGCCTATGTGGGGCCCGCCTCTCTAGGTCAATCAACCTTCAGGCGCTGGGACCTGGGTTGTGCTAGCCTACTGGGTCTCAGCCAGCATCATCACGTAGGCTAGACACTGCTCACCAATCCTGCTTGAGAGGGGGATACGTGACTGAAGTCACTGCAGCACCCTGTACCCAGAAGTCTGCCTGGTCCCAGAATGTCCTCTGTTGGAGTCTCCTAGACTGTGGAAGAGTCCCAGTTTCTCTCACTCACCACAGGTCAATGCACAGCTCCCCACCCGTCCTGCTTTCAACTCCGTTCACTGATTCCCGTTCTCAGCTTTCATGCGTCTCTCTCCCCGCCGAGCCAATTTAGATGCAGCAGTGGCGGCGGGAAACCTAAATCGCGGCTTCCAATGGCGCGGGCTCCAGCTTCCACACTGAGGCTTTTCTGTTCCTGTTATAGCACCAGGATTGTGTTCCCAGTTGGTTTCTCGTTCTTGGGTCAGCAGGGCACATCTCCACTTGCTTATGATTCCTTACTCTGCACCATTCCTGAATTCTAAGCTGGGTCTTTCAGAGAGCCTCCGTAGCTGCTGCTATCTGTCCGCCATGTTCTCCCCGAAGTCCCATATTAACTATTTTAATTAGGGTCCTTGAAGTGCCTCCACATATTAAAACAATTATAAATGACAGGAATGTACTAACTACTTCAAAACCAGCTGCGCAATTTAGCAAGACATGTCTTAAAACTTAAAAAAAAAAAGATACAGCATCCCTGGGTTTGAAGCTAGTACTGCCAAAAAATTGGTGGGTTTCCAGGTATACTTACACTTTAAGTAACAATTCCAGAATTATGTACTTTTGTCAACTAATCGATTTTAACCAACATAATGTTAACAATGCAGGTACAAATTATGAACTGCAGCTCCACTATTTCTTATATATATAAATTCGGTACATAACTTTTGGAGTTTCAACAAGATCAAAATACGTAACTTAAAAAGAATCAAGAAGCAAAACCATGCCTCCTCATGAGCCAGGGGCAGCTGCTGCCATGGGGATCAGAAAGAGAATCAAGAAGCCAAATCATGGCTCCCCATGAGTGAGCTGGGAGATAAGAGCAACACCCACTCCACCTCCACCAGTCCCCACCCCAGCAATGGGCTGATTCTGAGGGAGTCAGGCTGTGATAATAGCAGCAGGAAAAAAAAAAAAGGTAACTTAATGTTGGTATTGTTTGATTGACTTTGCAGGTCTAAGGCTGATGATCTATTTGGAGAACAACAACAGACATTGAGGGGCTGGGGATTTAGCTCAGTGGCATAAGCGCCTGCCTTGCAAGCAGGCAGTCATGAGTTCAATCCCTGGTACCGATAAAAAGGAAAAAGACAAAAACAAAACAAAACAAAAAACCAACAGACATTGTGGCAACTGTGGGGGATGTCCTCTTCCTGTCTGGCTTTTGAAATCGAATGTTTTGCTTCATTTTACTGTGTTTTTTTTTTATTCCTGTTATCTGGTTATCTGGTTTGAAGGTTAACAATTTACAGTATAACAACCACTGTTAAATTCCTATCACCTTGTTTTAGAAACCTATCTAGCTGTTGTTTTCATTTTGCTTTTGTTGCTGTTGTTTTGCTTCCTTTTTTTTTCTTTTTTCACTTTAAAATAAAAGAAACCCATAAACTATTTCTCCTATATGTAATGTGCCATACGTTTCACATTACTTAAGCTAAAATATTCTCACACTTACACAAATCTATTAAATGTCTTTGTATTTTCTCCCCTGGTACCTAGAGGTTTGATATTTAAGTGCTCTATGGCTACCACTGTCTTTGTCCA